AGCAAATGAATCTTCAACACATAGCGGGTCGTCCGTCGTGGTATCGCCAAGGCGCGCACGCAGTATGACGCCTCGAGCAGCTCCGATTCTCAGCCGTATGGTCGAAGCCCAGACTCGATTTGACACGACTCCTTCCACGACGACAAGTCCAACCCGTTCCAGCAATCCCCCCCAAGACCGTCCACCATCCTCCTCGTCAGCATTGTCCACAAGGCTAATGCAGATGTTCGGGTTTGAAACACCCGAGAAAGTGCTGGTCGAATACGCTTGCTCGCTTTTGCAAAGCATAATCCTTCAGGGTTACATGTACGTTACCGAGGGACATATCTGTTTCTACGCCTACCTCCCGAAGAAGTCCAACGTCTCCATCAAGTCGGGCTACCTCTCGAAGCGCGGCCGCAAGAACCCGAAATATAATCGCTACTGGTTTGCCCTCAAGGGCGATGTGCTTTCTTATTACGCCGATCCTTCCAACCTTTATTTTCCTAGTGGTCATGTCGATCTCCGATACGGCATCTCCGCCTCCCTCGCAGACACAAAGGGTAAAAGTGGCGACGTGAAGGACTTTCAGGTCACTACCGATCAACGGACCTATCTTTTTAGAGCGGACAGTCCCATGAGTGCAAAGGAATGGGTGAAAGCTCTACAGAAAGTCATCTTCCGAACGCATAATGAAGGGGACAGTGTCAAGATTTCATTTCCCATTGCCAACGTGATAGACTTGGAGGAGAGTCCGATGGCCGACTTTGCCGAAACATTCAAGATCCGGGTTGTCGATAGTGGCGAGACATATGCAATCGACGAGGTATGTCTTTTGCTGTGTCCCTTTTGCACTATATGCTAATCGTTCTCCAGTACTTTTTCTCGTTTTTCAACTACGGGCAGGATGCTTTCAACTATATTAAGAACTTGGTCAATGCTTCTGCGAAGAGCGTGCGGGAAGAACAATTGGAGCATCCAGGTGCAAGTGAGCGAAAAAGGCTGTCCGTAAGTAGTGGGCGATTGGCTGGCCAACAACAACATGACTTGCCACGGAGACGCAGCGCAAGTACCGGACAAGAGGGACTTGGGTCTCCAAAGCAGCAGGATTCATCAGATTCTTTCGTTGCGGCGTGTACCGAGTCGTCACCAATCGTGCAGTCGATGACGGATACCAATGAGTCTGCGAGCCAGATCCTGAACCGCAGCGATGTTTTTCAATCGCCCACTATGCGCAGTTTACGGAGGCGTTCTTCTGATGTAAACGATGCTGTCGTACGCCGCTCTGATGAGACTGCCCGTTCTGCGTCCGCACTCGCCAGGTCGACTCCGGTGGAGAGAACCGTGGAGAACGTTTATCCTGCACCCGCTGATGCTGCTCAACCGGTGTCGCCTGCAGGGCCTCCGTTGAACGAACTTGTCAAAGCTGGAGCATATCCACTTCAGCGAGCTGCTGGATTCGCTGAATATCTGAAAAGCCGTTCAAAACAGATGAGCAGTCTGTTGGCAACCGAGTCCATGGGCTATTTCGAAAAGGTTTCTGGCATGTGGACTGGCGGTCAGCGGCACTACGGCGAGACCGAAGGAGTGCTAGCCGAAGATTTAAATGTTGATCCCGAAGACAAAGACGGTAGCTTCAATTACGGTGACCGGTTTCGAGCACATTTTGCGCTTCCATCAACCGAACGGCTGCAGGCCACTTATTTTGCGTACTTGCACCGGGTGCTTCCGCTGTATGGCAAGATCTATATCAGCCAGAGGAAGTTGTGTTTCCGCAGTCTGATCCCCGGCACTCGGACCAAGATGATCCTCCCATTCAAGGATATCGAGAATGTCGAGAAGGAAAAAGGTTTCCGGTTTGGCTACCACGGCCTTGTTGTCATCATTCGTGGCCACGAGGAGCTCTTCTTCGAGTTCAACGCGGCAGATGCTCGGGACGACTGTGCAGTCACGTTGCACCAGAACCTCGAGTCCATGAAGTTCATGGTGGAATCTGGCATGCTGGCGGAAGCGGAGCGAGAAGAAGCCGAGGCCGCCCAAGCTGAGCATCGTATGCTGCAAGAGGCGAGGCTCGATGGTCCCGAGGAGCCCGACCACCGACCTACCCCAACGGAGGACTCCTCTGAGATTCACCCATTCTTTGACGATCCGCGTGCTTCGATTATCAACTTCAAACCCGCGGAGTCGCTGAGGATTACATGCCTGACCATCGGCTCCCGAGGCGACGTGCAGCCGTATATAGCCCTGTGCAAGGGCCTTCTTGCCGAAGGCCATCGGCCCAAGATTGCAACGCACGCCGAGTTTGAGCCCTGGGTCCGGAGGCATGGCATCGAATTTGCCCCCGTGGAGGGTGATCCTGCCGAACTCATGCGTATCTGCGTGGAAAATGGCATGTTCACCTACTCCTTCCTGAAGGAAGCGTCGCTGAAGTTTCGAGGGTGGATCGATGACCTCTTATCGTCTGCCTGGACAAGTTGTCAGGACAGCGATCTCCTCATCGAGTCTCCGAGCGCCATGGCAGGGATCCATATCGCGGAGGCACTTCGGATACCTTATTTTCGCGGTTTCACCATGCCCTGGACCAGAACCCGGGCGTATCCGCATGCATTCGCGGTGCCCGAGCACCGAATGGGCGGCGCATACAACTATATCACGTATGTCATGTTTGACAACATCTTCTGGAAGGCTATTGCGGGTCAAGTCAACCGGTGGCGCAATACCGAGTTGGGATTGAAGGCTACCACACTAGATAAGATGCAGCAGAACAAGATTCCGTTCTTGTATAATTACTCGCCTTCTGTTGTGCCGCCACCTCTCGACTACCCAGACTGGATCCGGATTACGGGGTATTGGTTCCTGAACGAGGGCTCCACCTGGACGCCACCAACGGAGCTATCAGACTTCATCACGCGTGCCAGGGCCGACGGCAAGAAGATTGTGTATATTGGGTTTGGGTCGATCGTGGTGTCGGATCCCTCCGCATTGACACGCACAGTCATTGAATCAGTCCAGAAGGCAGACGTCCGCTGCATCCTCTCCAAAGGATGGTCAGACCGGCTTGGCGACCCATCCAGCGCAAAGCCCGAGATCACCTTGCCGCCTGAGATATACCAGATCCAAGCCGCGCCTCACGACTGGCTCTTCTCTCAGATCGATGCGGCCGCCCATCACGGCGGTGCCGGAACGACGGGGGCAAGTCTGCGCGCAGGACTTCCGACTATCATCAAGCCGTTCTTTGGCGATCAGTTCTTTTGCGGATCCCGGGTCGAGGACCTGGGCGTGGGCATCTGCATGAAGAAGCTTAACGTCAGTGTGTTCTCCAGGGCACTCTGGGAGGCTACGCACAGCGAGCGGATGATTGTCAAGGCCCGGAATTTGGGTATACAGATTCGCAGTGTAAGTCCCGCTTCTTCTGATTGAGATATCAAGTTACTAATCCTGATATAGGAAGACGGGGTGTCCGTCGCAATCCAGGCTCTCTACCGCGACCTCGAATACGCGAGGACTCTCGCCCGCCAACGCTCCATCGCCTCGTCTACCCCCTTCTCCCCAACCCCGTCAGCCAAGGTCTCCCCAGATGAGGCAGACGACGACCTTGACGATATCGAGGAATGGACGTTCGTCGGCGACGAAACAGACATTGACATCTCGAAACGCATGCGTGAGCGCGCAGCCTCCGACGCAGAGCAATTGGCGTCCTCTTAATTACTCTCGTACTAGTTTTCTTTTTGTTTTCCTTCAGGCTTGTGCCATTATGATTGCTGCTCACTTATTTATCATGTCTTACGACCTATCTACTTACCTACGACTCTCACGCATTTCATGTCTGTGTCTGTTCTCGCGTCCATGAGTACCTCATGCTGATGATTCATTGATTGCGTTTGACTTTTGCTGGCGCCATGGACGAAGAAGGGACGACTGGTTTGGTTTATTTGCCAACTGCATTCATTTTCTTTTCATAGACCAGCTACAATGAATTCGATTTTTATTTTTTGATCTCAAATATCATCTTATCCGGCCTGCGGCTTCTCCTCTTTCCCTTCCGCTTTATCCTTGCGTCGCTGCACCACATCCCAGTTATACACGCGCGCCGTTGCAACTTCAAGCGTCTAGCCACGAAATCAGGATTAGCATCAACATTCAGCACCAATTCAATAGACAACGAAGGAAACAAAAGCCCCCTCATAGAGGAGACGGTAGAAGAGAAGAAAGAACTCACGGTAATCTGCTCCCTCAAAAACTCCAAATCCTCATCACAATTCGCCAGGCTTTGTTCCGCGGCGGTCAATTTCTCCTGCAGCATGCTCTCTGCCTCGGGCAGCGGGTATGCGAGCATGACGTTCGCACCGAGCCAGAGGTAGACCTCGTCTGTGTCGGCGGGGGAGATGGTCGCGCGGGCGTAGAGCGTGTCGTTGAGTTCGAAGTTTGTGTCGAGAGGGGCGGGTGTGGATGTCTACACATACCATTGTCAGTCAATGGCCAGCATATCCAGAGTAAGAAGAGAACGTGTAAGGGCAAACGAACCTCTTTCCGCAACTTCAAAAACCGCACCATCTCCAACGTCTTCTTGATATCCGGCAATTTCTCTCGTAGCCCCTGGGCCCGCCGCTGCGTGTTCACTTCCATGAACTGGTACTTGGAGATCATCTCCTGGAACGAGCGCAGCGTGGGCTCGACCTCTGCGCGCGAAGAGACGTAGTCGCTCACATTGTCGACGAAGGGGGCTACGGGGATCCCGCGCGGGTTGGTTTGTGTTGTTACCGTGCTGGGTAGGGTGTGTTAGTTACCTTTACAAAAGTAGATAGATATGAGATCGCGGGGGAAGAGGAAGTGCTAAGCTGGGTGTAGGTACCTTGTGTCGGCCATTGTGGTGGAGGAGGGTTTTGGGGTTGGCGGGAGCGAAAAGATGAGGAATGACGACGTGGGGCTAAAGAATGTCGGAGGATAGATAGCTCGACACTATGATTACTCCACTGCTTTCTTTCTTTCCTCACCACCTAACCACCACCACCACCGCGCGAATGGTCTACCTCGTCACAACGGACCGCATCCTCGCGGCCCTAGAGGCCGTCCCGGTCTCACAGCGCGCGGAACTAGATCTGCCTACCTCCCTTACGCGCCACGGTCCCATGGCGCACGAGCAGCTCCTACGCCTGGCCAAACACCTTCAATCCGAAGCCGCGGACACGACTACGAACACCCTACCGGGGCCAACAGCGCTGAGCTCCCTCCTGCGTGGGACAAAGGTCTATGTTCCACCGCCGCCCAAGAAACCCGAACCAGTTCGTCCCAACACTCCCCTTCCACTTCGGAACAGCTCCAGACAAACAGACAGCTGCCGACTACCTACCTAAACTATAACTAATTCACTCCGTTCCCAAATAGACCGCCGAATACCTCGCCTCCAAAAAACGCCTTCTCGCCTTGCAAGATGAAGCAGCCTACCAGCGCCTCCTGCACCCAACGGGCCACCAAAATCCCGAAGATCCCTACATCTACACGCACCCCTCCGCCATTTCCCAAAACGAAGCTGCACCTCTCATAGAAGAAGACACCCTGACCCCCTCGCTGGTCATCAATATCTTTCTGTCCGTGCTGATAACGGGGTTCAGCGTGTACTGGGCTCTATCCAAGTTCGCGAGCGCGGATGTTCTCGCTACGGGCTTTGCGTCGTGGATGGGGTTGCAGAGTGAACAACACCAACAACCCTCAGAATTAAAAGTGCAACGATACGGTGCGTCGGAGCCAGTGCGCGTGCTGTTGTCGATATTCGCGGCGTTGGCCGTGGCGGTCGCGGAGGCGTTTTTGTATGCTGCTTATTTGGGGAAGATCCAGAGGGCTCGGGAGAGGGAGAGGGGCTTGAAGGAGAGGAAGGTATTTGTTGGGGCTGTGGGTGTTGATGCTGATACGGACAACAATGATGTCAAGGGTGGTGGTGTTGATGTGAGTTCGAGCTGTAAGGAAGAGGTGGAAATTTGGGGACGGGGTGAGAATGGGGGGGTGAGGCGGAGAGTTAGGGAGAAGTGGCAGAGAGATAAGGAGAAAGAGATTGAAAAAGGGAAGGAGAAGGACAATCTATGATCGTAATATACTGTGTTATTTAGAAGGATACCTTACTCTGTACAAATGAGACGATAGTATGGATAAAATTGCTGTATTCTATACTAAGCTACAGCGCGCTGTCATTAATCTAACGGGTATGCTATGCAAGCTGTCGGTCATTAGTTTTGGGTCGCTCGTCGGGATGAACAGAATGTCGAGAGTGCTTTGTGTTGTTGGTGTGTATCGTGAGGGTAAGAGAAGAAAGATGCGATGGGCACGTAGGAGCCACTGCCGGAGGTGGTCAACTGTCCCACACAGGAGGAGGAGGAGGAGTAAGAAAACATAAGAGAAAGAGAGGAAAGCATTCTTTCAAACCCGTTTCTCAAGAAGCAGCTTGCCAGCCGGAGTCTTGCTCGCAAAGCCCTGATCACGACTGTAGACGGGCTCCCCACGCAGCCAGGTCTCGCGAACCATGCCGCGCAGCGTACGGCCCTGGTAAGGCGAGCACTTGTTGCGGAAGAGCATCGTGCTAGGCTCAACGACCCACTCGGCGGCATCGTCAAAGACGCAGATATCAGCGTCGAAGCCGACTCTCAGATCGCCCTTGTGGGTCTGCAGACCGACCTGGGCGGCGGTGTTGGCACAGCAGAGCTTCACGATGTCCTGCAGGGCGTTCCTGGTGTTCTCGTCGTCGGGAGCGGAGGTCAGATTCTTGCGCCGGCTGACCTCGCTCCAGAGGATGGGCAGGCCCAGGCCCACGGAGGAGATGCCGCCCCAGGCCGAGAAGAAGTTACCGTTTTCTCCGGCGGAGACGGAGGTTGTGGTGCCGTTGCAGTGTTGGCCGCCCGGTACGTGGGCGGGAAGGAGTTTGAGGTCTGGCGTGCAGGGCGAGTGGTCGGATACGACCGTTTGGATGACCCCGTCGCCGGCGTGCTTCTCCAGCTCGGTCCAGAGACCGTCTTGGTTCAGCTTGGACCGGATGGGCGGGCAGCACTTGTGCCGGGTGTCGCCGTCGCGGACTTCCTCGGCGGCTAGCGAGAGGTAGTGGAAGCAGGTCTCGGCGGTGACTTTGACGCCGTGGGCTCGCGCTTCCCGGAGGATGGGGATGGCTTCCATGGCCGAGAGGTGGACGATGTGCAGCGGCAGGTTTGGGGCGAGATGGGCCAGCGAGAGGATCTGTTCGATGGCGCACGTCTCAAAGGAGGATGGCCGCGAGGCCAGGAAGGTGGAGTAGGCTTCCAGCGGGCCGACGGGTCCCGCTGGTGGCTCGGACTTGTGGTCCACGACGCTGACGCCGGCTGTTGTGGGAGGCACCATCTCGGCGTGGAACATGAGCGTCGTGGGCTCGTCTGCCAGTTCCGCCATGGCCTTTTCGATATCCGCTGCGGTCACAGCGGGGAACTCCTCCACCTGAGAATATAGTTAGTATTTGAGTCTAAACACAAGAAGTGAGAATACCTACACCGCTATCAATCAGGAAACTCTTGAAACCGCGCACTCCCTCCTGGACGAGGGCCTTGAGGTCACCGGCATTGCCGGGGATGATGCCGCCGTAGAAGCCGACATCAACCCAGCACTTGTTCTGGGCAGCCTGGACTTTTTCTTTCAGCGCAGCCACCGTGGTGGTGGGTGGGATGGCATTGAGGGGCATGTCAATCACAGTAGTGACGCCGCCAAAGGCAGCGGCCTGGGTGCCGGTGTAGAAACCCTCCCATTCCGTGCGACCAGGCTCGTTCAAGTGGACATGGGCGTCCACCAGACCCGGGAGCAGGACATGGGGTGAGTAGTCGGTGTACGGGGTGCCGGAGGGGAACTCCGACGCCGGGATGATGGAGTCGAAGACGGCGGTGATCTTGCCCGTGGCGCGGGAGATCACGATGGTAGCGGATGTCAAACGGCCGGAGATGACGGCTCGTGAAGAAGCCACCACGGCAATCGAGGGCATGTTAGCAGTCGCCATGATAGCTTGGGGAGAGTGGCTTGCGGGGGTGGCAGGCCTAATCCTATATCTCTTTTCAAGGTGTAGATAAGGAGGGAAAAGGGAGAGATAAGACAAAGATAAAGATAATCAGTTATCTGGATGAAGAGAAAAAGGGCAGATAAGGACCGGGTCTGGGGGGGGATATAAATAAAAAGCCACAGCCGAGTGGGCTTGGGGAATTTTCTTCTTCTCGGTTGTTCACAAGGCAAAACATGACCCACTCGCCGAGAGGACCAGCTCCGATGTTGCTGCGATCACTCGATGGGTGGCCAGGTCCAGAGCCAGTCAGAGTTTGCCGGGCTGCCCAAGACGATCCTTCCGGTCTCCAGCGAATGCCCTCACCTGTGCCCGAATCGGAGGGTGCAGCGCGTTGAAGTGGTAGGATGGTCTTGCTGTGTCGCTCAAGTCATATCCTAGAACCCCGTCAGGACAGACATTATCTTGTCGTCCGATACCGATAGGCAGAATAATCCGAGTGAACCGTGGTTGACACCGACAAAAAGACACTCTGATCGAGTAATAATCCATAGCCGTCGGCCACCTCCGGCGGTGCAGCGGACAAGTCCTAATCGCTTATCAGTGGCCGACACTTCCGAACGCATTTTTTGATTAGGGGCCCTTACTCGATCGAAATTGCCACTTTTTTCTTTTCATTTCCCTTACTCGATCGAAACTCCTGTTCGCTGCGTCCGGAACTCTCTTCCGGGCTGCCCATAGTGAGTTAGCCCAAAAGAAAAGAAAAGCCCCCTCTTCTCGTCACGCGCAGTCGGCGGCCTCCGAAAGAGGGGGCTTTTCTCGTATCGAGTAAGCGCGGATTGTGCGAGATGGACGCTTGGAAGGAGGATGAAGAAAAAGGGGAAGGGAGTTTGGCAGAAACACAGGGATCGGGTCCGGTTTTAACTTGACTTGACTTGCCTACCGAAGGCTTGTCCGGTTTCTTGTTTCTTGATTGCGCCATGCGCATGGGACCCGATCAGCACCGGCCGCAGATTGCTTAACTGCCGCTTAATGCGACTTCAACGGAGCAGTCGAAGATGAAAAATGGACGATGCGAGACAAAATGGAATCACATTCAGCGATCAAATCCGTTCTTCTTAGTTAGGGCTTGGGACAAAACATCATCGAAATGTCAACACAACCACGTGGGAGAAAATACCGTTCGTCTATCTTAGATCCCCCAGATGCCTACGCATCCAGATCCAGCGCCTCCATCTCATCCAGGCCCAGCACCGGGGCCCCCAGCTCAACATTCCTCTCCTCCAACAGGACCTCCGCCTCGAGGACATGGTCGACCTCTTCTTCCAGCGCATCCAACTCCTCCAGCCTCTCGCGTGTAGCATCATTAATATCACTCGCCAGGATCATCACCTGCTCCGCATAGTTTCGATTCGCATGGGTCAGATCGAGCCAGTCCAGCATATGCCGCCAGGCCACGGGCATGATGCACTCGACGTTCAGAGCCTCGCCCGACGAATAGCAGTTGCAACCGTGTTCACGATAGCCCGCAACCCGGTCTCCGACAGGCTTGTCAGACAACACGTAGCCGCGGCAGCGCGAGGACACAAACGCCGCAAACGAGGTTGGGTTAGTCAGGTCGTCTTCTTCCAGGTCGTAGGAGCTATGCAGTGGTTCGGTGAGACTCATGGCGGAGATGGGTGTACGCCATTTCACCCCTGTTCACAATCGTCAGTTTTGCTTTTATAGATTAGCCGTATGCAACGTACAGTTCGCTTTCAAGTACTGGAACGCAGCCAGTCCGCCCTCCGACACGCCAATCACGTCAATGCGTGGCGCCGTCCCGTTGCACCAGACACGCGGAGCCAGCACGTTGTCGAAGACGTAGCTTACATGTTCGGGCCAGTCGGTGTTGCCGGGAATCTTGTTGCGGTAGCTCATAGTCGGCTGACCCGCACAAGCCGAAGACCGGGGTAGTGACAGCCAGGTCGGCTGCGTGACGGCTCGGCCGGAGCTGCAGTGCCAGATCAACTGGCCCGTGTTAGCCAGGACGAGAGCAGTATCTTTGTTAAGTGCAGCACGCGCAAGCCCAACGGCGGAACCGGCGTGGATCGAGTCGACGCCGACGGTACGATATGCCCAGATACCCAGGTCCTGGCTCGGCTCGCCGAAAATGACGACGATACGAGATGCAGTGGGCAGGTTGTTCGAGACCAGGATGGGGACGTGCGCTTCCTGAGGACTCGCAGAGAGAGGCAGGCGCCAGGTCTCCAGGCCGAGTTTGTGCAGACGGTCTAGGACAATGCGGCGGATGCATTCTGGTATTCAGAGTGAGTTGAATTCTGCTTGTGCATGCATGGTAAGCTGTTTTGGCATACCGTTCATTGCTTCTTTTTGGAGCTCATTCCAGCGCTCATTGCGGTTGATCTTGTACAGGAAGTTTTCCTCTGGGTTGGAGATCATTCGGATCTGGTCGTTCTCAGTGACGAAGTATCTGCATGGGGGGATGAGTGGGAGACTTCACAACGTGCATTCAACAATCTTACCCCAGTTTCTCCAGATCGGCAGGGAAGACAGGGTCTGCAGGAAGATCGCAAAGTCGATAGACGAACATGGTTGGACTGCTGTTGATAAGAAATGGATGGTGTGGTGGAGGAAGTGGGCAGAAGGAAAGAGGGAAACAGAAGCAGCGCAAGAGAGAAAGTAAACAGAGAGAGAGAACAAAGGTAGGCAGGCAAGCAGACTGACAGGCAGCAAAGACAAAGAATCAAGATGAGATCGAGAAATAAGAAATCGTTTCGATAGATTTTGGTTAATATACACGCCTCACTCGTGGGCCAGAAAACAATGCTGATGCAGAAACGCCGCTCGCAGACCCAATACTTGCACAATATTCCTTGTCCAATAACTACCAGCTCGCCTTCTTGACCCCAGGCAATTCGCCCGCCAGTGCTTGCATGCGGAATTGGAACTGTTGACATCGAAGCATCAGCACACAATTCCACCTTGGCCAGAAAACCAGTACTTACTCGGTTGATCCGGAAAGTCCGGAAGACACTCCTTGCGGTCCCCGAATCGACACACCGGTTCTTCACCTGCGTCGGACGGGTGTAGGGGTGCATCTGCGACAGCTGGAGCTGGGCCTGGGCGCGCGCACGGGCGGGGAGGGAGGTGTTGCGGATGATGTAGCGGAGGGCTTGTCTGTTCCCAGAGAGATATGGTCAGAATCATTTCTGCTTATTTGGGGCGTTGGCTCAATTCAATTCATACCGTTCGGGTTCGGTCTGCTCGATGGCGACGCGCTTGTTGTGGTCTCGAATCACGCGGATGTTCTTGAACCCGCCCAGGTCGAGTTTCGCGGGCCGGAAGAGGGATGCCATTTTGGACATGGTGGCGGTGGTGTTGAGAAGGAGTGTGAAGATGAAGATGCAGATGGAAGAGATGACGGGTGGGCGGAGAAATCGGGTTGCCTCGTTGGGTTTAGCGCACAATGCGAATTGCACACTTTGATGGACCACAACATTTACCCATCAACAGTACGGAGATAGAAGCAATGTAGATATGCCTAAGAAAATGGGAACTGCTCGATGATGTCTTCCAAAATACCTGGTGTCCTTGGTGACATTTTATGTGGTGCCGGAATCAAGACAACCGGCGTTAGGGAAGGCATCAAATCAAGATGAACAACCCAGAAACTACATCAAGACAGCTCAATGGGTAGACACCTGTCTTCCTGTAGTTCTTGTCAGAGACGAATCTCCCATAACAGCCAAAACCACCGACTACGAACACCCCCAGCAACACAGCAAGAAACAGTCGAGTAGTGGTACAGCTTGTGCTATTGATCCAAGTCACCCTCCACGGTATACTCTATATGCTTGGACAGAGGGCAAACTGCCCGACAAGATAGACACACAAAGACAAAGGAAAAAAGGCGAACCAGCCATCAAGGCCCGAGGCCCCGCACATATCGCCATGGGCTCGATTCGGTTTCGTACCCACGCTCCCGCCATTCTAGACGACATATACACACCCACGAGAAAAAATCTAGTGAGAAGCAGGCTTGCCGGGCTTAGCGTTGGGGTTGCGGGGGTCGTTCTTGAACTCGGCGGCTGTTGGGGAAAGAAAGGGAGTTAGCCCGATGATCTCATCTCAATTGTTCGAGTCATGCCATCGATTTCGCAACAAAACCAATCCAATGGGTATGGATTCCACGCAATGGACCGACAAAATGTAGATGGGGTTGCGGGATGCACTCACAGTTCGCCATGGCACCCGCGGCGGAGTTGATGCCGTACAGAACGACGAGACCTGAATGGGAGAATTCGTCAGAACAGGTTTTCCACGAGCATGCTCTTGTATCTAGCAAGACATATCCAAATCGATTTCTCGGGGAAATCCAAGTCATCGGGCGGAATGGGAGTGCGGAGCGTGCATACCGGCAACGAAGAAAGGAGTCATCGGCTTGGCTGTTCGCGAGTCAGTGTCGTGCTCAGGATCGCTGAAATTGTCGCAAGGGGTGCTTACCGAGAGCGCCAGGGAACTTCTTTCCGAGGAGAGACATGGTGGCAGGTGATGTGGAGGGAATGCGAGATGGGGGGTTGACGAGGAGGAGCAGGAGAAGTGAAGCGTTGGGTTTGCCCGGGTCCGACCGGCGCAACGAATAGTCCGGGTCACGTGATATTCCGAACTATACACCATTGGATGCTGATGATGATGGTGATTGTTGATTGATTGAGATGAGACGAGATTATTATATTTCATTCAGTAGAGATGATTATAATTATAATACATGCTTTGTGCAAGGTGACAAGCTCACCACGCAGGACGCCCAGCCAAGTCCCAGTCCATTGCTGCCCAGTCAAACTGATTAAACGGTCCGGGATCAAAGCTTGTTCCTGTAGAGCTATCTTGCCCTCCTGCACCATACAGCAACCCATAATTGCCCAACCCCATCGGCATGGACATCGGCATTGGCGTAGGTATGTTCAAATCGTCGAGGCCAATATTCATATGTTCAATGCCCCCGGCCTGTGTACTCTGCTCCTTTTGCGCCACGACCTCTCGGACATACGATACAATTCGGGGCGGTATCGGGGTTGCATTGAGTGTTGCCTCGCGAGCTTCCCATGCCGGAAGGACCAGTTTGACAAATATATCGTAAATCGGGCTCTCGGCCTTTTCGTGAGTAATGACGCGAACGTCATAGTTATCGCTCATGGCTTCCCAGGCCTTGTCAGCAAGCTTGGATGATGGTCGCCGTCTAAGATCCTGGAGAATATGAATGTATGCTGGCAATGGGAAGTAAAAATGAACTATCCACAGGAATCCCTTGGTGAGAGGTGATGCTAGTATCTTAGTATCACTTTCAAGCATGGCGAGTGCATAACCAATAGCTCTGTCGCGCTGCGCTGCTGTTCGGTCTCCGTACGAGCCGGAGTACTTCCAATAGTGTTCGATAAGGGAGTATTTAGCAATAAAAAGCCGAGTCGACCAGATGGTCATGAAGTGCAGTGGGTTCTCCGGGTTGCAGAGCCTGAGATATTTTTCCTCGACCATCTTCTGCAGAGTGGCCATCTCACCGTCTTCAGGAGCAGTTTCCGATAAGAAATATTTCAAAGACGGGTTGGTAAAACCAAGGTAGGCTTTGGAGTGGCGGACGAACTCGCCAAGCTCACCGCGCACAACGGCAAAAAGTGCCTCGCTCGAGACGCCTTGAACTGGCGGCGGCTCTTTCATCCCTGCTCGCATGTCAGAGTCATTCACGTTGCGAGGAATTTTGCAGTCCCAGGCAGGGTCCAGGACAATAGTCTTGTGGTCAGCTAGTTCACCGATTCGACTATCGAAAATCTTGAGCGACCACCAGAGTCTGCGGCGCATTTCCGCTTCGAGGACGCTGCATTTGGCAGAGGCCGACTCGCTGTGGATTCCTATCCGCTGCGCAATACGCATTGCGACGCCAAGAAGAGACGATAAAGAACGAGGATCTGTGCCGGGTCCGATGGAGATCTTTTATACGTGTTAGTTAATATACTCTCAAATCGTTTGTTAACGGACCAAGAAGAGGTAGAATGCCGTTAGACATTCGCGATCGCCAGTTCGCAAATATCCACAGTTCATGAGCGCTTGCTGGCAACCAAACTGGTACTTTGTCAAAAGGTCTTCCTTTGTTGAACCAAAGGTGGTCTGGCATTCGTCCGTTGCGAGGCTCGTAACAGCCATGGAATATATGCTGAACATGAGCGGCTCCAGGGTTGGGCTTATGTTTGTCATGTTACTCGCAGCTTCGATGAGCCGCGGCTGTAGGCTTGGAGTGTGCGTGACCTTGAGTAATGGGTCGACATTGTTGAGATAAATCTGCCAGAGCCGAAATATCTGTACAGGATCCGGGTGCAGAGTTGACAGCTCGGCAAGTGTCTTGCGCGAGCCAAGAAGAAGGTTATCGTCTGTAAAGAGCTGATCCCACACCTTCTTGACTCCAACCTCATTCACGTCGCTAGATGAGCCATCGTCCTCATCTTCTGCGTCTGGATGCTGTCTCAATTCTTAGTATTATATAGATTTATAGCCGGTTGAGACACCATCATACAGCTTGTTCGGTCATTAATCGCCAAAAGTCCCTGGTATAATTGTTAATTATATATTTTGATATGAAGGTTCGAAAGATCCATCCTCGTACTTGATCTCGTTTACTTCTTCGTGCTTTCCGGATGTCGACGAAGACGACTGATCCGTCCTTGCGGATTCTGCTTGCTCCTCGTTTGGACCAAAGTGGGCCTCCGCCTTCGACTCGTTCGGGTGAAGAGGCTCAAACTGGACATTATTTTGTCGTAGCAAGACTTCGTACATGCGGATACGCTTCAATAATTCTCGTTCAGGGAATCTGCGTTTTCGCTGACGCGGAGCCAACGTTGCAGGTACACATTGCACCCGAAATCTGATGCAATTTGCACACGGGAACTTGCGATCACACTTCACCTTGCGCTGCTGGCAGAGCACGCATGCAAGTACTCTTTGCGACTGCGATGATGGACCCGAGGGCGTGTCAAGCGTGCCCTGCTCGGGGTTTGGTGATGCCTTTGACATTGCTGCCGTTGAGAACAAGATGTGGTTCGGGCGCTGGTAGTCCCCGAGCGAGACAAGTCATGTGACCATCTCGGACATTCCTACAGCCCGACTGGCGCAATCTTTGGACTATATTTCAGGTAGAGTCATTTCGGCATGCTATATAAGTAGGCCAGCGGGTTTCCTATGTCGAGTAGAAATTGCTCAATCGATTACTTGATTTCCGAGTTGAAAACGATTCTTCTCATTCGATTACTTCAAATCAACTTCAATCATGTCGACTTCTCAGCCAAAAATCGCCGTTGTTGGAGGTGGCCCTGCTGGATTGACAATTGGTCTTCTGCTCCACAAGCGAGGTATCCCGTGCACAATATTTGAGCTCCGCCAGAAACCTACCGACGAAGAGATAGCCAAGCCTTCCGGGGTGCTCGATCTGCATGAAGAATCCGGTCTAGCTGCTGTCCGTGAGTGTGGGTTATACGAGCAGTTTCTCAACTTTACTGGTGAATGCTCCGAGGCAAACAAGGTTTCGGACAAGGAGGGCAACATCCTGTACGAGGACAAAGGGGAGATGAGCCATCGCCCAGAGATCTCCCGCCACAACCTCACAAATCTCCTGGCGTCGCATTTGCCGGCTGATTCGATTCAATGGGGCCACAAGCTCCTCTCAGCTTCTCCACAAAGCGAAACTAGGCAGACCGTGCTCGACTTCGGTACCAACGGCAAGCATGCTTTCCACCTGGTTATTGGTGCAGATGGTGCCTGGTCTCAAGTTCGCAGAATGTTGACAGATGTGAAGCCACAATACGCGAACACACAGAGCTTGGGTGTGACAATCCGGCATATCACATCTAAGTACGCACACTTGGCAGAGTTCGTCGGTGATGGCAGCTTCACCGCGCTTGGTAATCGACATGGCGTCATGTCTCAACGCGGATCGCAAGACTCGGCTCGCATCTATGTCTTCCTCACACATGAAGACGAGCAATTTCATATCTCATCAGGAATGGCGGACCAACCGGCTACATTTGCCAAGGACCGACTCTTGAAGGACGACGCACTGCTTGGCCAATGGGGACCAATCCTCAAGGAGCTGGTGACTGTCGCATGCGACGAGGAGGCTGCGGACAATCCAGGTACCCCGGTTGAGATTCGGCCGCTCTATATGCTCCCCCTTGGGACTTCATGGGAGCACAATCCCAGCGTGACGGTCATTGGTGATGCAGCGCATTTGATGTGTCCGTGGGCTGGCGAGGGAGTCAATGTGGCCATGTGGGACTCGTTGTTGCTCTCTCATGCAATTATTAAAGCTTATGAGGTTTCCGGGCGAGATGGCAGCTCGTTTCAAAAGGCGCTCTCTCCAGCGATGAAGGATTTCGAGGTGGAGATGGTGGCTCGCGCAACGAGGTTCTCAGAAGAAGCCGTCCAGAACGGGAAGATGCTATTTGGGGAGGATGCTGCGAAGGCTTTCGCAGATTTCTTTCTCAGCATGCAGCAATATATTGAGAATACACAGCGATAAACAATTGCCTGGGCCTGACTGTGGAAATTTATAAGGTCCTCTCTAGATATAGACGATTTTATAATTAATACCCCTTTACCTACCTGACGCCTAGATTTAGGGGAATTGGCCACTTCCTGGTTGGTAAGGAGGCGTGGCATAACTGCGGAGATCTGGGCAGCCAGACATTTTGGCTCTATTACAGTAACTTAATTTTCGGGTGTGTTCATTTCACAATGTGGTCAGTCTTGCAGCGTAATTCACAATCACCGCTTTGGGCGATGACATTGGTTATGCATGGAAACAAACTGTTTGCCTTCCAACCGAGATTCACTATAGCTAGTGATCCATATGTCCGAGGGCACCGTCTCCCTCATATTCTCCTCCTACACTTGACAGCTCCCTGGTCTGGAGCACTTATTTCCTGAGAATAGGGGAACTATCTGATGGGATTCCGTTGGGTTGAATCCAAGTGTTTTTTATCAACTTAAGTGGCGGCTTCGACAAGAAGCCGCCAAAATCATTATGTTAAGAGCATCAAAATTCCGCGTGGAATTACACAGAACAAACGTAGACATTACCGGAAAAATACAATATTTGACTTGTTCTCTGGCCGCCGTCGGAAGCCGCCGGTTTGTGTGATGTGTGGGAGTCTGGAATTTGCATATCCACTAGTAAATTTATTAGATAGTGTTCTGTGACAATAGTTGAAAACGATGGTATTCAGGTCTAGCTATCATGTCCATATTTATAGTAGAGAAGCGGAAAACTCTCTACATGCAGATGAAATCCGATCACATCGGAGCACGGTTTCCAAATTAGGCGAAAACCCGGTGAGCCATCGTCAGAATGCGCCAGCTGGATAAATTACCTAGGAGCCATTATACTGACAGTATGTGCAAAAAGTCCACCGAACTATTCAAGGAACATTTTGTGGATAGGGAGGAGCACTACCTGGCAGAGTCGTCTGTTGCGCCACGCGGGGGTAGGGGAACTTTGTACCATTAACTTCCATTGCCCAACACGCTTGATTGATAATCCATCTGAATGATTCCTTCTGAATGTTATTGACTGCGGGATAAATTTCAGGGGATTGAAACTCACCTGAGTGGTGGAAGGGTGACCCGCAAAGCTTCCCACGGGTCCGGGCCATGCGCCTGCGCTTTTCAAATAGTCAAGATCACATACCGGGACATTCACCATGTAATTGTTTACAGGCTTCAAGTCTGACTGTATGAATTGAAGAGTCTGCGTAATGTCTCGAATAGGTTCCCAGCAATTGCACTCGATCTGACTATTGTATGCAGACGTTGCAAAATCCATGGCATCCAGACCGAAGTGTGTTAGGTTGTCAAAGCCATATACAGGCTTGTACGGAGGTGCCGAATCGTAATCATCATCATAAGTATAGCTCGGGGTGTTTTGAATGAAGAAAAATGCTGTTGATCCGGAACCGGAACAGGCTCGGGCAGAAAGACCCTGTGTATCATCTGAAACATCTAGATCGCAGGGGTGGACACCATCAATCTCTTCGGACACTCTTACGATGAATACCTGCTTTTGAACCCACAGCCAAGATAGGATTCCACTATTTATAGCTGATCTTGCTATAGAGCTAAAGTGGTCAAGGTCGGCCGATGAAGGAGAGGCTGCAAAATGGCCACCCTTAATAAGCTGCGGCGGGGTGTTTGGTTGGTCCGGGTAATAGTTATACCACCCTGAAGCTGGATCCCCAATAGAGCTGCAGTTGACAGGTGTGTTGAGAACTCTATTGCCAAAGTGTTCAATTGCACTTGAAAAATGCATTTGATATTGGGAGATGCGATCACCAATCTCAGCCGACTCGTTAAATGCGGTAAGAGCACTATAATTTGTAAGTTGGTTTCCCGAAGATTCTTGAAAGAAAAGTCTAACCTTATATCCGTCGTATCTGCGTCAGCAACAAAAATTCCTGTACCAAGGCTCATGCCACCACCGAAGGTTCCCGACATGGCTGCGCTGCTTGCTCTTACTGCTTTTGGTAGAAGGCCAAACAGCGAAGCCAAGGCACCGAATATAGCGGATAAGATAATGAATGCAGCTTCTTCAGAAGATGCTTGATGATTCTTTGCGGCACAAGTTCATTAGTTTTGTAGAAATCCAAAAGGATGATTCGGGGCATTCTCACAATAGGGTGTGTATCGTCTGTAAAAAGCCTGACCATATTTTGCGATTCCTCGGCAGAAACCACACAAACGTCGGTAAATGTTTGGTTCACCTGGTGTAAGTATGTTTGGAGATTGACGACAGCTTTGATAATCCATAGGTAGGCTGGATTAAGGCCCTGCTTACACTGACCGAAGTTGCCATCCATATTCGACCAGTCAAAATTGCAAATAGTCCTAATTCTCAATTAGGAATCAGAGTGCTAGATGTGAATAGAGGCAGTAAAACGAACATATCGCACGTAAATTGTGATAGCCAGGGGTTTCCTATTGATATCTCGTTTACCATATTTACCATTCCATCTATGTAAGTTCCATTGTAACAATGCAATGACGACATAAAGGGTATATCGGACCTTATTAAGAAGGTAAACGAAATGGACATCTGGAATAAAGGGTAATACTTTTAGCATATAACTCACAGCATATCCACATAATTATCCATTTGGTACTCCTTCCATTTCTCAGGTGTCCTTTCTTTCTGGTATTCGCATACACCTTCCCAGGGCGGGTGAGGAGGGCGTACAGGTGAAGGGGTAGGCGATGCGAGTTGGGATGATGATGAGGAAGGTGTAGCGGGGCTACTATAAGCGCCCTTTCCAGGTACCCCCTTAACAGAAATGGCTGTTATGAGGTAGATGAGCTTCCATGTCTCACGAAGAATACGTATGAAGGCGAACCTAGCATTGCCCAAGTTAAGAGAAGGAAAATAGCCATGATGACAGCGAGTTTGCTCAAACAAGTGTTCTGTATGAATTGATTATCGTAATTGATGAGAATTAGAAGCATCTAAGCCCTGTTTAAATACCTTAGGTCTCCTCTAATTTACTTGCCATGATTATAGTGGTATAGTCACTACAGCGCCGAGACAGATACAGCCCGACCTTATTAAGGGCCAGTACAACATCTAAGGTCCTAGAGCGTTTCACCTTAGAAATTCGCTTTTTAGACCCAAAAATGTGCCTAGCCTACATGTTGTCATCCCAACAATCACACTTTCTGTTCCGTTCCGCTGTGAGAATATGTATCTTAGTCACATGACTTCCCTCAGCAACGGTCGTTGCCTGACGTGGGTTGTCAGCCCCCCCACCCCCCAACCCCACCCCACCAATTAGCTGACCAGAAGATCTGCCAGTTGTAAACCAGAAAGGTAAAGCGCTGCATTTTCGGCCCCTTTATTACGTATTACTGAGTATATTGCCCCAAAAAAATTGGGGCTGGCCTTCTTCAGACATATGGCGGACTGTATCTGCTTATAAAGGATCCTGAACCCGTTTCTACTCTTTTCTCTCCTTGAGATAAACCTGGGACGAATAATCCCCTAAAATATTTAAAATCATGCATCGCAATCGGCTTGTTTCTGCGGTCATGTGTGGCATCACCGCTCGCACTGCGGGGAGCGAAAACATCGCCCCTTTCTTTCGCCCAGACAATGCGACGAACACGCCACTAAGAGGCAGCTCATCAGATATATATCAATGGACAGGATCGTGAGTGTCTTCTCCAAATCGCATAATAGCCAACGCCTAATAGGGTAGGTATTATAATGGCACCGCAAAAGTCGAGTTCGATGTTTCGCACACGCTTAAGCACGAAGGTCCTGGTTTGGGTCCGACGACCTGCAACAATTTTGACAATGAAACGATCACCATTGAATTCCCAGCGATTTTTGCTGTGGTGCCTGCCGTGAGTAGTAGTAGTTCTACAAACCCTATTAATTCAATCTGGACCTTCTGGCACGAGATCTCCGCATTACCCGAAGGGCAGGCTCTCTTGGATGATTATGACATACTCACCGACAACGACGCCGTGGGCGAAGGTGGGAAGGAAATGAAATGGGAAGAGAGTTCCGTTCAGTGAGTATTATCCTAAATATTTGAATGGAGACAAGTATACCTAATAGTCCTTGTGTCCATAGTACGTACGATACACTCGAGACCCAAATGTTCCCACTCACGATAGAAAATGCGGATAATGGACATTATAATATCATAGGCAACTTGAGCTCTAGTTATACGTTGTCTATGGGGCCATTCCATTTGCCCGCATGCAATAGAACTGGAAGCGAGAAGTTTACTATTGATTTTAAAGATCTATCTCATCCAGGATACAATAGTTCCGACTGGCCGAGTTTCGGGTTTGAATTCGACAAGAGTGGGCTCACTGCTACATGGAATTCACCGGCTGCCTGGATGATCGCACCCGGTTATAGTCTCCAGCGCAATGGCAAGGTGAAGATTACGTTTAGTGGAAAGGTCGACTCATGGCATTCGGACGTTATGATACCTAGCCGTCCCGCCCCATCGTGGAACCTCACGGTGGGTTACGACCCAGATTACTTTGGATATAATCCTCCTAAGAATAGCGGAGCAGGTGGTTACCTCTCTCCATCGAGATGGGTCGTTGCTGCTACCGCTGGATTACTGTCTGTTACGTTCATGGGGCCTTGATCAAGATCTCTTTGTTTTGTCGTCATCGTGAGTGTCACAAAATACGGAAAATTACGATGTTTGGAGGTGCTGTAGTGAGATGGTTGACATGGCGGGTGGAAAAAGTGCTATCCCAGCTTCAAACGTCGGTCCGCTCCTACCAGTTACTGTTATCCTTGATATTGTATTTCATGGTACTACGGGGCACTATGTAATCGGCGTATATTTGGTCCCCAAATTGTCCAAGGTTTTTTTCCGAGGTCCTTGCGTACAAATGTACATTTCATATTCTCTCTAAATGTAGCTCACGTCATGAGTGCCATAGAGGTTGTTTAGTCTACTTTCGTGGTGGCAGTTCTAGTTTTTCAGTGTTTTATAGAAATATTCAAATTTGTTGATTCAAGTCCCTTTATCACATCGAAGCCTTAGTATACCTCTCGAAACCCTTGTAGATCTCGGGAACGTACTCGTCGACGTTCACATTTCCGAAGGGTCGGGTGTCTAGGATTTTGTTCATGACATACCCTATGGTCATCCGTCGGCCGCGATACATGATTACCATAGATCCTCCCCAGCCCCCCCCAGAAACAAATGGTATCCGAGTCGCTGTCCTCTTCTGGGATAGTAGGCCTTATTCCATTGCTAGAAGGCAGCCCGAGCCCGAGGGCGAAGCGCATATTGCCAAGGAGACATGGATCATCCCATCTAATTTGCTCCTTCATCATTTCATCGAGGATTTGGGGAGTAAGATATTGCTTTCCATCGACAGAACCATCCAGTGAGACGATAGATCCTATACGTGCCAGGGCACGTGCATTTGAGAATCCACCCATGGCTCCATTCTCGGACTTCCTAAAGACAGGTTTATTAGGAATCGTAGGATCCATCAAGGACCCTGCAAAGGCCCGAGCCACGAGACTAGTAGGTTCAACAGCATTAAAAGCAGTAGCCATAACCTCCGGTGAGAATGGAATCATCTCAGCAGTTCGGGGCCAGTCCTCCTCAGGCACACCAAGCTGGAAGTCAGCCCCTAAAGGCTTCGAGATCTCTTCGCTGACGAACTGGGTCAGGGATTTTCCCGTGATACGTCGCACAAGCTCGCCTATCATAAGACCGAAGTTGGTATATTGGTATGCGGTCTGCGAGCCTGGGACAAACCAAGAAGCTTGCCCTGCAAGCCTCTGAGCTGATTTCTCCACATCTTGCATTTCCTCGGCAGTAATCGGTCCATCAAAGGCAGGGAGTCCAGAGGAATGGCTAAGAATATGTAAGACCTTCATATCCTCTTTACCATTCGCTGCAAATTCAGGCCAATAGGTCGCCACTTTCTCGTTCACATCTAATAGGCCACGGTTGACGAGGATATGAGCCGCCAGGCTGGTGATAATCTTGGTACATGACCAAACTCCAGTAATCGTGTCTCTACCCCAAGGTTTGGTCTTGCTTGCATCTTCATAACCACCCCAGAGGTCCAGAACATTTCTTCCGTCGATATTGACACAAAGGGAAGCGCCTACTTCATGTCCATCGGCAAGCTTCTGTTGCAGAAGGCCACGCACCGAGTCGAAGGCAGGATCACAAGAACCGTGTACTTCAGCCATAATTGTAGCAGCTGCTTCGGGCGTGCAGTGTTGATAACGAGAAGCGAGAGGGTTTGACTGGCAATGGAGAATTCAGGTAATGTGCGAGCGTGAAGTCAGCACTGAACAGTTGATGGGGAAAACAAAGAGTCATGTTAGATCACATTTTACATTACAGTTAGTCTTTACCAATTATTACAGGGATTCTTTCCCTGGTGCGTTACAGTAAGATATCGTGGCGTATTGACTCCTGCATGGATGACGATCCTCTTTTTCGTCGATCCTCACTCATGGTTACATGGTATTCTACCTGGGCAGGATTTAATTTCACCACTAGATTTAGCAGTTCCGTCCGTCATATCATTAGGGTGGTAGCCTACGAGCGCTCCCCTCTTCAGTACATGCTCCGGTACCTGATGAAGTACATGGTGTGCTTGGTGGGGCCTGCCGGTCTATGATCGGTTCGTTTGCTCGCCTGCCCTCTCATAGGCGTAGCGCGTCCTCCGTAGATCTTTCCTCCTCCATAACTTCAACAAGTCATCAATGCCGTACCTCTACTGTTTGTCCGTAAGTGAACAACCAACAACCAATAACCAACAACCCCCTCCCCCCGCGCGGGGACGTATATTGATAGTAATGTCAATACATGTGCATACGTAGCGGTATTCTTAACATGTGCATGTAGAATGCAGGTACTTAAGGTAGCTCCCGATGCTTGAGATTTTTCGCTCAGCTTCATTTATCAATTGATCCTCCTGAAACCTTTGAATATAACAAGATGCAGCTTCCGAATATCGAGAACCAGCCAAACGGGTCTTCTGGGTCATCGCAGCGAGCCCAACCTTCGAAAGACCATGACCATCCGGCAATTGCAATCATCGGCATTGGTAAGCAGCTTCCTGGGCCATGACAACCTGAAACCCCGATTTTGGTATACTGGTGAGCCTATGAGTCTACATCACTAGCCATACAAGGAAATTTCAATGTTTTAGGATGTCGGCTACCTGGAGACATAGCCAGTCGTCCCAGCTGTGGGATTTCTTGGCCCAAGAACGATGTGCAGCTGGCGTAGTCCCATCCTCACGCTTCAACAATGATGCCTATACAGGTGGCAAAGATGAGCCTGCCACTTCTGTGGGACCAGGGGGATACTTCCTGCAAGATGACATACGCCAATTCGACAATCAATTCTTTGGAATCAACAACCGAGAAGCTGCCGATATGGATTCGCAACAGCGAAATCTACTCGAGGTTGTCTTTGAATGTTTTGAAAGTGGAGGTCATCCTCTAAGTAAAGTTTCCGGTGCTCAAATTGGATGCTACGGTACGTGATTATCCTGTTCCCGACTTTTGTCGACTTTTCTCAAAGCTATCTTGCAAGAACATATCTGACATCTTAAAGTTGCTACTTTTTTGCAGGACTTCGCTGCACTACAGAGCAAAGACGTTGAATGGGTGACTCGCTACTCAGGAACATGGATAGGAATAACCATCTTGCAAATCGGGTGAGCCACGCTTTCGACCTCAAGGGCCCCAGCTGTGCTATCGACACTGCTTGTTCTGCTTCAATTTATGCGTTACATCAAGCCTACTCGGCCCTGAAGAATGGCGAGTGCGAGTCTGCAGTGGTAGCAGGTGTAAACCTCATCCAATCCCCAGATCTCCGTATCTCTGCCTCGGAGCTCGGAGTTCTTCCACCTAGCTCTGTGTGCCACACATTTGATACATCTGCAGACGCGTAGGATTATTTTTTATTTATTTTTTATTTATATTTTTTTTGAAATTTGACTCGGGTATCAATGTATCAATAGTGACACTGAAATTACATAGGTATGGTCGTGCTCAAATTCACCCTACTCTATTATAACTACTGCCTAAATGTCATACAAGAATATACCATACATTTAGCTATAGCCATGTAATCCACCACGAGACTAGCCATTTATTCTTGACCGTTGGCCAGAAGTACACGTCCACCGTCGACACATAGAGACACACCATCCACGTAAGCCTGCTTCATGTTAGTTCAGAAATGGATATATTGGCTTGAAGTTACCTTACCCCTGCTTTGCTAGCGAGATATAGAATTATTCCAGCTATGTCCTCAGAGTTTCCTGCACGTTTCGCTGGCACTTTATCAAAGAGTGAGCTGAAAATATTGTCTTCCGCGCCGACGGGATTCATGTTGCTTGGTACAACTTCAATTCCAGACATGTATATATTAATAATTTACGACTGAATAAAATGGGCAGAGATCAAACTTACATCCGGGATTGATTCCCACGACTCGTACATAAATCCGGTGATATTTGGCCGCCAGCAACTTCACAAGATGATCGGTTGCAGCCTTGCTGGTCGCGTAGCTGGTCAAATCCACATTCGTCGCATTGTGCATACTTGCACAAGAGCTGGTAATGATAACCACCCCTCTACCTTCATCGCGACCACGATTTCCGTTCTCCGAGGGCTGCTCTGCGGCTGCTGCCAGGAGAGGAAGGAATGCGACGCTGAGATAGTAGTGGGCAGTTGTATTGACTCGAAATGTATTCTCCCAGTCTGACTGATGAATTGACCACATCGAATTTTGTAGTTCCGTAAGTGGTGCAGTTAGAACGTTGCATTGCACAGGTGGATCTCGGCGGATTCCAGCATTGGAGATGAGTATATCCAACTTTCGTTCGCGGAGGGATATCATCTGGGCTAGTTCGCCAATTGCATCTTTGGAGGACAAATCACAGGCAATCCTGGATTATTTTAAATGTTAGTTTAAAAGATAATACAGGGTTTATATCGAATACCCTTCCGCGCTCCCTCCAGTCTCCTGTCCCGAAAGATTAAGGTGCTTCACGGTCTCGTCCATTGGGTCAGTTGGCAATGCCACAAGGTAGACTTTTGCCCCATTGGTAACGAGCCCCTAGAATGAACGGAATCTTTAACGTTGCTCGCAACTGCATGATTTACGCCAACTAACGTTGCAAATCATCAGCCCTAATCCACTGCTCCCGCCAGTCACTAGTGCGACACGACCCTTGACGTTGAACAAATTCAGTGCACTCAGAGATGACATGTTCTGATTCTGTCTCTGAAATGTATTATTAGCCGCATTTAAGTAATTTCGAGAATCGAGGTCACAGTATTTATGATGTTGAAAAGGTAAAGTGGGGTCGTACTGGTTGTCCTTGTACATATCGGCGGCCGTGTCGGCCGCTCCGACAGTATCGCTTGATGCGACTCACATTCTCTATCGGGTCTCTGAAAGAAATGGGGATGTTTTAATAAGCCAATAATAAAAACTAGATCATATTAAAGAGAATTGGCAGCTTTAATGAACTAGATTGAAAGACACGAAACACGACGGAGAAATATAGGCAAACTATGAGAGCAAATAAGTTGACTTTCTATTCCTTATAGTGCTCCTTGGTCCGAAGCTCAGCAGTATCCAAGCACTCGCAGGTCATCCCACTATCCCTCGGAATAAGCTTTACCTCAAAATCCCTCGGAATGGCGACCAAAGCTGTCTTGAATTGGTTGTAATCCACGTAATCCGTATTCGGCGGCTGCTCCTTACTAGCAACAATTTTATAGGAGCAGATTAGGCGGACAATGGCAGCATATAAGAGCCTTGAGGCAATAAACTGGCCGGAGCAGGCACGAGATCCAGCACCGAAACTCAGATGTGGAAGGCCCTTTGCTTCTGCTTCAACTGGAGGGTTGATCGAAGAAAGCCACCGTTCAGGATTGAATTTTCCTCCATCGGGTCCAAAGTGGTCAATATCTGTTCGCAACACTAGCATTAGTATGAGTTCCGCAGATTCTACAAGCAGTGTCCGGAAGACGAAATACATACCGTGGTTGCCTGCCTGCGCGTTGATGAGAATCATCGTCTTCGGAGGAATAATGGTACCATTCCAGTTTACTTCCGTTACGGTTTTCCGAGGCAAACTCATGGCGCTGACAGTATAGTATCGACCAGCCTCTTTAATAATTGCGTTCACGTATGGCACCTTTTCTTCATGAATGCAGCCCAACCACGCTTCGCGAGCATCTGAGTAGTATCTCATAATGTCCTTATAGGCGCGGTCCTGCCAGATCTGACCTTCAGGTGTTGAAAGAGACCCAATCGCCGAGGTCAAGGTGCCAGGGATAGTCTCAAACCCACCGGAAACCAGCGAAAGGCAAATAGACGACACCTCCACTCCGGAAAGCTTTGTCTCCTCGTCTTTGAGAATGGCGGCGGAGATACATGGCTTATCCGTGCCTTTTTTGATCATTTCCCGCACTTTGTCAAGTAGGAGGTTCAAGTATGCGTCCCGGCGTTCTCGCAATTCTTTTGACCGAGCATTTTTCTCATTGTTTGGTAGATAACGAAGAAGAGGAACATAATCTTGCAGATTCTCGGATGCACTGCGCAGCAGAGAAATGGCCGATCCGACATGCAGAATCTCGCGGAGAAGGTCGTCGTAGACTTCATCCATGCGAATACCGTAGCAGAGTGTTAGTGTAGTATTGAGAGCAAATCGTTGAATGTAAGGCCGGACATTGAGCATAACTTTTCCATCCTTGCTGTCTCGGAAGATATCTCGGATAATACAATAACTCTCCAAGTCGAACATGGGATGGTAGTTTCGAAGGGCAGGGCGCCCCAACGCTGTACCCGCTGCTTTGCGCTTCTTTTTGCACGAATCATCCCAGGGTGATGAACCAATTGTAAAGCCTTGAGTGCTGCTGATAACTCCGTGGAAGGTGTATAGCTTCGGCCTATCGATGATCGCATTTTGGTGACCGAGCAGTACTTTGCGACAGTCTTCAAAAGAATTGAATACCACAGCTCGAGTATTGCCAAGTTTTATCTGAAAGACTGAGTGTCCATACTTTCGCCACCAGCCCTCGCACACGCTGGCGTGGTCGTCGCCAAGTTTGAGAAGATGGCCGAAGATGGGCATGGCACCTGGGATTTCGGGCAGTCCCTTGATGTGCGGTATATCGGTCGCGAATGTAAACTTTATCTGGCATGTTAGGTCCGTATTAAATTGGAATGATTGGTACCTGCACTCACAGCATAGATCAGATACCCAACCAGCGCTACTATCGCGAGGGAGTAGTAGCCTTTCGGCACGACACCCAACAACTCTGTCCATGTTTCGTCGACTTTTATTTGATCAAACATTTTTGCTAATTCTTGGGAGTTGGGATTTTTTTATCTGGCTGTGAACGAAATATGTACACCTGCCGGGAATGGTTGGGTAAGGGGCTTAAGTAGTAATCCAAGGCGGGATGCGTCGTTCAGAACGGCCACGTCGGACACTATCAGGGCTCCGAATAAGAATTCCCGATGTCGATTGAAGCTAAGGACCAAATATAACACACATAGTGAGCTTTACCTGCCCGACTAGGAACCAGGAGCACTGACTACCGGCGACTGAGGGGCTTTGTCGGACAGTCCGACAAGCGATAAACCAGACGTCATCGACCTATCACGCGATAGTTAGGTCCTTCGCTGTATGTCTGACAAATGAGAGAGGCAAATTCTATCAAAAGTTTTTAGAAGAAACTTTCATTCGGCCAGTCACTGTGATGCTCGACAGTCGAGATCTTGCAAACGAATGCTTCATGTGCTACAAGACTCCATATACGGAAAGGGTATAAGTAATTTTTTTTTCTAATAAAACTACAAGCTAGAATGCCACACCAGGAATACCACTAGCTTAAGGTCGATCCAGAAAACTTGTGATCTTGTCATCCATCCACTTGTTGTCCTCCGGGTTGATACCGCCTCCTGCAAGATGGCCCCAAATTGATGGAATCACGGCCAACTCGGCGTTTGGCAAAAAGGAGACCTCCTTTTCATTCGCCTCCTATCTAAAATATTGGTCTGTCTGACAAGGCATGAGGAGGATGCGTGTTGTCAAACGCTCGAGGGCTTCACGCAGAGTAGTAATTTCGCCGTGGATATTGCTAATATCGCCTCGCTGCCACATTCCTAGCATGACAAGCAGATCGTCTGCATGCCAGTCCTCGTACCCTTTTACACCATTGTCCGCCCACTCATCCAATGTCTTGGAGCCTAATTTCTCGAACATGCGCTCTTCAAACCATTCGGCGCTCGCCAACCACGCGGAATATGCTCGTCCGAACGCATGCAGCCCGCGAATGGGTGTCTTGTTTTGTGATCGAAATTTGCCGTCGTCATAATCTATAGAGTTGAGTAGCGCAGCCTTGGGGCCTTCGAGGAACTGATAGTTGTGCAAGCTAGTCTTGGCCGAAGAGCAAATGATAACTGCATTGCGAACCATCTCCGGGTACATTGCCGACCAGTGATAGGCACATTGCCCACCCATTGAAAACCCCACTATCACATCCAAAGTAGAGATATTCAAGTGCTCTGTAACGAGTCTCTGTTGAGCTCGCACACAATCTTGGTAATCAAGGAGTGGAGGGAAATTGGGTGTGTTTGATGGACTGGATGATTCGCCGTTGCCAAGTAATGCCACCACGATGACTCGATAGTCTTTCAATGCTCCCTCTCTGAAGGACCAGGTGGTGTCAATTCTGCCTCGAAAGCATGTTGGAACCAAAGCGGTCTTCTTGCCATTGGGGTTGAACTCGCGATAGGCAAGAACGACGTCGGGCAGGATTGTCCCATCTTGAAACGAGAAAGGTCCCAGTTGATAGGATTGCATTTTCGAAGTACCCTGATGGAAAAAGTTAAGTGCAAATCTTAGTGTTATGGGAAGGAATTAAAGAGAACAAAATTTAAAAACAAGGGAATTAGAATTTTGCGCGGGGAGTCCGACATCGCAGACCCCCCCACTCCCCGCAATCCAGCTTCCCCCGAACAAATATTTTGCTATACGATGGCTATTCGGACATCTCAACAAGAAATCACACTTCAAAAAGGGCTGTTGCTTTGATCTCCACCAAAAACCGTGGATCAGGCAGCTCTCGAACCCCAACCGTCGCGCGTGTCGGGGCACTGGCACGGTCTGGCCAGATTTTGTTCCATTCCTCATTCATACCGGCATAGTGCTCCTTCATGTCCAGGACATAAACCGTCGCGTCCACAATATTGTACAGATCCGCCTTTCCATTAGATGCTCCCTTGATGATTGTTTCGATTCGCTGTAGAACAGCGGCCGTTTGTTCTCGAACATCTGCCCTAAAGGTACCATCTGCATTTTGAGTGACGCCTTCATATGTTCCGTCGGGTTTCACAGCAGCAATTCCAGAAATATATATCGTATGGTTTGTGGACGGCGGCACCACGCGTGCATGGGCGTATCGAGTGGCACCGGATGGCCGCTCAGGGTCCAAGAGGAACGACTTTGAGTTGGAAGGCATGACAAGGTTTTCAAGCTAATCACAGTAGATTGACCACAATAATCGAATTTTGACTGGAATAATGCAACAGTGGTGGTGGGTTCTTCTTTTTATGATATCTTAAATGTATCACATACTGGACAATGCGCTGCGGTAGGCCCGATATTGAATTCACTGGTGGCGGCATACCCGAACGTAGATGCTGACCCCAACTTTTCTGATAATCTGTGAGTAATTTGATGGGGAGAGAGGACCGTGCCGGCCTTCCCCGCGCATTTTGCCCATTTTCTCCGATTGTCAGAATATACATGGTGGACCAGATTGGCACCGGGCAAGATCAATGAAGTCAGTATCATGTCCGATCCAAAGTCGTACGTAATAGTATCAAAGAGAGAACTATCTCGGCAAGGAGAACAATCTCCAGGGCTTATCTGGGATCTTTGTCGTGATAAGCCTAGCGATAACGAGGCTGGTACACTGCCAACCCCGCAGTATTAGATCGACTCCGCTCACATCTGAAGAGAGTGAGCCTGCCTTTTGACATACTACCCGACCATGAAGATGGCATCTGCAAGAGCAGAGAACTCGTGCAAGCGATGTCATCGCAGGAAAAAGCGGTGCGACAAAACGCTACCCCAGTGTGAGGCATGTCAACGCGCCAAGGTGTCGTGTAGCTTCCTGGACGACGAAGCTCAGGTGGCGGCCTATCCGATCGCGTATGAAATCTATCAGCTGCTTTCGTTGTTGATCAAAACTTCTGACACGCTAATAGATACGTACGTGGACTAGAGCTCCGCGTTAAAGAACTAGAGCGGCAGCTCTCCTCGCTTCTCGCATCGTCAGATGAACCAGCAAATTCCTCATGCCTATGGAATGATGTGGATATTACACTGGAGGGCTGTTCCTGGGATTCAGAGAACCAATCTATTTACGCCACCCAACAACCGCATGTTTCAGATCCAGTGGAAGTCCTGAACGCTATTCCGGGTTCTTCCCCGAATGGCGGTACATCTGTCCCGAGAAGAGACAGTCTAGTCGAGGAACTTCGAATCTTGTCTTTGGAGGCAGCTGCGGAGCGATATCTAGGCCCTTCCTCAGGAATCAACCTGGCCAAACTTACGCAGGCTGTTCTCCTTCAACTGTCGCCAGACCAAGAGGTTTTCGTGTTTGAAGATGGGATCAGTAATAACCAGCAACAGAGTTCGGTGCCCGACTGTGGTCGTTCCCCAGAACTAGACCCTATATTTGGTGATATGGGATTTTCATTGACTTCGCCTCTCCCGCTGAATGCTTTGATCGGCAACCCGTCTATTGAAACCTATGACGATTCTATAAATCTCGCAACGTTGGACGCGTCGCATGTCAATGATATTCTCGAGTTTTACTTCGCCCACTCGCATACTCTCTATCCAATCATAAAGCAAAGGGAATTCACATCTGTGCTATGGAGAGTGTATGCTGATCCATTGGATCCCCGAGCCCAGTCACCCCTCTGGCAGTTTCGGATATGGATCGTCCTAGCGATAGGGTCAACCAGCTATTACTCGGTGTCATTGATGGACGAGTCCGAATCTGTGCAATTTTTCAACAAAGCCATGACCTATTTCGAAGCAGCAATGGGATGTGGAGACTTGGTGAGTTGCTGCTTTTCACTTGAATTTCAAGGCTCTAACCGTCGTCAGGCTGGGCTGGAGGTTTTGACGTTACAGGTCTCGTACTCATTCTTTAACAAAATTGGTCCCAGTGAGTCATCACATAACTCTTGGAGATCCATCCTAATCGTAGCCAGATACCTGGTTCTTGGTGGGGGTTGCGGCTCGCATGGCAACAGGCATGGGGTTGCACAGCGCTGAGGTGTACCAGTCTCTACCAGTGGCTGTAGCGGAGCATCAGAAGCGTCTTTTTTTCTCACTTTATATGATGGATAGGTACGTGAAAATAACCAAGTATTTTCTGGCAATGCTAACTATCAATGTACGTGCAGGGTAGTTTCTTTGGCTTTGGGTCGCCCATTCGCCATACAAGACGATGATATCAGCGTCCAGGTAAGACCTAAACTACTCCTATACAGGTACAAAGCAGCTCATATACCACAGCCTTTCGCGGATGTCGATGATGAGAACACCAATCCGAACGATATGATGCCTTCAGGTTCATTAGAACCCTCCGCGATGGCTGTGCCCCTACACATTCTTGCTCTTCGCAAAATAGCAAGCGACATTGGAAGCCAAGTTCACTCCTCAAGGAAAAACCAACATAAAACACCGCAGCAAAATGAAGAGATTATTCAATCACTGCACAAACGGCTGGTTGAGTGGAGACGCAGCATGCCTTTTCCATTGCCGGACCTACGGTCGACAGTGCCTCATTTATGTTCCAGCTGGTTCGACTTTAATTACTATATCCACGTTATCATGCTTTACCGTCCCTCGCCTATTTTTCCGACGTTGGACCCTGCCAAATTGAAAACCCTCGCCGAGGCTTCCGGAATGGCTATTCAGCAAGCAATTAATCTTCATCGACAGCGCCGATTTGCTTATAACTGGCTCAACCTTGTCTCTGTCTTTAATTCCGTCCTTTCACTTATGTATACCACCACTACTCAGCTGGATAGGTTATCGCCTATACCGGATTGTTCCAAAGTTCTAGCCAACCTTGAGCTGGCCATTGAGCTGTTGGAAACGTTTGAGAAGAAGTTCCCCTCGGCTACGAAGATTCGAGGCATGGTGCGAACTGTCTCGGAGAAATTGAGATTGTACACTATTCCTTCAGATAGTTTTTGATTTTGCCCTAGGAAATGTGGATTAGTACCCAGTGGTCTAAGTGAAGTTCCTTGAAATTGCAAGTCTATTTAGGTCGGACATGTTGGATAAGTCCAGAATCCCGATTGCCACTCCAAGATTGGAGGTTTTGTTCAAATCAACTTACTATGAAGAACCAAGTCTCGGTTAGCCAATTAAAACGCGTGTTGCCGAGCCATGTCGGGCCGTCCGACAGTGCGTGCTCCCGTTTTACTCGAGCAGTAGCAACGTGACTTAAAGAACCAGGAAAAACTCGCCTGAGAGAACTGCAGAAATTTTTCTGTCATGTCTCTCATCGCAAAATTCAGGGTTATTGCACTACCAAACCATGACGGCAAAGGAGTCCAATTTCGCCGAAGTCCATGCCTCAGATAGTAACATATACTACCCGGAAGGAGGTTTGAGGGCTTGGAGTGTTGTATTCGGAAGCTGGATGGCCTGTTTTGGATCCATGGGCCTCATGAACAGCCTGGGTATATTTCAGGCCTATCTTGAAAAGCATCAACTACAATCCCATTCATCGGGAGCCGTTGGGTGGATATTCGGGCTTTATTCGTTTTTCACATTTTTCTGCGGCATTCAAGTCGGACCAATATTTGATGCTAGAGGCCCGCGAGCCCTGATAATCTGTGGGGGTACTGGCACTGTTCTCTTTTTGGTATTACTGGGATTCTGCACTGTCTACTGGCATTTCATGGTTGTTTTCGGGATTCTCGGTGGAGTTAGTCTGTCTCTCATCTTCAGCCCTTCTATTTCTATCGTTGCCCATTATTTTCACAGAAGAAGGGCCCTGGCGACTGGAATCGCTTCCTCGGGATCCTCATTCGGGGGCGTTGTGTTTCCACTTCTCTTTGAATCCCTAGTCTCTCGTGTCGGATTTGCATGGGCAACCCGTGTTATTGCGCTACTTGACCTTGTCGTCTTCGGTCTTGCATGGATTCTGATTCGGCCACGCTTCTATCCAAAGAAAAATATCGGAGCCATCATCCCTGACCTTTCAATGTTCCTGAAGGCAGATCTCATGCTCGCTAGCATAGGCATTTTTTTCATGGAATGGGGGTTGTTCGCACCGGTTACCTATCTAACTTCTTATGCCCTCGCTCACGGAATGTCTTCCCAGTTCGCATTTATGCTTCTCTCGTTGGTCAACGCCGGTGCAATCCTTGGTCGATGGATCCCGGGCTATTGTGCCGACCGCATAGGGAGATTTAATACGTTAATCATTACCATATTCATGTGTCTTCTCTGCAATGCGTGTCTGTGGCTCCTGGCAGGCTCTAGCAAAGCTGTCCTTATACTATTTGCAATCTTGTTCGGATTTTCTAGTGGCAGCAATGTGAGCTTGGCTCCTGTCTGCGTCGGCCAACTCTGCAAGTTGGAATCATATGGTCGGTACTACGCTACAGCCTATGTGATTGTTAGCTTGAGGTGCGTCATGAAAACACCATGATGTTGAAACAGTATTAACACATGACAGTACTTTGACAGGAATCCCTATAGCTGGAGAAATTCTCATGCGCTGCAATGGAGAATACTGGGGTCTAATTGTGTTCACAATAGCCAGCTACGCGGCAAGTCTGATCTGTCTCGCTGCAACAAAAGCATTTTGCTGTGGCTGGGCGCAGGTCATGAAAGTTTTCTAGAAGAGACTCCATCATCAAAAACCCCGTCAGTAGACGGAGGAAGATAGAAGATACACAGAATGTTCCAGTGTTTATGCGACCAGTAGAAGAATACCTCCTCTCCGAAAAGCGATTTATAACAACCACATTGAAATTGGCAGCTGCCAGCCAATCCGCGACGCCGAGCCTATGTGGAAAGCTTCCGCGTGGATCGGAAAACACAAAATGCTAGGGTTAACCGGTGACCTTGTCCAGAAAGGTATATTGATAACAGCTGCTTTAAATCGGCAATTGCCAGCGAATAATGCGGTGATAAACTTTCTACGAACAAGGATCTGGTCGGGTAGGCCGAAAGAGGACCCGTCATAATGTTGATTAGGATTGACTAGTCTAAATATTTGCGGGGTCCCCGATAAACAATCATTTGTTGCTTCTAATGGATCAGCGCGTTATCTGTGTTGCGTCTACCGAGGTGATAACAGTTTGTATGTCAGGGGCGGTCTATATATCCCTTGAATTAGTAGCATACACTTTCGCTATGCACAGTTCCCTTGTATCTCTATGATATACAAACACTAGCCATGGCCCAAACGAAGGAAGATGTATTTGGTGTCTCGACGGACGAGGATCTTACCCTGGAGCATCTGGGATACCAACAAGGTAGGACCGCACTGGCCATCATTTTAATGACATTGTATTCATTCGTCTGCAGAATTTCGGCGCTCGTATAGTTTGTTTGATATGGTAGGGTTCAGCTTCAGCATCGTGACCTGGTAAGAAGCACTGTTGAGCGGAAACTGAAGGAGCAAATCATTTCTAATGGCCCTTAGTTGGACCGCACTGAGCGGTGTCTTTATCGTTGGCGTGGAAGCCGGTGGCCCACCCATTATGGTCTTTGGCTGGGTTGGAGTCTGTATATTTACACTACTCATTGGATTGTCCATGGCCGAAATGTGTTCGCGCTGGCCGGTGGCAGGAGGTCAGTACTCCTGGGTGGCCATGCTGGCTCCTCCAAGAGTGTCTCGGCAGCTTTCCTATATCACAGGATGGTTTATGCTCACCGGTTTGTATTCCTGAATGGGTTCTAAACTTATGAAATCATGTTAAGCTCCCTGTTAGGAATTCTTGCTATGGGCGCAGTGAACAACTCCTTCGCATCCAACTACATCTTGGGCCAGGCAAATCTAGTTTTCCCATCGTTCACCATTGAGCGATGGCACACTGTCTTAGTTGCTTGGGGTGTGGGAATTCTCGCTCTAAGTGTTAATGTGTTTGCACCCCAGGCGCTGCATCGAGTGGCTCGACTTATCCTCCTATGGAATATTTTCACCTTTATCATCGTGATTATCACACTTTTGGCAAGTAACGACCATAAACAGGATGCCAGTTTCGTCTTTCAGGACTTCCAAAACATGACTGGATTTGGCTCCGCCATGGCTACCGTAGTAGGAATTCTACAAAGCCTCTTCGGCATGTGCTGCTATGATGCAGCCAGCCACATGACAGAGGAGATGACCCACGCAAGCCGGGACGCCCCCAAAGCAATAGTGCTGTCAGTCTTACTGGGAGCCTTCACTGGTTTTATCTTTCTTCTCACTTTGTGTTTCTGTATCGGTGATATTGCAACAACTGCGAAATCAACTACAGGTGTTCCGGTGATCCAGATATTCTACAACTCGACCCAGAGCAAAGTGGGCACTTGCATTTTGGCAAGTATGATGACTGTCATTCTCATTGTGGCGTCCATTAGCTTGGTAGCTGAAGGATCCCGATCTGTTTATGCCTTTGCGCGAGACCATGGCTTGCCATTTTCAGGCGTCTTGTCCAAGGTTGAACCGAGGAAGAAAATCCCACTATACGCCATCTTTTTGACCTTAACGGTCCAGGTTGGCCTGAATGCCATTTACTTCGGCACAGAGACCGGATTCAATACTGTAGTATCAATAGCAGCCACTGGATTTTGTGAGTTGAAGGAACCCGAAACTATGTGACCTTGAAACCACGGGATATAACGGCTAATATATTATTCCTAACAGATGTCTCCTATGGTCTTGTCCTATTTTCTCGACTACTTGGCTATTTCTCCAGCCATCATACTTCATCATTCACTGGGCCGTATTCGTTACCACTTCCACTTTCTCTGAGCTTTAATGGGATAGGTTTGCTGTTTTTGCTTTTTGCTGTGATCAATTTCAACTTTCCTTCCGAGGCCCCTATTACCCCGGTTTCGATGAACTATACCTGTGCGGCGATTGGTCTGGTGAGCTTGCTTAGTATTGTGACATGGTTTACCACTGCGTCAAAACGGTTCACTGGCCCATCGGATGTTAGAAACTTGGTGGCCAACGGCGTGAACAGCGTATCGACATTGCAGCCTATTCCTGACACGAAGTTAAGCAAGGGAACATAACGTTTCTGAGCTTTTGGTCTGCTTGTATCATTATTGTCATGCTCTATGGGTGAAGGTAGTCAGAGAACGCAGCAAATTCTTTTTTTCTTTTGGAAAACCAACGCAGTCTATAAGCTTTCAGACAAAGGAGATTCCAAAGAATTCCACCTGAAAAAGAAATGATCACGAGGGAAACTCATCAAGGAGAACAAAAGAAAGAGCAAAAACGATGGAGTAAAACAATATCAAAATCAAAACCAAACACCAAGCACAAATTCAACAAAAGAAACTCACCGCATAGAACTCTCAAATACATCTGTCACTATCGATGAGAACATCGATCTCGGTACCCTATCCTGTAGAGTCAAAACTCGTTAGACATTCGTATTAGGAGAACGAAAAACCCAGGGACGAGGGAACCAAGCATTACCTCGCTCAAACTCCGTATCTAGCTGCATCCGACTGAAAATGGCGTACGCCTCGTTGAGGACATGGGCCTCGGTGGGAAAGCGGCCCTCAACCTTGATGGACCACACGAGACGTTGCACGTTCATGATGGGATTTTCGGTGACCGTGGCGCTGCCGCTTTGGATGGCGTCTTTCGCGATCTCGAAGAGCTCCCACTCAGATAGGTCGGCATCGTTACGGTTGTAGGCGACATTTACGTACTTCAACTCCTCGGACAGTCCAAAATCGGCATCGTAAAGGCGTTCGTGGTAGTCATGTTGATCCTGTTGCTCCCAGTGGTCACGGTCGTCATTGTGTTCGAAGAAGTCAAACTGGTCGTCGTTGTCGAACTGGTTGTGGTGGTCAGACTGGTCGAACCGGTCGTGGTGGGGGTGGTGGTCGTGGGGGTGGGCGCGGTGGACGCGGTGACCACGGTGTCCGTGGTAGGCGTGTCCGTGGTGGGCGTGTCCGTGGTGGTCAGGGTCGTGGTGGCCGTGGTGACGATGGCCAGAGCAACTGGAAATACTGCGGGAATGGCGAGAGCACCTACAACGGTGTCGACAATGGACAGAGTCGCCAGAATTATGGCGAGAACGGCTCCTACCGTGCAGTAAGCTGCCGGGTGAGTACATGAAAGGCATTCTTTTTGTGTTTACCTTGTGGTTCTCTGGGAAGAGACGTCAATTCAGGGACCTGGGACTTCCTGTGTAAATGGCGATGCCGATCGCCTCGGAGGGCCTGTAGGTGGTAGTCAGGTGTTTTGGAGATCAATTTGGAATGGGACAAACGAGAAGAGCGACCTGGATTGCTGTTGCTTCTTCTTGCTTTTCTGTGGTGTGATCAATCGTGCTGCTGGTTGACGATTCCATGAAGACGGAAATTGAAGGCGTATAAATATTCGTACGTCAGACACGATCGATGGAGAATATTGACAGTCTTCTTTGAACCGTTTCAAAAATTAAAGCATGTCTCCGTCGAGAATGCATTGTCTCACGTCTTTGTGGAGTGTTTTGGCCTTCTATGGCTTTGATCCATTGTGGATTTTCTTTCATCTCGAGACAGGTTATTGATTCACTTTCAACCAGAGCCTTTTTGTAGGACGACAATAAACGTGGGAGCCGGGTTTGTCCTCAAGTTTCAGTAGCTTGAAAGACTGGACTTCAGACAAGGCGCTAGGAATGATGAACAAAAAAAAAATGATATGGGACCGTAGACTTGACAATAAAACAAAGCTTTGTCGCGACATGGAATTGGAAAGACAACATGTTACGCCATTTCATCCGCCGCCTCTATTCTCCTAACACGATCCTCTTTTTTTTGCTTCGCACGGCGGAGCCCAAAAACTCTGGCTTAGTTGTAGCTTTATCGGCCACGGTTATTATTGGATCTTAAACAGCCCAGTGTTACATTTTTGGAAATATTCATTCAATGCGTTCGAAGACTTGAAGACAAATACCCTTCCCATTAGAAACTGGGATACTGCTGTCCAATCAAATCAAAGAGAGAATCGAAATTCGCACCATCGAGCAAATCTACCATATTCAAGTCGAAATTTGACTCTCCAGTGACATCGTCGTTAGCGAAAGGCGGGAAATGCATTTCTAGAGACGATGGTGTCTCAATTGAAAGACCTGCTTCAGCAGGATTCATATCTCTGGACTGAGCAGGCTCAGCAGAAAATGGTTGCGATTTCGATGGTCCGTCTCGAGGGAAGTCGGTCTGAGGATTCGCCGCCAACGCTGGGTGCAAGCGCTCTGTTTCTCGCGCAGTAGAACCAGGAACACCCGTCGATGAGTTCATATTCGACTGGGTAACATCACTCTCCAATCTGTCACTATTCTTCCGTTTTCTCTGTCCACGCTCATTGGACTTATCAAAAGAATTGGGAGGCCTTTCCAGATACCTGATAGCGTATGGATGAGGACCTTCTCTCTCATCCGCATCGTTTTCTCTCTGTTTGATTTTATTCAATAGTAAAGACAAGGCCATAAAACAGTGCTTGGCTGTCTCCCACTGAACAGACATGACTTGCAAATATTCCAAACATTCGGAAATTTCCCTATGGTACATTAGCAGATGTAAGAATGGCCAATCCAAAATTACTACTTACTGTAGACCCTTTTCAAGTGCATATTGCTTTAGCTGGCAAGCAAATGCTAACACCAATCCAGACATCCATGCGGCCGACAGAAACCCCGGCCAGAATAATGCTTGTCGACTGCCTGTCTGTGCCTTCAATGCAGCAAGAATGGATCTAGCCGCGCCAATGCATGTTTGCAATCCAGAACAGAATACTGCGGTGGACGGGTCGAGTGATAAGGACGGTCGATGAATGAGAAGAATCAAATGCTGATACAGGACCGTGAAGAATGGGCCAAAGTCAAAAGGGCTGTCAGCCGGTGGTAAGGTGGGTTGCCCTGTAGACTTCCCCTGAAGATCGAGAGGAAGGCTGTTCCACCACTTGTGAACATCGGTCACGAGAAACAGGACGGACTTCCGCGGGACAGATCTGACCAAGAGTGACTTGTGGAATATCTCCAAGGCTCGGCCCGTGAGTGTGCCGGAATCAACGTAACTGGCAAGGATGGCTTCCCTTATACTTTGGTTCTTGTACTGATTACCCATGGTGCCAGTAGTTGCATTATCTGGGTCTCTCTGGCCATAGGATTGAACGTCATCTGATATAAGATACTGCCGTGAATTGTAAGGTATGCCCCTCTGATATCGAGAAGAGTGTATCTCCGGCGCAGCAGGCAGGCACACATCAATATCTGAATCCTGGATACCAAGAGGTAGACCCAATGCCTGGCTGAGATATCGATCGATAGCATATGCACACCAAAAGATGCGTTTTCGCAGGTGTCGATCATGCGAAGAGAGCTCACGGTATCGGAACGGACAGCGATGCAGGCCGGCGTGAAGCATAGACCGAAGAATACAGCCACCGACAGTCGACGCTGGCCGAAGTGACATGGTTGCAACTAGATAGACCTGAGTTGCTAAAAGGGCCTGAAAAGACGCTATGTCGTGGCGAGAGGAAAGAGGTCCCAGCAACGAGTTGATGCTGCTGGGTGACGGAATTGTACATTGGGCTGGAAGACGCAGACCAGGTCGTAGAAGACTGGCAAGGTTGAAAACAAATTGAAATATTATCGTCCAGCAAGCACTTCGGTGGTCAGAGGTAGATTTGGCTGTAGTAGGTCCAGAGCTGGGACCGGCATACAGTCTCTCCATTGCCTGTAGAAAACTAGGTCCGTGCAGAAATGGGAATAGAGGATGCCAAACTTTGAAGTACATCATCATCAACTCCTTTGCCAGATCTAGTGGAGGCGCACTACCCAAGGCAGCAGCAACTTCTTGGTCGTAGGTCCATTGTAAAGGAGAATCGCCCGCTTCATCGGGAGACGTACAGTCAACTTTGGAAGATGGGTGGTGAGTATGCGGCGAGTCATCGGCACCCAACAATGTGTCTTCAGCTGTTGGAAATCCAGTTTCTGATTGACCGGATGCATCCAAGCTGCCCGAAAATGCCTGTTTGACAGTGTTGATGAAATAAACTCCGCTGGAACTGCCGACAAAGTGGCTATCATCATTGGAGTTCGCCGTCAGTGAGCCCCGTTCTGACGTCTCGGGCATGTATTCTGAGGACTCCATAATGGACGGAGCAATGGCTCCACCAAGGGCTAGTCAACATCCAGCCAGCTGTATCCAGTTCAAGCCACAGGACAGACATAGCTAAAGAGGGAGAGGAGAGTACGGGAAGAGCAGCCCGATCCAGAACGATGACTAATCATGTTGGACCGCGGTGCTCAGCCAAGGAGTGAGATCGGACATCGACCATATGAGCTTAGGACAAAGAGGCTGCAGGAATAAGGAATTGAAAGCATCGACAAGTCAATTCATCTCGGAGAGGAGAGAGAAGCTCGACACCTGAGGCCTTTGTCAGAGAACAAAGAGAGCCAATCATATCAAAGATAGCGAATAGGTCACGTGAATATCTCACCGCCTTGATCTGCGCGCCCAAAAGCTCCGCGACGCCGCAACCTTACGGCGGCTTTTGCAAGTCTGAGCAGGTGCAACGCAAGAAGTGCCCGAATTGACGTGTTCAGGTCCTCTCCCCTTTTTTTCTCTCTATCACCTCACGCGCCCCTCAGCCGAAAATCGGTGGACCAGTTTCGAAAACAACCTCGAGCGCAAGGATCGGGCAAATCGCGTGCGATTCAACGAACCTGGCCGCGTTGCTCACTCTTGCAACAAGGTGCATGGTTGACTTACGTGGACAGTGCGACGATTAATATTGCCGTGCGAAAGCAGTAACACTTGATTCAACCTACTACTGCCTATGCGATTCTCATGATGCCTCCAAATCCCTCATTTGGGCCTGCGTTGATTTAGCTCTCAGCCCGCCCTTCGCTGCAACACCAACATTTGCACACTACTCCCCTCCTATAGTGCTGCATCTCTCGCTTCTCTCTCTCTCTCACGCAACATCAGAGCTCGTTTTCCGCATTGCATACCCGCCAACCTGATCAATATTCGTGACCATGGCGGGAATGGAGGCGGCCGTGTCAAACCATGTCAACGGGACTGCCGAGCGCGCAGAAACCGACACACAACACCTTTCACCGCATGATACCAAGACCGACTCCTACGAGGAAGTCTACGAGCCCAGCAAGCGGGACACCGCGCTTCCATCGGTGAAGACAGAGCCCACTAGTTCGACTTTGGAGGAATTTCCGGTGAGCTATGAGATTGAGACCAAATCTGTGGGGCTTGATGGGGTGGATGACCATCCGACCTCAAGGACAGTTACGAATCTGAAGCACGGGCTGACATCTCGCGCGTCCTCGTCTGAACGATCATCACCCGCCACGTCGGTCAAGCCAGCGTCAAATAAAAAGGCAGGGACGGGAGCTACAAAGAAAGGAATGGCCAAGAAGCCTGCTGTTAAGAAGCGCAAAGTGAATGATGCCGACGGAGACAGCGTTGATGGTCGGCGGTCCAATACGCCCGTTTCTCGCACTAGCAAAACAAAAAAGCAGGACTCGGTTTCAGTTACAGGGTCTCCAGCACCGGAAGACAGAAAGCCTAAAAAGCGTGGGAAAAGGGCCGGAAATGGGGAAGATGAGGATGAAAGTGAGATATTCTGCATCTGTCGGCGGCCAGATAATCACACGTGGATGATCGGGTGTGATGGTGGCTGCGAAGATTGGTTTCATGGGAAATGCGTCGATATCGATCCCCGAGATGCAGATCTGATCGATAAATACATATGTAAGTCATGACATGGCTATCATTTCAACAACGCCACTAACCTAAGGCAATACCACAGGCCCCAACTGCAGCCAAAGAGGGAAAGGCTGCACAACATGGAAACCAATGTGTCGACTATTCGAATGCCGCCAACCCGCGCGCGTGAAGGTCAAGCCTCCCAGCAAGTACTGTTCCGACGAACACGGCCGAGAATTTATGCGTCGACAGACTCGACACCTCCGGCTGGGCTCTTCGCGTCCACACAAGTCACACAAGTCGCAGGACGAAGATCTGGGCAGCATGGGCGGTATCTTAACAGCAGGGGATCTGAGCGCTGTTATCATGGGCGTGGGCTCCGCAGAGGAGTTCCGCAAACTCGGTAACCGCATCGTCTCCCCACCGCCCGAAGCTGATGAAAACGAAGCAAGTCCCGTGGAAGAGAACCAGACGACCGAGTCCGCACCGCAGGGCGGCAAGAAACTGGGACTCGACGTGGATGTCAAGGACCTGATGTACACGGCGGACGAGTCAGCGAAGCTCGAAAAGCTTCGCAAACTGAGGGAAGACCTAATCCACCGCAAAGAGATGCTTGCCGTGCGGACCAGTTTCATCACCCTAGTCCGACAGCGGTCCAAGAGCGTGGTTGAGCGGTTGAAGCTGAATGATCCCAAAGGCGGATGGAAAGATATCTGTGGATTCGACTCGCGGTTATCCTGGTCAGATGAAGAGTTCGACGAATGGCGACTCTCGGATGCGGGGAAAATTGCGCTCTTAAAAGGCACCGCCGAGGCCCTGGCGTCGAGTTATCCGGTCACTCCCACGTCCACAGATGCCGATGGCGATACTGCGATGGATGTTGAGAATGACAAGGATGAGATGGCATTTTTGACCCGCGGCATCTGCACCAAGAAACGTTGCGAAAGACATAAGCAGTGGGTTAAGGTGCAGCAGCAGGACATTATGTTCGAGGAAACTACCGCCGACGAGGACCTTGCCAAGTGCGAAGACGAAGCACAGGCCGTGGTGGAGAGGGCGGCGCTGAGGACGTGGGCTGAGACGGATGCCGAATAGAGTCGGGCGGAAGGAAAACGCAAAAGCTTGATACCCTTTTTTACCTTTACACTTTCCATCAGCTCATGGATCGGGGTCGGTTGATACTTTGCCAGAGACGGAAATGCACACAGTCTGTCAAGAATTGCATGGCGAACGGCGCTTGGAGATATTGGGGCTGGTGTTGGTATGACCCGGTGATTTGCATCCCGGAATAGACAAATCCAGAGTTTCACTTGATCGTGAATCATCCGTGTAGAGACCAAACTTAGCGGCCCTGAATCCAGACACTCCATTTCCCTGCACCACTCCCGACCCTGTCCTTGATCACTTCTACCACTTGCGCCCCTTTGACATCTGACAGCAGGAGATGGGTATCAATTCCTTGGTCCAGGGTCTTCGTGAGCAGGTTAGACAGCAGAGACGGGCCAGTCGAGCGGAAAATCGAATGGAGCTGATCGTCCTGTGTATCGGCTCGGTGATGCGTGCTTGATGCCGCTCTCCCATCCGCCCCCGAATACATTGATCCCAGTCCGTGGGTATTAACAAGTAGGACAGAAAGAGAAGAGCCATGCACGCGCGACACGCGAGTCAGCGTGCGCAACGTAGCAGCCAGCAGAGCAGCGCCCTTTACCGGATTCGAAGTGCGAATAACTCCCTCGGCGAGAGTGTCGAGGCCGACGACGATAAGAAGTGCCGCCCGAGCATCCGGGGCTATTCGGTTCGTCTGGTCATCCGCTAGTCGTTGCGAGTGCATCTCCTGCAACTCGTTGGAAACTTTACTGACGGCCTGTGCCGCGCCGGCAAAATCGTGCACGGGGAGTAAGTGGACTGAGTCGAGGCGCTGGATTGCTTCATCTCTGGATAGACCATTGGCTGAGTGGGAAGGATGTGGTGATAGGAGATCATTGAGTAGAGTACGCGCAGAAAAAGCACTGAACGTGTTTGGGTGGATGATGAACGCGCTTGGGTCTGGTGAGGCTGGTCTGGAGCGCAGGTGTGTTGTGAGCAGGTATCGCGGGATCTGGCCAATATATTCATTATTCTCGGGGCTTTTCGCTCTTATTCTGGAGAAGCCGATGATGACGCCGGAGCGGAATATACTGGAGTTGGGGTGGATGCCGTTTTCCAGGTCTTGCTGGAGACTCCAAGTGTTGTTAGGTTGTCGTGGTTTGGGTGTTGGGGAGGGAGAGAGTAGTGTATCGGCCAGAACGGGGAGCGCAGGCTCGGCGGAGTAGACATTAGCAGTTGCCATATTAGTGCGGCCTGTCTGGTATACAGTAGTGCATAGGTAGGCAGTATAGAAGGGTTGGTGGAGGAAGAAGTGTTTGGAGAGAGCCCCACCAAGATATTCGAAAGACTATATCCGCTCCCAGCGGTACTACAATCTATCCCCCGTCTTTCCGCACCGACAGTCGCCGCTCTAGCAAGCTATTCTAGCTACACCATATTCAGCCTAGTTTCGTATTTTGTAATTCATACCGGAAGTAGGGGTGATCAACTTTTGCGGCGCCACTGTATAAACGCAGTTGGCGCGAACATCATGGGATGGGAGATATAAGAAGGCATCCATGAGAAGGCATCCAGCCCGCTCTGTTCTTGTTGTCCAAAAAGAACCTTCTACATGGGTTCTGAGACCATCTATCAAGAAGACTTCGAACTGCTGGCGTATTTCTCTCTCGGGAATTTCAGCATCTGAATAAGCCTTGCCAGCTAACAGAGCGACAGCTCTTGGAGAAGCAAAGCAAAATCAAGATGATGATTCCAGAAGGGCAATGCGAAGCGCGTCAGTGATACTGGGATTAGGACGTGAGGATGGTGTTCGGCGTGCAGGAGCAACGGAAGACATAAGTTACGCACTGGGCTCGATAGTTTGTTTATAAGACGAGCAACTGATATTGATGTGAATATTGTAAGTGGTGAAGCTAGTATATAGTTTCATCGCGTGAGGCTGTGCCACTATTTTCCTGATGGTTGCATGGCTTAAACTGAAGTATACGAGCTCGCCGATGTCCACGATTTCGGAGTTCATGTGGGTATCCGCTGCCACAAGTAGAACGTGGATTTTTGTGCCAAGCAAGCCCACCCTATTTCCAGTGATAGCGTCCATGGCTTTAAGGGTCTCTGTGAATGATCGACCGAGAGAAGTGAAGGAACTGAGTTGTATGTACAATAATAGTAGCTACCCGTTTATGCGTCGTCTCCTCCTCGCATCCACGTCCCTCGACCATCGTGCACCCACCCTGAATCATCGCCCAGATGTTCATTCAAGATGGCCAGCAGTTCCGACTGCATGGCTTGGAGCTGAAAATCACGTGTGCTGAATACCTTCAAGAAGTGGAGGCTGTGCCTCACAGCGTGCCCGATTAGGGAATACGACGTCTCGAGCTCCATCCACGGATCACTGGGATCCATTGAGCCGCGCTGCTCGGTCTCGGTGATCGTATTGCCCTCTTCCGGACCCAGCTGCATACTCAGATAGCGCAGGTTCGGCATCAGGACTAATGCATCCAGCACGAGGCGAACATGATTATAGAACGGAAACACAGCTGTGTACGAGAACGTGGTTAGGTCGCGTAGCGACTGCGGGATAAATAGGTCTTGTCCGGATGTCACCGTGACGTGCCGGGTGCCTCTCCATTCCCCCAGCACGGAGGGTGTTTGGAACTGGAAATACTCGTAGTGGTTGTATGCTCTGAGCGAGGAGGACTCGTTGAAGGATAGCGAGGTCCACGGCCGCAGAGGCAACAGGCTAGATTGCGATCCCAAATCTGGGATGTCAGTCGATCGGTCACATTCCAGTTGCAGGCTCTGCAGCGGGATATCAAATGCCCAGCTGTCGCCATCTATGATGGGAGTGCCGAGCGTCTTGCCCATGAACGTGGGCGGCGCCAGCACTGTGACCCGAAAGGGATCGATGTATTGAATCACGCTTCGCCACCATCGAGGATCAGCTCGGTGACCCGGTGAGTCGATCCCGATCACTACAATGGAGGTCACATATCGATTCAATCCGGAGTTAGTCACGAACGAGCGAAACGCCCGTTCATCGCACAAATCCAGCCGGGTATGGCGAAAGAGCCAGGGACGCACGATATCCAGCAAGGCCGACGAGCTCTGGGCCAGATGTTTCAGGTCCTTGGTGCGAGACCGGGTGAGCTCGAGGCTCGGCGGATGATGCAACTTCCGCACGGAGGGTGGCTCGGTAGACAGTTCAGAGAGAACCAGGTCCAGCAGCTCGTTGGGAAGAAGGCCAAGAGGCGATGCTGATGCTGAGGCGGACATGGCCACCGCCTCACCTTGTGTTACATGGGCACGGCGCTTGCCGGATTCAGCCTGAAGCAGAGCGCGTTGAGGCGTGCGTCACTTTCGGGAAGACACTCAACGGCGAACTGCCGGTTCCCCACTTGGATCGCCCTTGGTCAGCCTTGACTCAGCCGAGAAAAGGGCATTCTCGTGTGTTTGGGAAGGCAATGAGGCCGATGGGGACGACGATCTGCGGGGGAGGGGAGATGGGAGAGTCGACAGAGAACAAGCGACAAGAGCAGGGTATGATTTCTCTTGTAGTCGTCGTGGTCCATATCCGATAGCGGGAGCTTGACCGGAAATCCCCCCGACGCGGCGGATCTACTCGCGATCCCCACCAATTATTCTCCATTGTTCAGGAAGAAAAGATTGGATTCCAATTGCAAATGTCGCTGAGCAGCCGGCAGAATTCGATCATTGCAAATAGATATAGGTACATGTAGCCAGGGGTCGGTCTCGAGTCCGCCAAATATAACCCGGTCTATACGTACTACATGTACTACATACTATTCCTGGCAGCCAATCTTCAGCCTCAGCCGTGCGACTGTTTGGCCAAGGATGTATTTGGGTGAATATGGCACACAGACGTCTGAACAATTGCCGACGTCTCATAGGCGAGATTGGGCCTCGATGTGGAGGTGCTTCGTGCCGCCGGTGGGGCCGGTGTCGAATGGCTGCAATCGACTGTACCAAAGCCAACGGACAAGGCACTGCTCGCGTCGGAGCCCCTCACCTGGTCTTGTCTTTTGCTCCCCAGACTTTTCATCATCTTCTTCTTCTTCCTGACCAGACTTGCCTGTTTTTGGTAAGACCTCTTCCCCCGGCTGTGGCGTCGAGACCGGTCGTAGCAACTGCGGGACAAGCAGTGGCTTACATTCTGTGCAGACATCGAAAAAAATAAAATAATCGCCATGGCTCCTCAACTTCACCACCAGCCGCCGTTCCGCGCGGAGCACTTGGGTTCGCTCCTGCGCCCGGAGGCACTTCTGGCGACCAAGACCGCCTTCGAGGAGGGCAAGGTGCCCGAGTCGCAGCTCAAGGAGGTCGAGGACAAGGAGATCAAGGACATTGCCGAGACGCAGCTGAAGCTGGGCTACGCGGCCATTTCGGACGGCGAGTACCGGCGCCATAGTAAGAAAGAGCTTCCAAGTCAACGGTTATCAAATGCTGATCCAGTCTAGTGTTCTGGGGTACTTTCTTCCCCGGCCTTGAGGGATTCGAGGAAGTCACCGACTTCGACGCGGGCATTTTCCGCACCTACGCCCCTGACATTGCGGCCTTCCTCGAGGAGGGCCACAAGCCCGGCGAGACCGTGATCTGCACGGGCAAGATCAAGCACGTCGGCAGCACCTACGTCGACCAGTTCAAGTACCTCGCCAGCCTGGTGCCTGCCGAGAAGGTCAAGAACCTGAAGATCACGCTCGCCGCACCCAACTGGTACCACCTGCGCTACCTGGAGGGCAAGGCGTACCCGGCCGACGTGTACAGCTCGGACGCGGAGTACTTCGGCGACATCGCCAAGGCGTACCAGGCTGAGCTGCAGATCCTGTACGACGCCGGATGCCGCAATGTGCAATACGACGACCCCAACCTTGCCTGTAAGAAAGAGTCTTTCCTCCCAGTAATATGTTTCAGCGCTCTGACTGTAGACTCAATACAGACTTCTGCTCCGAGAAGTTCCTGGAGGGATTCGAGAAGGACCCACTGAACAAGCACAGCGCGGACGTGCTGTTCGAAAAGTACATCAAGTTGTACAACGACTGCTTCGCCAAGCTGCCGGCGGACATGCACGTCGGCGTGCACCTGTGCCGCGGCAACTTTGTCAACAGCCGCCACTTCTCCGAGGGCGGCTACGACCGCATCGCGATCAAGCTGTTCCAGGAGCTGAACGTGCACACCTACTACCTGGAGTACGACACGGAGCGGGCCGGAGGTTTCGAGCCTCTGAAGCACCTGCCGCCACACAAGAATGTCATCCTGGGGGTGGTGACGAGCAAGTTCCCCGAGCTCGAGGATAAGGAGGAGATGAAGAAGCGCGTTATCGATGCGGCCAAGTTCATTGCTGAGGGCAACAATATCTCGCTGGAGGCGGCGCTGAACCAGGTGGGCGTCAGCCCGCAGTGCGGCTTTGCGTCGCACCGTGAGGGCAATGCCATTGATCATGATGGCATGATCAATAAGCTGAAGCTGGTTCGTGATATTGCCAATGATATCTGGCCTAACCAGCCTTAAGAGGCAGAGGGCATTGCTCAATTGCATGCGAAACATGGGCAGCTCAGAGAGATGATCTGTGACGCAGGTCAAAATGTATCTTGTTTTTGAATGTTCGACGTATGGTTCTTGGATATAGTCACCGAATACATTTGCAACGCATGAAATGAACCGTATTATTTTTATCAGGGGGTGATAACTAAGATATTACAGAGCTAATGACCTGCCAAGTCTTCTTATATCATACGATGTTCACACAAGGTCCTCACTACAAACAGGCATTTAAAAAAAAGGAACCAATAATCTATTGCATTGCAGCTTCTATACGAGAGACCCACCGATCTCGACTCTACTCAGCCGGGCCAAGGATGTTAGCCTCCTTGATAGCGGATCTCTTGTGAGTTCTCTCGTTCTCAATCTGCCAGGAGACAAAAGCAATCAGTCAAGTATTCCTGGTTGCGACGATGTAGTTACTGCTCACCTCGTAGCGCGGCTCCTCCGCCGAGGCAGCCACATTACGCCCTGTCAAGCTTGTGTCCTGTGTGCTGACATCGCGGATGACGCCGACGGTTTCAGAGGTGTTAGACTCACGGCCTGAATAAAGAAAAATAGTTAGGAGTAGGGTAGTTTCGGTGAAAGTGACTAAAACCATACCGCCGACGGGCTTGTAGCGGACGCTTTCTCCTTTGTGATAGGCGGGCATGTTGATGAAATTGGTTGTGTAGCTGTGTTGTTGCGGTTTGTTACCGGATGTAATGCTGTCCGGCGAGACTGATCTGAGAATACGACACGAAAGATAACCAGGCGAAAGACAGGATCCTCGAGATCGCTCGAGTTGCAGCTCTATTTATGTCCAACGGGCGGTGCCACTGTCGTCAGGCTGACATGTACCAGGTGGCATGGAGGGAATTGCACAGTGAAATTGCAAAATCGCAGCCTCGGAGGGCTTTTGCTGCAATCATATACCTTGAATCTCGAGAGACCCCACCGGGAGAGGGAGTCCGGCACGACGTGGCGATGACGAGGGACACGGAATCCGGAGACGGAGGCCGAGGCACGGCAGTTCCGTTTGGAGAGATGGGAAGGTTGGATCACGGCGGTGTCATGTCAGAGTTTCGTTTCTACCTACCTAAACTAGATATTTTCTGGATCGACTCCACTTCTATACACAAGGACGAGCACCATCCAATCCACAAGCAAAAGTGACAGTAGAAGAGGGAAAAGAAACAAAAAGGAAGGGGGAGGGAGACATTATGAAAATATTAAATAATTAAGATCGGTGCTCGGGTAGAGCCCGGGTAAGAACGGAGGGGATATCATAGAAGGGGAATATGAGGCAAAACAAGACAAAACAAAAGCGGAAGAGACAAAGAGAGAGAAACAGCCCAAAGAAAATGTTGCGTCGTCTGCTCATCAAACTCGGACAGGATAGCGAAGGAGGATATCTTTTGTCGGACAATGCGAAGGGTGTTTGTTATACACGAGGTCGCGTCCACAGTAGTCGCGCCTCTCGAGATCGCCGCCGGTAGTTGCGTGTTTATTTCTGCGGTTGGGTCTTGACATTGTTCGAGAGCCAGGCCTAGCAAACGAGGGTCGGTTAGTTTTTGGAGAGAGTGTGTTTAGCAAGCGCGTGACTTACCAGTCCCTCGAAGATACCCGTTCCGTCCGTCGCAACACTCGGCGCGACGTACCACAGCTTGTCCTTGAGCTTTGTCAACTGCAACTGGTTGGTGATATCCTCCGGGCTCAAGTCTAGGAATTGGTCAGCGAGATATCCAAAGGAGGAGTAAAGACGGGCACACGCACGGCCTGGGACATCCTGCTTGTTGGCGAACACCAGCAGGAGGGCGTCCTTCATTTCCCGATCATTGATGATCTTGTGCAGCTCAGAGCGGGCCTCCTCCAGCCGCGCGGTGTCGCTGGAATCGACCACGAAGATCAGACCTTGGGTGCCGGAGTAGTAGTGCCGCCAGAGGGGCCGGATCTTGTCCTGGCCGCCGACGTCCCACACGTTGAACTTGACATTCTTATAGGTGACGCTCTCGACGTTGAAGCCGACGGTCGGGATGGTGGTGACGTCCTGGTTGCTGAGTTTCAATTTGTAGAGAATTGCTAAAAAAATCACGTCAGTAAGAAGTCTCACGTGTGGTGGGAAGTTGCACACGCACTGGTCTTGCCGGCAGCATCCAAACCCAGCATCAGGATGCGCATCTCCTTGGTGCCGAAGATCTTGCCCATCATCTTAGACACGGAGCCACCCATTTTGGCGGAGCACGTACACACGTGTGGACGAAAACGAGACAAAAAAAGAATGAAGGGAAAGCCAAGCAAGGGTCAAGGAAGAGGGAAACAAACGAATAGTGAATGCTAAACATCAAATCAAAAGGGGCTGGGCTGACTCAGCTCCCCCTCGCCGCGGCGTTTCACTTAAGGAGAGTCTCACGTGCCAATATCACGTGGTTTTCTCTCGAACACAATCGGGAATGAAGGAACCCTAGTGCGATCTGTACCCTCCGTAACAATAATCTGACCTCATTAGTGTCTGAGTCAAAATTGCCGTTGCCCCACCATCAACCCAGGCAGTTTGGCCGAGCGGTCTAAGGCGATTGACTAGAAATCAATTCTCTTCGGAGGCGGCGTCGCCAGCGGTCGGTTCTTTACTTTTTTTTTCTATCTTTAAATTTTTTCAAACTCTCCTTTTCAGTTTACAACATCAAATACAGGCTTATTTCTATCTATATGTTGATGTTCATGTACATCTGCAAATGGGCGTACGTACCGTGGTTGTGGCACAATCATGAAGTCATTTCAGTTGCACTACACAAGAATGCCTGCCCGTCTGCCTCCGACCTCCCTTGTATTGAACATACTTCAATTGTACCGACTATCACTTCATAAAATTCATAGAATATGAGCCACGAAGGTCATGGGTTTGGGCGCCGCCAGTCGGTGGTCCAGCAGCGACGGCTATCCACGCAGTTCCAAGGCAACGCCTGGTCAGGACCGCCGTCGGATGTACGTGATGCTCTTGCCGGCCGGTTTCCTCGCGCGGAGACGAGAGTGAACTGACACAACCTAGACAATCTATGGCGGTGTCTCGGGCTACTTCTCAGACCATGAGACGTCGACCGTGGCCCTTGCCGTGCGCGACACTACCTACTTACTCGACTTCATCGAGAAAGACTTTACCCCGGGGGAAGACCAAACACACTCGCAGGCTGCTACGAACTTCATCATCGCCGAGCTAATGGCCTATTCGGAGGAACATCTAGAGAAATTCATGGGCATCGCGATCCCCAAGCACGTCGCAGAATATTGCCCGCAGCTATGCTCCCGCCTGTGGGCCGAGCTGGATGTAATCCCACTTGTGCTCTCCGGGACTAGTGTGATGGACCGGTTTACAAGTCATGAGACGCCAGATATACAGGCGTGGAGGGAACGGACCACAGATGAACAGGCCGAATCTATGGCCCGGAAGTGCGTGCGGCTGTTCGGCCCGGAGAACATTCCCCTGCTTCAAGTCGGGCTTTTGGGCCATGTGGAGGTCGATACGGATTTCCACGTGCGGCTGACGAACATCGAGGACTTTGAGGGGACTGTCTCTGCCAAGACATGGTCTGTCGTGCAGCACTACGCGGCCGATCTCAAGAAGCGCGATATCAAGATTGCCTTCTTCAGTGCGACGCCTCAGGGTGGAGGAGTGGCCCTGATGAGACATTCTCTTGTTCGCTTCTCGCACTACCTAGGCACGAATATCAGATGGTATCTCTTGCTGTCTTTAACTCCAGGTCACACAGATTAATGGATATTAGGTACGTCCCGAAGCCACGGCCGGAAGTATTTCGGATCACCAAGACAAATCACAATATTCTGCAAGGTGTGGCACACCCGGATGAACGTTTCACAGATCGGAACAAGAGATTGCTCGAGGATTGGGTCGAAGAGAATGCGAGACGGTATTGGACGAGGCCCGGCGGAGCGCTACTTCCGCCTTCTGAGGGCGGCGCGGACGTAGTGGTCATTGATGATCCGCAGATGCCAGGGCTGATCCCAATTGCCAAGCGTGCAGCTCCAGATCGGCCCGTCATCTTCCGTAGTCATATCCAGATCCGAAGTGACTTGATTGAAATACCTGGCTCTCCACAGGCCGAAGCGTGGGAGTATTTGTGGGATCGGATCAAGTTCGCTGACTGTTTTATTAGCCATCCCGTGAGCGCCTTCGTTCCAAAGAATGTGCCTCACGAGATGGTTGGCTACATGCCTGCCTCAACTGACTGGTAACTTTGGTTGACTGTTCCAAGACGAATGGGTGCTGACGCAACTTAGGCTGGACGGGCTGAACAAGAACATGCGAGATTGGGATGTTGCCTTCTACGGCCGCTTCTTCAATGCAGCATGCCGGATCGTGGATATGCCGGTGATCCAGTATCCCGAAGGTAACTATCCCTGTTCTATGCTTCAGTCACAATCTCACCCTCTCTAGACGAATATATCATTCAAATTGCACGCTTCGACCCATCCAAGGGTATCTTCGATGTGCTAGACGCCTACGAGAAATTCCACAGACGCCTCGCATCCGAACGGCCTGACCTGACGCCACCGAAGCTCTTAATTTGCGGCCACGGCTCAGTAGACGACCCAGACGGGGCTGTGATCTACGACGCAGCCATTAACCATCTAGAAAACAAGATTCCACACCTGCGCGACCGGATCTGCATAAAACGAATCCGGCCCTCGGACCAAGCGCTGAACGCACTACTCTCCAAGGCCCGAATTGCGCTGCAGCTGTCTACCCGAGAGGGATTTGAAGTGAAAGTCTCCGAGGCAATCCACAAGGGTAAGCCGGTAATTGCCACGCGTGCAGGCGGGATTCCGTTGCAGATCGAGAACAAAAAGAGTGGGTTCCTGGTTGATGTGGGTGATACGGATGCAGTGGCCCAGCACCTGTTTGAGCTGTGGACGGACGACGAGCTGTACCGCCGCATGTCGGAGTATGCGCTCACGCATGTTTTCGACGAGGTTAGCACGGTCGGAAACGGGCTGAATTGGCTCTATCTGGCCTCCAAGCTGTCCAAAGGTCAGGTCGTCCAGCCTCATGGTCGGTGGATCAATGATCTCGCATTTGGAGAACTGGGTATCACGGCGCGTGACCAGCCGCCGCGGCTGACGCGGGCTGTTCAGGTGGAGAAGATGGGATAGAATGATGATGAGGACGTGCTCCCTTCAAGTTAGAGCATAGGATGATTGATAATGATGTCTCGGGACATTATTTCAATTCATCCAAAACAGCAGGGGGTATCAAACGTAAACGCAACACAAAATAAAAGACACCCCCGTTCTATTTACCTCCCAACCACCCGATATCTCTCCCTCGCAAGCCCACCCTCAGCACCCTCAACCCCAAAACCCTCACCCACCTCCCCAACAATCCTAGCGGGTCGTCCGCCAACAACACACCAACTAGGCACAACCATCCCCGGCGGCACCGCCGCATCGTCAAGCACACACGCGAAATCCTTGATAATGGCCATACTGCCCACGGAAGCGCCCGCCCCAATCTGCACATGATTCCCCAATGAAGCAGCTTCTACAACCGCGCGCTCGCCGACAAAGACATGGTCGCCTATTTTGAGCGGGTAGAACGAGTGCACACCGCGGTGCAGTCTGCTCGGCGGACGGAGGATGGCACCCTTGGAGATGTAGCTGTATCGGCCGACTGTAACTGCGACGGAGGGGGTGTTGGAGCTTGGGGTTGGTGTTGATGGGTCGCCAGATGAAGAGGACGGAAGACGGTACAGGTCACCCCGGATGACGGCTTCCGCTTGGATTACTGTTTTCCCGCCCAGAATGATGTGCTGTGTTCCGTGGATTTGAGAGCGGCGCGAGATCTTGTTGCCCGTGTCCTGTTCGTTTAGGGTGAGGTTAGCGAGATGCGTGGTTCAATGGTGATTGATCGAAGGGGAAATGTGGCGGTGGAAGCGTACGGTTTCAATATATTCGCCCTTGACAGCCTTGGGAGGCATTTTGTTGACGGCTGGAAGCAATTGTGCTTGAGCTGAGGTGGATTGTTGACAAGGAAGTTGGGATGGAGCAGCGGAGGGCGGTGAGAACGAAGGATTTCCGCTAGCCCTAACGACTAAGAGGCATCTGGACTACAAGATTTATTATAAGATGGATACATAGAGAGTCATAAATTAAGCAGTCTGTACACTACACAATCACGATTGAACAATTTCTGGATATCTTGGAGACAAAACAGCAAGTCCCCGAACAGAAACAAAGCACTTGATCATAACCGTCCTCGCATTATCCCAGCATATACAGCTTCAAAATATATCGACTTGACAGCCTATAAAAATTTCTACGCGTTGGTAACAGAACGCTTCGCAGCAGTGGCATCGCCATCCCAGTGCAGTTTGAGAGCTGTATACAACAGTTAGCGTTATTGAATGAGCCCTCCAAAAAAAAAAAGGAAAACTTACACATCGGGAAGGCAAAGTAGGCACTCTCGTCCTGGCGCAGGTAGGCATAGTAGCCGCCCTCCTGGGGAATCTTCTTGATCTGGCCCTGAGGACCGGGAGCACGACGGAGGTTTTCCAGACGGCCAACAACGCGCAGCATGGAGACCATGGCGAGCTTACTGGCTTCCTGACCCAGGGCGGTGTTGGGGCCCTGGCCGTGGTTCAGGTACGAGTCCAGCGGGCGGTCGAGGAGCACCTCACTGGGCTCGGGGAAGACGCTGGGGTCGTGGTTGGCCTGGACGAAGGAGGCAAAGATCTTGTCGCCGGCCTTGATCTCGACTTGCTTGCCACTGTCGTTCACAGTCGCATTGGACTGGGCCTGGCGGTATGAGCCAAAGGTGCCGTTGATGCGGATGGCTTCCAGGCAGTAGCGGAACAGTTTCTCGTCCGATTCCTTGGAGTCCGTCTTGGCTAGACGGTTGATCTCAGGCAGGTGCTTCTTGCCCTCGGGGGAGGTGTAGTACTCGACGATCTGGGTGAAGATCTGGCCCTGGTTGGGTACCATCGAGACGACGGTCGGGAGAATCTGCGACCAGGCGATCTCGGATGTGTTGAGGCCGCTCTCCTGCAGACGCTTGATTGCAGCAGTGCCGTGCTCGCGGATGGCATTGTCGTGCGACTTGAAGCCGCCCATGATGCCGGACAGAAGACCGTGGCCGGTGTCCGCCTTGACAGACGCCTCGACGACAGACCCGAGCTGCTGGGCGACGGCGTGAGCGGCGCGGTTGTTCTGGAACGACTTGGTGGGGTCCATGTCGAAGAAGAGCGCCGAGAAGATGATGGTCAGGATCATGTATAGCTCGTGCTCGGTGAACAAACCACGCGGGTTCTCCTCGGTCTTTAGTGGCAGGCCAAAGAGGTTGGAGGCGAAGTGGACGTGGGCCAGGTTGCCGACACTGTTATACGGTGAGCAAGATAACCTAGAATAATTGGGGAGTAAAACTTACTCGCGAGTGATATCCACCTGGTTAATGCCAGCAAGCTTGGCACTCTTCTCCTGAAGCAGACGGAGGGTAGTATCCTCGTAGAACTTCTTGACGAGACTGGAAAACTCCTCGGTGCCCATAGCCTTGCCCATCGCCTCGTGGTGCTTAGCGTCGTACTCACCCCTGCCAAACAGCTTCTCCATAGCGCTGCTCCAGGCGTAGCCAAAGTCCTTGGGGTTGTCCAGGACCTGCTTGACGTTCTGGTGGGACTGGAGGTTGACACGCGGCGGGGTGTACTGAGGACGGTCATACGAGTAGTCCTGCTCCCGGCCAAGGTCCTTCATGATCTTGCGGTTCTCGCTGGGGATAGTCATGGGGTAATGAGCGTAGATCGAGTCAGGCTTGTAGTGGTTGGGGAATGCGCGCATTGCCAGCTTGTAGAAGACACAACCCTGGTTGATGTTGAGGTCGTAACGGGCCTCATTGTAACCGAAGTTGGTCAGGTTGCGAGGGTTGTAATCAACCTAGACATGTTAGCGCAACCCGTTTTGAGATAGGTTGAAAGACTTACGGTGTAGAAGCGGTCACCACGGACGAGAGCCACAGCATCAGACAGCACGGCACGGGAAACGGTATAGGTCGGGGCGATACCAACACCAGGGACCATCGGTTCCTTGGCCTCCTCGGAAACGATACCGGGGTACAACTCGACGTAGTCAGGGTGCTCATACAGGTGGCGCAGCGTATTGGCAATATCCGGGTCGGAATTGATCTCTTCGAAGGTATCATAGGTCTTCAGATTGAAGAACTTACGGAACTCGTTCAGAGATCCAACCTGCCAGCGACGAGCGGCTTCCATACCCAGAATCTCAATGGAACGGAGAGCCTTGGGCACATTGCGGGGACCGAAGGAGCTAGCCACGTCCTCAGAGGCGTGAGTCAGAATCTCAACCAGCTCATCATCCTTGAAGGTACCGTCCTCCTGGCGCTTCAGGTGTGCAAAGGTACGCTTGGCTGGGTCGGCGTCCAGCATACCCTCAACCTTCTTCATACCCATGAGGAGCTCGGGCATGGTAACCTGCTCGGCAGGCTTGCCCATCAGGTCAAAATAGACCTGCTCAATCCATTTCTCGTCGCCCTGGCTGATGGCCGAGTGCCAGCGGTAGGCCAGATTAAATTCGACGGAGCACTGGTTACCCAAACCAGACGGCGTAGCCCCGGCCTTCTCCATTTGAGCACGAGGGTCCTACATTTGGTTAGTATTATGGTTGAATGGCGGCTGCGAGAGATATTTGACTTACCAAGCACCAGGTGGAGTTGGTGCGGTTCAGGTTGACAATAGTGCGCAGGTAATCGTACAGGGTGATGTTAATGTACAGACCACAAGTGATCCTGGTATTTTGTGAGTGATTGGCCTATGCGCGCGAGCTTGATCATAGAAAAAACCTACAGACGACCGGTTTGGAAGAGGTCCTCGTCGTACTTGGCCCAGGCCGCCTTAGCCTGGTCCTCGGGTAGACCGTCTCGGGGCTTGTTGAAGCGACCGTTTTCGTTGATCAAAGCCAGCTGCTCGACAACATAGTTGTGGAAACGGTTAAGCATAACCAGGAGCACACCACAAGCGGCAGGCAGAGCCTGCAGGCGACCCTCCTGGAAGCAATCGGGCTTCAATTTTCCATCCTTGTGGGTACGGATCAAATCCTGTTGCTCCTGGACATCACCATAAAGAATGGACAAATCCAAATAGGCGGATGTCTTGTTCAGATGCTGTTGGCGGTAGTCGGTCTGGAAGATGTCTGTTTTGGGAAAATTAGTCTCCAAAGCTTCCAAAACTTCTAACTTGGGCACGGACCGTGAATAACCAAAGAGGCCCAGTCGAAGAAAACACTGGAGACCTTGTTCGGGTGCGGGGTGAACTTCTGACGGGCGTAGAGGCTGTCAAACACCAGGCCTGGGTCTGGCAGACCACCAGGTTGAATGGTCAAAGGGGGAATGGAGCGCGAGTACGGGGTGTTGGCAGCTCCAAGCCATGGCAGCGTCGGGTTGTTATTTGAGCCATCGGCCGAACGATACCTGTACTCGTCACCCATGTATGATAGCGGCGGGTGCGGCAATGAGCTCCACAGCTCATCCAGGAATGAGTTGGTGAGGTCAACCCGGTTCTTCGAGTGACCAGGAAGATCGCTGACCAGCTGTGATATGGGAGACATTCGTCAATTGCTACAATGGCTGATTGAATGACGGATTGAACGAACCTGAATGATGCGCTCCATGAGCATGGTCTTGTCATCAACAAGCTCCCCAGAAGCTTTGCTCTTGATTAGATCCTTCACGGTGTTTACATCGCGGAAACCCAGAGACTTGATGTCGTTGATCAAGCCCGATGACTGATCATGCTTCAGGTAGGTGCCGTCGCCACCCTGGTTCGGCAGAGGGTCGCGCGACGCGTGGATGGCCTGCGCATACTTCTCAAAGACTGCAACCACCTCGGCGCGCTTCACTGTGTGGGATTCCTCATTGTTGGATGTGGACTTGCGCGCCGGTGAGACCTTGGAGAACCGCTTGCTTTCCTTGCCGTTCTTGGTGGGCTCAGCGTCCCCATTGGAGTCCTTGGACCTCTTGAAGGTGGTCGAGAATCTCCGAAACATGATGGCTGATTTGTCTCTCACACAACCCGAAGGGAACTCAAACAAAAACAGCACGGGGGATTAATTGCAAATGGCAATGGCCAGACTAGGAGGGAGTGAAAGAGAAAAGGAGGAGAGAAGAGCTCACGCGGCCCGGTTGCTCGGAGCAGCCTTTAAAAAACGCGGCCCAGGTCGGTTTGCTGCAGGACTGTGGAGCGCTTGTAGGTGGCGGATTTGTTATCACCAATAGATGATTGACTCGATCTGATTGGAAACTACTGTACTAGGAGTGGGCTAGCTCGATCTCATCCGCACCTGGACCTGCCGGCTCAGGGCTGCCGATCATGACACCAGCCCCGCGTGGTACAGAGCTCCATGCTCTTTCTTGCTTCCGCTAGTGGACCCGCCAGTGCGGCCCTTGTTTAGCCAGGAGAAAGGGATCATCATGGTTTCCTTCGGAAAGTCTCCATTGCGTGGGAAAAGGGGGTGGGCCAGACACGACACGTCCCTCGAGCTCCATGCTCTCTGTATTCGCGGGAGACCATGATGATATGGAGAAGCATGTGAGTATAGATCTGCACGGCGAATCATACTGTACGTCAGGACGTGCTCTGGAAATGTGATCACTTTGCCACATTAGGGATGGGCGTGTGCCACCACCGTGGATAGCGGTGTATGTACCAACCACCCGAGGCCATCAAGGAGCTTGGCAGGCCATCGAGATCCAGCTACGCCAATTCCGCGCCAAGTGGGGGCGTTTGGTCGCCGTCGTCACAGCGACACCCTTTCGATCGGTTCAGTGGCTGGCTGGGACAAGTCAAGAGTGCTGTCGATTTTTATTTTATTTTTGATTTGATTCTTTGGAAGCCACAAAGCGAGAACTTGTCACACCCCCCTGGTTGCGACACCGCACGGAATTAGCTTTGATCTGAGCCAGTCGCACCACCCAATGGCACCGGATTGGGGCTCCACCACCACTCTGGGGCCGCAACGACGATGATCTTGGACGCAAGGGCGACGTGAGGTGCAACACCTACGTATTGCTTGTGCCTGCCTGTACTGACTCAGTAAACACACATCCTCGGTGTTCTTCTTTGATCGTCACGGCCCACCCGTTCGTACCGCACCCACTCGCTATGGGCTCTAGCGCTACGCCAAGCGGCGAACGGACCGCCTGGCAGCACGAACCTCATGTCATTGGCAGCTCCTGACTTCCAGTCATTGTGCAGAATTATTCAGAATCTGATCCGTGCAGGCCTCGCCGCCCCACTTCCAGGACTTGTAACAATCGTCATGCAGATGGAGTTTTATTTGTGTTCCTCGTGGCGTTTCGCCCGGGTTGTGAAGCCCAGATCCACGAGGAATGGAATAAATCGAGAGAGAAACCGGGAAAAGGGCAGCTCGATTGCATATGAGCTCGTCTGGTGCTTTTGCAGAGTGATGAGTATAATCTGTACTCGTTGGCACAGACTCCGGGGCCTTCACAAATCGTCAGGGGCGACGAGCTGAGGTTCGGCATGGTTTGGAACCATGGCACGCGCAGTCGTTGACCTGGGGACGGCCGCTCCCGAGGTTGGTGCCTCAGCCGAGATGTATGGACATCAATCCTTCCGACTTGATGGACACCGTGTCCACCCCGAGTCAGGAGCTTCAACTGGGACCCCGTGGTAGTAGTACACACTGTACGATACACTAATAATGAAGCTGGTCCCACCGTTCCCACGGACAGACTTTTTGAGTTTCTCGCCCCCGCGGAATTGCCTATCACACCAAGTTGCAGATGAGCAGCGAATGCTAGATTCCAATCATTGTCTGTGTAAGCTTCAATCCGGTCCCTCGAACCTGCCAGACTCTCTTCGTAGTCCCAAAGGAACTGTGGGATTTCGAAGTGACAGCAGCGGCCCGGAGAGTGGGGCGCGGGTCAAAAAGTGATAGACGTAGCGTGGGCGCTGGAGTCGCCTAGCGAGTCTCGGGTTAGACTGGATCTGGAAGCTTCCGATGAAGTGCGACGAACGCCCCCTCCCTTGTCCAGATCCAGTTGAGATGAACGAATGGTGGAGAACTGATCGTCAGTAATATCCCGAACCCAGGATCGATCGGCTCCTGGCTTTGCGGCGTTCATAGGCCCAGCCCCGATACTTTTTGGGTCCAATCAACTAGTGCTAGAAGAGTGGTCCGGGTATGTACAGACTTAGCACTGTCGCAACAAAAGTCAGACTCTGCAGGCTCTAACGCGGACCAAACAGGATTTGGAATCCACACTACTACTGCGGAGGTCCGAGCCGGACACAAGCCCTCGTGCAGGGCGACATCTGCTCCTGTCAGCCCAAATCAAAATGTGTCGGCGAACATAACCCCTGGCTCCTAGCCATTGGATGGGCTGTGACCCCGTTATGGCTTTGGGGTTTGTGTAACATTGAGCCAGCCCGGTGGTCGGTGCTGTTCGGCGATCTTGCCCTCTTAACGCGCTGTCCGTGATAAGTGGCAGAAGATGCCAGTCATCTTGTGATTGGAATGTGCCAGGCCCACCAGCCGTCAGCCCACTCGAGCTTGACGTATCCATCAAAGGGCTGCAGCGATCGACCTCCTCGGGTCTCACTTCCTCGAGTCCGAGCATTTTTTAACTCCCCACTTCCAACCCCCTTCTCTTGGAATTCCCGTGTTGGGATTGCAGACCCTGATTCGTGTAGTTGGCTAGTGACGGCACAGTGTATATCAACTGGATTCTTGTCGCCGTCTCTTCCGCTGTATATAGTTTCTCTCTCCTCATCTGGGTTCATCCAGTATCTGGCATGGACACCATGGCGCACCCCGCAGGACCTGTTAATGTCCCCAAGCAGTTCGTGCTCTGCTTCGACGGCACGGGGAACAAGTTTGCGGGTGACGAGTCGGACAGCAATGTGCTGAAGATCTTCCGCGTGAGTAACAACCTGGCGTTCTGTTGTCCAAGACCTCACTGACGATCGTAGATGCTGGACCGAAGTCGGAGCCATCAGTACCACTACTACCAGCCCGGCATTGGCACTTACGTGACATCTAAGTCGCTTTCTAGTACCAGTCGCTTTCAGCGCATCAGATCCGCCTACCAAAAGGCCAAGGACTCCGCGGTTGGATCGTCCTTTGACGAACATGTGATGGGTGGGTATAAGTTCCTGATGCGCTACTACTCTCCCGGCGACGAGATCTACTTCATCGGATTCAGTCGTGGCGCTTACATTGCGCGATTTTTGGCGGAGATGCTGGACTACATCGGCCTGCTGGAAGCCGGGAACGAGGAGCTCATCCGCTTCGCATGGAAGACATTTGCCAAGTGGCAGCAGCGGTTGGGAGAAACAGAAGAGGAGCAGGCAGAAAAGAAGAAGCTGTTCCACTATATGAAGGCGTTCCGTGAGACATTCAGTCGCCCGATCTCGCGTATCCGTTTTATGGGTCTCTTCGACACCGTTAACAGCGTGCCACGCTTCGAGTCCGCGTGGATGCAGCGCACAAAGTTCCCCTATACCGCGCGCAGTTCCGCCAAGGTGATCCGTCATGCGGTTGGCATAGACGAGCGTCGTGCCAAATTCCGCCAGGATTTGATCTCTGGGCGCCGACCAGAGCATGACAAGAGCCACCTCCATCGCCCGCACTTTGACCGACATCATCTGCAAGAGCATCTGCAACATCATATGGATGCCAACCATCACCTACATCTCCATCACGAGGAAAACCCGGAGGCCATCCCTACCATTCAGGTGAATGATAACGGCCAGCAAGTTACAGAAAAGGAATCCGAGCAGCACACATTCCAAGACCCAGGATGGGGTCCTGGCCCAGGCGAGACGTACTACCGCACTCCGCACGGCTCAGCTCCTCACAGCTCGCATCAAGGCAGTGAGAATAACTTCGAGGGCCAGCAAGGTCCCGCTCGCTATCGCGCGCCCTCCCCTCGGAGCACGAGTCTCGCTGTGCCCAATCAGGGGCCCTCGGTGGACGATGCCTCGTCTGTGCACAGTGGACAAAGTGGACCTTCTGTAGCCTTTTCGGTCCAGTTACCGAGCCACGTCGACTATGACGACGAAGATGATCAGGATATCCATGAGATATGGTTCCCAGGCGGTCACGCAGACATTGGCGGGGGCTGGAAAATGCAAGGAGGAGAGCAGTGGGCGCTCAGTCATGCGCCACTGGTGTGGATGGTGCAGGAGGCCAAGAAGGCCGGGCTTCAGCTGGATGAGCGCAAGATGAAGCAATTCCAGTGCCTGGAGGAGTTTGATGGGGACTATACTGCAATCCGCGAAGAAATCGGTGCTCAGCGCCTTAGCACGGTCAACCAGTGTCGCGAGGACCATAATGAGACGGACGGAGCCTACCGCTCGGCGCCCAACGAGAAGGAACGGTCAGCTGCCAGCCGCGATTTCTGGCATGCACTGCACCACTCGAGCACAAAGGGTCTGCTGCACGACTGCCTGGAGTTTAACCAGGGTCTGCCGACGCTCTCGGTCATCTCCTGGCGGATCATGGAGTGGCTTCCCTTCCGGCGCATGGATCTCCAGGCCGATGGGACCTGGAAGCCGATCAGCTGGCCGCTGCCACGCGGAGAGGTGCGAGATGTGCCATTGGATGCTGAGATCCACGTCTCGGCCATTCGCCGGATGCAAGCCGATCCCAACTATCGGCCCGGTAATGTCATTGTTGGAGGAGGTGGCCGAGGTATGCGCAGGGCACCGGCCGAGCGTGGTATGGGCGATTGGGTTGTTTTCAAGAACGAGGGCGACGGGGTGCGCGAGACCTACGTGCGCAAGAGCGAGGCCACCAAGTGCGAAGAGGGACATGGGGTCACGGCATAGGGTTTTTGTTGGATAGTCATTGTTGTTGCCACGAGAGATTTCATCTCGGACTGTACCCTATTAGGATAGAATGTATGTCGGTGGACGAGAAAAGAGTCTGGAGTCATCTGGAGCTGTCTGGACCCTGCGGGTGTGCAGACTGGCCAAGATTGTAATCATTGTGGCCACCGTTTCTTGGCTACCGGGGAGTAGGATGTCTAGCCAGGAATAGAGGAGGGCTATTATGGTAGATCCTCCTCCATCCGTATATTCAGTCATATGTAGTTTGTCCGTGTTGAAGTTGTCGTGGTTGGATGCAAGAGGTAAAGATAAGCGTTCTTAGATCCATCGTTCCAGTCTTTCCTCGCCCTGACCTCACCACTTCATCTCCCTATCCTCACCACCCACTTCTCCCCCCGAATCTACTTGGCCGGCCCAAGATTCTCTGTTCCGTCTATCCTCGACTCTCACAATGCGACCGGGCTAATTCCATCCTCCCGCTCCCCCCTAACCACCATGGAAGCGTCGCAGCAGCCTCCTGAGCCCCTGCGCCCTTCGTCCTCTCCGCCGTTGCCCGAACCCGCCCGCCTGCCATCCGCGCCGGGGTTCAGCCCGGAGACGGCGAGCAAAGAGGACGTCATGATAACCCTGTCTCTCTCCCCCGAGCCACCGGCTCCTTCCCGGACTCTTTCTCCTACGGCTCGATCGCATCTCCGCTCTCGCTCACTGGTTGGCATTCCCGGCATGCCATCGATGACGCGTGCCTACTCGTCCCCAGGGCTGGATTCCCGGGGCCGTTATATCTTTGTCAATGGTCGCGGGGTGCCGGCATCTCCAGTCGATGCTGCCAAACGTTCACCCTTGCAGATGCGCTCCGCAGAGGATCACGTCGAGACCCGGCTGGGGTCACTGACCATTTCCGAGCCCATTTCAGAGAACGCCGAGCTCGAGATTGCCCCCAAATCGCCCATTTCTCCTCCGGGCTCCTCATCTCCAATACTGCCTCCCCAGACTTTCCCTCGCATGAATCGTCTACGATCTACGTCGCCCCTTCACTTCAACAACCCCGTCACCAGCCCGTCCTCCCTGTATTCGTCGCCCATACTCGGTTCCAAATACAATGAAGCCTACCCGGGGCCTTCGGCTTCGTCTACTTCGTCGGTCCCTTCAACACCAACCAGCCTCCGGTCTCGAAGCCCGAGCATTTCGTCCCTGGAGACGATCCCGGACATTCCTGACGCTGAGGCCGAAGCCCTGGAAGCTGATCGCATAGCGGATTTGAAAGCCGCCGCCGACGCGGCTGACACCGCGAACACCGCCCGACGCCGAGGCACCTCTGATACCTCTGGCCCATCGAGCTCTTTTGGAACGGCGCGCGGGGGATCAGGCACTTACACGGCCCGCAGTGATAAGCGGAAGCGATGGAGCGTCTGCGGTGCTGAGCGTCGACAAGATCTTGACCTGGAAACGATCTGGGAGGATTGACACCGTCACTTTCTCTTTCCTCCCTCGCGATGACCTCGGCCAGCGCATCTTTTCGCTTGGGAGTTGATTTCCGCCTCCACGTTTGGCTTTCTTCGTTCTCTGGTGATCTGTCTCGCTTATCATTGACATTTTATTTCTCGATACCCTTTCTTTATCCCCCACCCGAATGTACATATCAAGCCTTTTTTTTCCATTTTGAGAAGCGATTTTCCAACTAAGGATGAGGAGTTTTGTTGCGGGCGGCGCTTTGTGTTTTGTTCGGGGAACCGAGGGTGATAAGGCGCATGGTCATTTTGATCCTTTCATTATTATGCTGGGCATAAACCGTTAGTTGAAATATGATGACAATCGCTTTAACTTGGTAATATCTTTCAAGAGCTGTTGTATCTATTCATAGTATGAACTTCCCCAGTCCAGGGTGGCACCATCCAATCACCGGGTAGCCCCGCGCACCATTTCCTCACATCATCTACAACTGGTTACGGTTAATGGCGCTGTTTCTTTCCCATTCCATCTCCTCGGTTTCTTCTGTATATAGTTCAAGAAACAGCCCGGGTCATCCGCCGTCTCTCTCACATTATGAGCGCTCGCCCACTACACGTCGGCATCGTCGGTGCTGGCCTCTCCGGGCTGCGTTGCGCCGACATTCTCATCCAGAACGGAGCTCGAGTGACCATCCTAGAAGCAAGGGACCGAATAGGAGGAAGAGTATGTTCCCCCTTTCCTGGCCATCAGAGCAAACATATTAAATGCCACTCTAGGTTCATCAAGAAGACGTGGGCGGGCACCTGGTCGACCTGTAAGACCCTTATCTACCGCAACTACCCATGCTTACCCTCCACCAGCGGGCCGAACTGGATACATGGGACAGGGAACAACCCGATCATGTCCATTGCGATGGCGACCAAAACAATGACGCATGATCCAGAGGGCGGGAATATCCTGCTCTCGCGGGATGGTGCCCAGGTCGACGCGGACCTTGCAACCAAGGCTTCGGAATTTATGTGGACCACTATCGAGCAAGCTTTCGAGTACAGCAACAAGCACGGCGAGTCTATCCCTGCAGGTCGAAGCCTGTTCGACTTCTTTCGAGAGAAAGTCCAGCAGACGGGGCTCTCACCCGTTGAGCAGGAACTCTGTCTAGATGCTTGTAAGCTCTGGGGTGCCTATGTGGGGGATCCTATTGAGAGACAGAGCCTGAAGTTTTTCTGTCTGGAAGAATGTATTGATGGGAGTATGTACTTACTGTCCGGTCCAAAGACTTCCTTTGTGCTAATTTCTTGCACTCCAGATAACTATTTTGTGGCGTCCACTTATAGGCGAATTCTGGAGTCTGTCTCGAGGACTGCTCGTGAACATGCGGATATTCGGTTCAACCACCCTGTCAGCGGAATTGACACCCCGCCTCGTGAGAATGGAGAGCAGCATCAAGTAACCCTCACTACGACCACAGGGGACGACTATGTCTTCGACGAGGTAGTGGTGACTTGTCCACTCGGCTGGCTCAAACGAAACCAGCATGTATTCCACCCCCAGCTCCCCAATCGACTGCGACAAGCCATTGACAGCATCTCCTATGGCCGACTCGAAAAAGTCTATGTTACTTTCCCCCGAGCCTTCTGGCAGTCTGGGCCTACTGGCAAAGAAGTAGGACATGACTGGGCCCAATTTCTAGAACCAAACTACACAGAACGCCCAGCACACATCCAGTGGAGCCAAGAATGTCTATCTCTCGCCTCACTGCCTCCCTCCTGCGCACAACCCACTCTACTCTTCTACATCTATGGCCCATGTGCCACACACATAGTTGAAGGAATTGCAGATCTCGATCCATCATCGGCCGACTACAAAGATTTCCTGGTTCAGTTCCTAGAGCCTTTCTACTCGCGTCTACCGGGATACTCTGCCTCTTCACCAGACTGCAAGCCAAGCGCTTTCCTTGCCACGCGCTGGCAGAAAGACCCTTACGCGGGCAATGGCTCATACTGTAACTTCCAGGTTGGTCTGACACACGCAGATGAGGATATTGAGGCGCTTCGGTCAGGGATTGGTCTAGGATGCAGTCAGGGATTGTGGTTTGCTGGCGAACATACTGCACCTTTTGTAGCGCTTGGTACAACAACTGGTGCATATTGGAGTGGTGAACGTGCAGCTAGGCAGCTATGTCAGGCTCGTGGGCTTGGGAGTGTGGGAATTGGTGCTGGACGAGATGATTCTCTACCTTCTGCTCTTAAGCAGTGAGGTCCATCTAGATTCATTCTTTGATATAGGTCTGTACTAGGTACAAAGATGATATAGATGACTTGTCTTTCTCAAATGCAATAAGATAAAGGAAGGCTACTTCTTGCTATCTTGTAGGTAGCCTAGAATGTTCCTGCCTGCGCGTAGGTGAATATCAATAAGTTTGTTTGCAAGACTATCAACAACCCCATTCACCTTCCGTCTCTGCTCTTCACTCCCATTCACTTCTCTCATCCACTCTGTTGTACACTATCTATTGGCCGCCCAACCCCCACCCCTCTACATCTTCCAAATACCCTCATTTGTCTCTTGCCCACCATGGAGGATTCAATGCCAAACGTCCATGTTGGAGAAGTTTCAGACCTGAGCTCGGACCTGAGCCCGGACCCAGGCCTATTTGAATCCACCACGGATCGATCCAGTGGATTCGTGTACGCTTCGGTGGAAAGTCTCATTTACCCGTCCACCTGGGATGACGAGGTCGATATCCAGACCTCGATCGCCAAAGCCCGGGTGGACGGGTACGAGGTGGCCGGGGATCGTGTGGATAGCTTCGTGAAGCAGACACTGAATGCTTTTCTCAGCCACTTGCCCAACCAGGGCAAGCTGGTGCTTTGTGAGGAGATAATGCGCTGTGCCAGCGATGACCAGCTCTACGCGGTGTACTGCCAGCTAAAGGACTGTGTGCTCCTGCCAAGTAAGTCGCTCCTTCTCTCTTAACTCATAGCCAACTAATCGCTTTGTGATCGCGATAGTGCTCATTCGGACCCCTGACGATGAGGCGAAGCTGCATGACAAGAAGCAGCGGCAGCTTCATGAACAATGCTTGAATCGAGACGGAGATGCTTGCGTGGCCACACGCATTATGGATACGGTCAGATATCATGACCAGTCGCAGCCGGATGAGCGCGTGGAGGGACTTACTGACGCTGTCTACATCGTCCCCCGCCCATACGAGGAGTACCATGGATCTATTGACGAAGATTCTGGATCTATCTTGGTAAGTAGTGCCTGGCTGGCACTGCGACGTTACTTCCCTAGCACAGCTGGTGCTCTCGACCCGCGCACAGTCAGGTCGCCAGGAAATATGCTCACATTATGGGACGAGCTGGCCAAGGAATGGGACAGGTTTGGAGTTTCCCTTGAGCCTACCGTACGTACCCCCATCGCTCACTTCGCTACCCTATACCCAAAGCTAATTCGCTTGGTATTCAGGCTGTTTCGAATCACTACATCTTCAAAGTCCACCCTCGCTGTGAGGGGGACTTCAGCGAATTAGCCGATACGACTGTACAGATGAAGCAGGGCGATTCAGGGCAGACCATCTCACTCCCACATATGGAGCTGATTCGCGTGCATCACATCATCGCCGCCATCCTAGCGCAGTCTGGGATCACTGAGTATCTGCAGTCTATTCTATTCAAGCGGAAGAACATGGACGCTAGAGAAGCTGATTGAGATGAAGCGCAAGCATGAGCAAGGCGAGAAGGGGGGAAACATGAAGATGAGGATAATGATGAAGACGATGACGATCACGACAACGATGCGGAATGAAGAGACATAACCAACTGTAGAGTGTACAATAGGATTACCAGAACATACGAGAATCAAGGTCATGGTCATTTATTCCAAGAATTAGAGGTAATATCTGCACTCTGGACAAATACAGACAGGAAGAGGGAGAGAAAGACACTCATAGGATCATGAAAGAACCGCTTGCTTGCTGCACATCTCAAGGGTCATGGACACAGACAAACACAAATCCGAACAAAGGAAATACAACAAAAGAAAAAGAGGTACTTTGAATCATCTCCATGCCCCCTGGCTTAGCGACAACAAGCCCTGCACACAGTCCAGATCATCTTCCTGACTGGCACCGCCATCACCACTCATAAACGCTGAGACGTCTGCACTGAGTTCAGGGGGAGCCTTGTTCTGGTTTCCATTCGGGAATGGCCTGTTACGCTTGCCATTGGTCATAATGCCCAACCCTCGGTTCCGGTTGGTCTCCTTGAGAACAGGGCGGGAGGGTGTGTGAGGTTGTCTTGCGACGCACGTTCGAGGTCCGAGTGCCTGGGACCCAGTTCTCCTTGTCTGAATCACCATCGTCATCATCATCCAGCTGGAAATCTGGCTTGCTGCTCAACTTGGACGACATGGGCTTGAATGGCGGCTTTGGGGCGTAGCCCATGCCCCGGTTGCGGCTGTTCTCCAGCCGTCCTAGGGAAGAGACGGTCCGTGAGAGTTTCCGCCGCTTCTCGCTTATCGACTGAGAGATGGGAGTGGTGATCGCCTCGGCACGGGCCAAGAGACTGTGTCTGGCCGAGAGACTTCTGCTCAAAGAGCGCTGGGAACGTGAATGAAACAGGCCCGGAGATGCGACATTCGGGCCAGGTTGGGAGCTGGTCGGCGTGGACAACGCGCTTCGGGCGTCCGTGTCAACGAACGACTCCCAGTTCCGCGGATCGCGTGACCGGCCAAACACGCGGTCTTTCTCGGTTGTGGTAGGGAAGATGGCACTGCTGCTGCGCCGGAGACCCGAGAGTTTTGTGCGGCGGACAGAGAACATAGCAACGCGATTTTTGGAAGGTGAGGGCTCGTCCTCTGCGCGGATGACGGCCTTGCCATCACACGACATGGCAATGCGCAATGCGTTGCGGCTTTTCGGCGGCGACGGGGTCAGCTCGCCTTCCTTACGCACCATGGCCTCACCATCGAACGACAGAGACAGCCGCAGCGACGGCGGCGATTTTTCTGTGCTGGACTGCTCGTTTCCACCCTCACCGCGGATGTCAGACACGGAGCGTTTCCGTTTCGGCGGCTGTGGTGAAGACGCGTCTTCCATGTCCTGGACGGGTTGCTCAAGGTCCTCGTGAATGGTTGTTTGTGTGTCATCCAGAGCTTCTGTTGCGACGGTGGACTGGCTACTTTGTGATGGCAGTCCGGGTTCTTCTTTATCCTCGCTTACGGGGTCAGATCGATCAGAGAACTGCAAAATCTCCCCATCCCATGGTTTCGAGGTCCGCGGCCCGTGAAGATCCTGCGTGTCCGATGATGGCTCCGCCCCACTCGAGGATGGCTCCGCCGACGCGCTGTCATCACTAGCGGGTTGTGCAGACGAGTCGGTCATGCTCGACCGAAGAGCGAGTAGTTCGTGCGGCTGGAGCGGTTTGGATTTGCGGCGGTCGTTCTGACGACGGTTTTGGAACCAGATCTGAAGCATCGGAAGGTCAGGGTCAAGGAATTGGGAGTTTCAAATTCCTGTGCGAAACATACCTGGACCTCTTTCTCGCCGAGCGAGACGCGGCTGACAATGCTCGCTCGGGCAACCTTGTCCGGTTTCGGGTTCTTCTGGTATTCGGCTTCGAGAACCGCGTGATCCTCTGGGCTATACAGACAGACACGGTCACGCCGATTAGCCGAGACGCGTCTAGAGGCGCGAGAACGCCCAAAAAATGACACACGTACCTAGTTCGACGTCGTTTCTGGCGTGCTAAAAGCTTGTTATCGACACGAGGAGGGAGGTTTTGGGTGAGAGTTTTCTGGGAATGCACCAGGAAGGCATAGTTGAGGGCATTGGAGTCGGTGGCCGAAAGAGAGGGCGAGGACGAGGCCGCCACCGAAGACTCCGGGTCAGACATTGTGCTATGACCAGGGCATGTGGTTGGAGATGGGTGTGTTGTGTGTTGTATGTTGTGTGTGTGAAGGGGAGGAGGAAGGGGAAAAGAAGTGGGAAGGGAAGGGCAGGCCCGTGAGGCTCGAGTGCCCCGAATCGCGTCGCGATGTGGACGCGGGAAAGTAGCAGGAACGTGAGCCGCGCTAGTCAGACAGTGCGTCTCCGAGGTACCGGGTACTTGTCCGTGTCGGTGCTACTTGACTGCGATTACACCTTTTACTTGGCCCTGGTCCATTTGGTTCAGATTTCTCCTTCGTTTTCCTCTGTTTGACTGTCTCGCCAACTATGTCGGAGAATTCCCCACCGTTCGCTGTATACACAATCCATCCGCATCGGGCCTTTTTCGCGTCTTCGCAGATATGTTAGTTTTACTTCGATCTTTATTTTTCTTTGATCTGGGCTGTTGTTTCCTCCATTCCATTGTCATCGTGACCACTCTGAACCGCTGCTGTTCCTTCTAGAAACGCGAGAAGACACGAAGTCAGGTGACCTGTCAGGCAGCATGACTCAGCCTCAGCCATGTGTCACGTGGCACAACACATTCCTCGACAGGGCGAGACATTCCTTGTATCTCGCGTATCGTGTGACGAACGTCCTGGAATTTCCGACGCGTCATGGACAGCCCCCAGCATTCCTTTGCGCAGGTCATGTCGCCCCGATCCATTCACTCTGCCATTGACAGTGCGGGGAATGGGCATTAATCGGCACACCGGGACCACGCTAAGGGATCCGCCCACGGGCCTCGTCCATGGGTGCTACCGGGCCGTGATAGGTTGAATGTCCGTAGAAGCTCCGGCGCCTAGGGTTTGCGAAACCAACCCCGGGTCCTCGGGGCTGTTGTTCACTTCCACCCCCTGCCGTTTCTCTTCCGCCATTGCAACGCTCTTGCTTGCGTCTATATAAGACCGGCCATGTCCGGTGGAGTGTGTAGATTGGACAAGATTATATAGACGTCTCGTATTGGGGGCGGTTTCCATCTCGCATAGTCACTATCGAATTGATTTGACGAAAATATGGGCCGCCTCTTCGCCATCTCCGTGGCCGTGTTGGCGGCGACGGGGTCATTCCTGTTCGGATATGACTCCGGTGTGATGACGGACGTGATTCAGTCACCCAATTTCTTGAGGTATTTCAATACCACGCAAACATCGGCCATCATCGGCGCGATCAACAGCACCTATTCGGGTGGAGGTATAGTGTCCCAACGGAAACGAAGCAAAATCAAAAGGCAATGGGCTGATCTTACTCCAAAACAGCGGCAATCGGGTCTCTCCAAGGCGGCCTGACCATGGATCGTTTCGGCCGCAAGTTCACCATCCAAATGGGTGCTTTGATCTGCCTGATCGGTGCCACTTTGCAGGCCGCAGCGCAGAATCTTGCCATGATCCTCACCGGTCGTATTCTGGCCGGCTGGGCTGTCGGCCTGCTGTCCATGTCAGTACCGGTCTATCAAGCCGAGTGTGCACACCCGCGGTCCCGGGGCATGATGGTTGGAATGGCGCAGCAGATGATAGGCGTGGGATTCATTGTGAGCACGTATGTTCCTCTCTCAATTTCTGCATACTTGTCCTAATCAAAGCCAGATGGGTGGGGTACGGGTCTCTTCATGCGCCGAACACTAGCCAACTTCAGTGGCGCTTCCCGCTCGCCTTCCAGGTCGTCCCAGCGCTGGTCCTGGGAATTGGCATGATGTTTGTGCCCGAGTCCCCGCGGCACCTGATTGAGAAGCAGCAGTATGATGAGGCTTGGTGCGTTCTACAAAAACTGCACTTCGACGGTAGCAATGACGCCTGGATCCATCGCGAGTACACTGAGATCCGGGCCACGATCGAGGCCGAAAAAGCTCTCGAAACGCCGGGATGGGGGCCCATGTTTACTGTTCCGCAATGGCGGACCCGCCTGCTGTACGTGCTGTGCTGTCTCTTGATTACCATGATAGTCCCTAACGACCTGCTAGTCACGGCGTCGCCGTCCAAGCATTCACCCAGATGACTGGGATCAACGTGATAGGCTACTACCAGACGATCATGTACAAGGCTCTCGGCATAACAGGCCACCGCAACACATTAGTAGCGGGCCTGTACAACTGCGTTGGCCCGATTACCAACCTGATCTTCATTGTGTTTCTGCTGGACCGCGTGGGACGCCGCAAACCCATGCTATTTGGCTCGATCACCATCTCGCTCGCCCTGATCTGCGAGGCAGCCCTTAATTCACAGAACCCGAACGGCCAGCGGCTCGGGTACAGTATTGGCGGTGTGTTTTTCTTGTTCCTCGTGTCAGTGTTGTTCTCGCTGTCATTTGGGCCTTGCAGCTGGGTGTACATGGCCGAAGTGATGCCGATGCAGATTCGGGGTAAAGGGAACGCCTTCGCCGTAGGGATTGGCAATTGGGCAGTCAGTACTCTGTGGAACCAGGTATCGCCCATTGCGCTTGGCAAGATTGAATGGAAGTTTTACTTTGTGTTTGTCGCGTGGAGTGAGTTTTCTTCTTTTACTATCTACTGTGTGAATATGCTGATTTTCTCTACTAGACCTCTGCGTCTCCCTACCGGTTATTTACTTCTTTTTTCAGGAAACCAAGCAGAAATCACTCGAGGAGATTGATCTATTGTTCGGTGGGAGAGCTCTAGGCACATTACCGGAGGAGGTGGGAGTGGCATTGCGAGACGAAAAGGAACAGGCCTCAGTCCTGCCGGTGGAGGATGCGAGCTATTCCGCATAATCGACTCCACCTTAAGCGAGTCTCTGATGAAAATCGACATCGCAATAAGAGGGTATGACTGTTTTGTGTATTTTGTACTTCCACAATCCCGTACGGAGCCAACCCGGAGATAAAGTCGGCTAAAGACCGGGCTCCCCCCGCGAAACATAAAAGACAGTGGAAGACCACCACTTTCTCTAAACCAACCAACAGCCGTCGGTTTTTCCCAAAATGTCAACTGTGATTGTATTTGGCCCGACCGGCCGCGTCGGTTCTGTCACGGCATGTACTGCCCACGAGCACGGGGCCAAGGTCTTCCTAGCCATGCGCGACACGCAGAAGCCCATCCCAGGCTTGAGTGCTGAGGAAGAACAGGCTGGAGGCTTTGAAAGAGTCCAAGCCGACCTGACCGACCCCGACTCCGTCGCCGCCGCAGTTCAAAAATCAGGTGCGCGACGTGCATTCATCTATCTCGCATTCGGGACGCCTGACCACATGCGGTCCACACTGCGAGCCCTCAAGTCCTCAGGTATTCAATTTGTCGTCTTCCTGAGTAGCTACACGATCTCAGGCGAACTGGCCGACATTCCGCCCAGCGAACTCATTGCCTACGTCCACGCCCAAGTCGAGATCAGTCTCGACGAAGTCTTCGGGCAGGAGAACTACGTGGCCATGCGACCGGGAGGGTTCGCCACGAACACGCTTAAATTCAAGGCCGCTATCAATGCCGGCGAAGTGAAGCTCTTCGCGCCGGACTTCAAGTTCGACCTCATCACGCCCATCGACATGGGTCGCGTTAGCGGCACGATTCTTGTGCAGGGTCCGCGCAATAACCAGCGCAAGGTGTATCTGTATGGGCCCAAGATTTTGACACAACAAGAGTCCATTGGAGTCATTGCAAAGGTCTTGGGCAAAGAAGTTAAGTTCTCGAAGATCACTGCGCAGGAGGAGCTGGATGGGCATATCCAAGCGGGCACGCCTCGGCCGGTAGCGGAGTATATAGTGCGGGTAACGGGGGATCCGGAGCCTGCTGCGGGGCGTCGTGCAAATTATGAAGAGGGCGTTGAGAATGTAAAGCTGTACACGGGCAAACCTTCGACTGGGTTTGAGGAGTGGGTGGAAGCCAACAAAGAGCTTTACAGCGTCTGATACCGGCAAGTACCACTTTGCTCCTCGGGTGTCAAATCGTGCTATCAAGGAGAAATTTGCTTATTCAATCTATTTGAAAGCACTCTCGCATAACAGCTCATATGTAAAGCGAGTTACATGTAACAAATAAATTCCATGAGTCGTTGCAGAAACAAACCGAGCGGGTTGAGCGCCTTTTTACATCTCCAATTCATAATGTTCACACCGACTGTTTTGTACATAATATAGGACGAAATTAGGCTGAATATGGCATGCATATAACAGTTTATTGTCCCAGTTACGGCGTATAGATGTGTAGCAAAACAAGTGGAGCATCCCGCCACTCTAAGCCTGTTCAGGCGACAATCCACTTCTACTCCGATTTTACTCCGACGCCTACAACGAACTGCTCACCTCGCCATGGCGGACCCCGAACGGCGATCGCAATCACCGGCCACTCGTCGAAATGGCACACTGCAGTCGTGTGAGCCCTGTCGCAGATCCAAGCAGCGGTGCGACCACGAGCGACCGGTGTGCCGGCGCTGCACGACTAAGCGCATTCCGGAGCAGTGCTTCTACCACCCGGCGCCGATGACCAGACGAAGACCATCAGATCCAGTCAATGCAGCAGTAGTCGCGTCAAAGCGGCTAGTCAGCCAGCCAACTTCCAAGTAAGCGTGGACTCTTGCCTGGTCTGCCGAAGCGCCGAAACTAATTTTTCCAAAAACAGCGCCTCCAGCCCTGGATCATTGGGCACTGGCCGCATATATACGCCGTTGGAGCAGCACTCTTCTACGCTGCCGGGATATTTGGGATCTACTAGTTACACTGCGGTGCTGGCCGAACATCGCAATGAGATCCCCTTTGAGCCGGATGACAGCTCCGACTCGGTGTCTCCGGACATGTTGGTCGAGCCAGATCGACTGCAGTCTGGGCTGGAGATTCTTCATTTCCTGTATAATCTCACCGTGTGTCAGACATTAATCCAGAGATACTACAACAAAGGAGGGAATGCAGCCATGCCGAAAATTGTGATAGACACCATCTTGCGCTCCATCCGCCAGATCTTTGACGGGTTCGACGCCAACAATCTCACCCCTCAGCTGCAGGATCTGGTCACCCAGATGATTCATAACTCCTCCCGGCCTTTGACTACGTACCGATCTATGACTGTCGATGAGTACTGTTCTTCATTTACGGGGCGTAATTTCCGATGGGAGGCTCTCGGAAGCATTTTCGTGCTGTGTGGCCAGCAACTAGTTTGCACCCCAGACAACGATCCGCTCATTGCCCAGACGACTGACGACAACCGAACTAGAAATCGCCTTCTAGAGCAAATGACCGTAGCCAGCGCTAAATGTCTCGGTTTTTGTGAGCAGGCCTCTTCGGCCAATGAATTGCTAGCATGTCTACAATACAACGATGCGATCCTGCGGACACAGCAGTATGGCGATTCGAGTGAGTCTTTTCCCTTTCGCTATTCCTCGCACTCTGGTTGACAATCTATATAGGTTATGGAGCGTGGCGCCGTCTTGGTGACCTGGTAGCCACAATCTACGCCGCCGGTCTGCACCAGGATACCGATGATTCCGATAACTGCCCGTTCTTCCTGCGTCAATGGCGGCGAGGCTGCTTTGCGGGTGCCTTTCATATGGACAAATTGATCGCGACTTTTGTTGGGCGACCGCCTCTCATGAACTATCGGTACTGCACATTGACGCCTCCGCTGGACCTGGCGGATGACGTCCTAATAGCCGGCGGTGACACACTCAACCAAGCCATTTCCGAGCTTGACGGCGCCGGCTGGGACACGCACGGAATCAAGAATCGCATGAGCCCTGCCCGTCTGCGATATCAATTGGCTATCTTTCGGGAACAAACTCTCGAGATTGCGTTGGGTACTCACCAGCAACGTGACTTGATTCGCAAATCAAAGTGAGTCTCCAGGTCTACAGCATATGATCCAAAATCTAAATTCGGTATAGTGAGATAACGGAGAACGCCCGCGCCGTGTGGGAGGCTTGCCCAGACCACCTTCGGTTTGACCGACAGATGCCAGGCGATGAGCGTGACGACTCGCTCCTTGTGCGATACATTTACCTGGATTATCTGTATACATTCTTCTTGCTTCAACGCTCCTTGATCAAGCACACCAACACCGGGCAGGAAGCCCTACTGGACATTTCACGCCAGCTGTTGTCCAGGGTGATCCAGATTAGTTCTCTTCGGAACCCCCTGGTAGACATGGACCGTCATTTCTCATGGATCGTGAGTACGCTTTCTTGTTTTTCAATCACACACTAACTCCAAGCCAGGTCCTGAGCTACGGTCTACCCAGCGCCAGCGTGCTGCTGATTGAACTTCTTCGCCAGTCGCATGAACCGGGCCCACATGCCACTCCACTGCCACGCGCCGAGCTCATCCGCAATCTCAGTGTGTTCGTGTCGTTCTTATCTTGGGTGTCGCGCCCGGGCCATGGCAATTACCACACCTGTAAAGAAGCCGAGAAGAAGTTGTCTTATATTCTCGACCAATTGCTCGACCCGGAGCCGGTGCATGCCGGCGTGGTGGACGATGCTACGTCCGGCCTGTACAACTTCTTGAACTTGTCGAACTACAACACCTGGGACTTTAATTCGGAATACATGCCTCCGGCTGATGGGTTTGCGCTTTGAGTGGTCTACAATGCTACGCACAATCACCGTCGATTCGGTCGTGGTCATAATCGTCATCATTAACGGCGAGGGTACATATAGGAACCCCCCATGAAATCCCGACTCTATCCATACCCAACAACAATTACTTAATCCAGAGTCATACCATCCATACAAAGTCATTACGTGGCGGTGCATCCGACACAAAATACGCCCGATGACACAACGGGCAATTAAAGTGGTCGCCCAGAAACCATTTCTCCAGACACTCGCGATGGAACACATGCATACATTGTAACTCGCGGATCTCCTGCGAGCGGCTCACCTGCTCGAGACATACGGCACTTTTCGATTCAAAGTCAGTGAGGCATTTGCAGACGCACACAGGGGATCAACTGATCTCACCAGACAAACTGCCCGTCCACCGCTTCAGACAGTCCTAGCTTTCCTTTTGTGGCCGACCACCACTGCTCAAGTGTGCTAGTCGGGGACACAGCATCCAAGCTGCGCAACCGTTCACTGGGGTCTTTGCGATGACGCAGAAAGGCCTGGCGGTCGCGGCGGTTCACGAAGATGGTTAATCTATTAATGGTGGGTGAGTTGGAGGAATATATAGTCAGGACGAGCATGAACACCCACAATAGACAGATGATAATCAACAATACCACACCTAGCCCGATGCCCAGCACGATGGCCATGTGGTTTTTGCCGAAGTTCTCCTGCTCCGTTTCCGACATGGTTCCGGTCTTGTGCTCTAGTAGTAAAATCCGTCAGAGCTACCTAGTAGCCTCTTAGGTGGTGGGCTGTCAAGGACTGGTGAAAAGGGCAGTCGCAGTCGCACATAAAAGACCACGAAGAGGGCAGGGGCTCGCCCTTGACCCGTCTCTCTATTGATGGTCAGTGTCTCCCTTGACACTTTGTAAGTGTTTGGCACAAGGAGAATGTTTCGGAGCTCTGGTTCAAAGCGGGGGAGCGTGATCAACAACGATCAGCCAATCACCGGAGTTTGTACAACAAGCAGATCCGTCGATCATCACGCCGGTCGTGACGTACTACAGTAAATAAGGAGTGAGTTAGTAGAAGTATTACTAGTAGTAGTGGATTAGCAGTATTCTCTCGTAGCGCATGGCTGCTCCGTCTTCAACGAACTAAAGCTACAATGCCCTGTTTCCCGCCCTTCCCACTGCACCCCTACCCCCCAGCTCACCGGCCCTACCACAGCCGTGCCTAGCGCCTCGCCCTTGGGGGGATGACAGGCCGCACTAATAGCGCCGCTATTACTACTCGCCAAGGGCATCTGAGACCGAACCCGCCTGCACCCTATCCCCATCAAAACACACAGCATGATAGCCGCAATAAGCAACGCCAGGAAAATAGGCAGAGGCGCATATCCTAGCGAGCTGATCTCGAGGCGTCTGTCTGGCCGATCGGACAGATCGTACGGAACCGTCTGCTCATAATAAAGGCTCTGCGAGACCATCCAGTGCAGAAGCATATACGCCAGTACCACGGGGATGCTATATGTGTGCGGAATGCTAAGCCAATGAGTGGATCGCTGTCCACTGTTGCGGACAGGGAAGGTGACTCGGAGTGGGCGTCGATGAACAGCGTAGCTGCTGTACTCTGCGGCGGCGAGCATGTTGGTCAGCACGCCGTTGTAGAAATAGTAGCTTAGTGTAAGGACGAGTTGTGGGGTGTTGGCCACCACTAGGGAATCCAGTGTGGACAACTGCCAATAATCGATCAGATAGCGGGAGCTGTTGGAGGTATCAAAGCCAGATGTCCACCATTTGCGGAATTCAGTCGGTTGAAGCAATAGACTGTTGCTGCCAGCTGCGTACTTGATGGATATCTCGAGGAGGGTGGCTCCCATCAGGATACTCATTAGACCGAGCCCCAGAGCTGCGATCCAGCGCGGGATGCTGGATGCCTGCATCCATAATTTGCGTGGTGGGAGGCGCTTGGAGGTGGCTGCTTCGGGTTTGTTTTAGTTCTCGCGGCGAATGTCGGCGCTGGAGAGCCAGCATTTGCCTTCGGTGGTGGGATCAGGTCTGAGCATAAATGATGACACGGCATCGCCGATGACTAGGAAAGGTTTTGCTCGGGAGCTGCTTATTCGGGCCGATAGAAACATTGTCGTCACTTTTGTCAGCGTGGTGAGGACAATAACAATTGCGAAAGGTGGGCTGTAAAGCAGCTGGCATCGTTCCGGGGTTTTTACTGCGAGACATCCCTGAATGCTATACGTGCGGCTCCCGATGGTTGGCTCGCACACCTCGGCAAGATGGACCGTGATGTTTGAAATCTCGTGCGAGCTCATGTACTTGTCAACTGTTTGCACGCTGGTCGTCGAATCCCTCTCATGTACCCATTGTAGTAAGTTCGTGGCATCCGAGCAAGTAGCAGTATTCTCAGAAGAAAAGATATGGTGGATGCATTTCTCCTCCGTGAAATTTCGCCAGTCATAGTACTGCGTCCCATCACGTCCAGGAAGACCGAGCACAACGTCCTTGCCTGCAAAAGGCCAGGCAAATACATCGTCCTCGAGACTCCAGCCAGAATCGACACTCTCATCGAGCCCGCCACCCACCAGTCCGTCCCAAGGATAGTAGCGTCGCCACCTTGGTCCACGAATAAACCATCCGCAAGCGCAAGAATCGATTTTGTTCCCGCCTGATTCACACCTTTTGTAAAATCCGCGCATTGCTCGAGGGTCAGCCGCTCATAGTTGCCAGATGTAATATTGGAAACGAGGGCATGCCAGTCGATTCTCCCAGGGATATAGTCTTCAGAACCGAAACATTCTTCCAGAGCCGGAGTGGTGAGAGTAGCTATATTGTGCGCGGCTAGATCTTGCGGCACGACAATAACGCTGTAATAGTTGACACCCACAGACTGAAAAATCATTGAATTATAGAGTAAATGAAGAGGTGTCGCCGTTACCAGCAATACCACCCAGAGCCACAACCGATCTCGTGGCATCGCACGCAAATTCCTAGAACTCATACAGCCGATATCGAGCCATAGGCCTCGCCCATGGTGTTCGTCAATCTCTTGGCGAGTCGGGGGCACTCAGTGACTGCATGCAGTAATTGCTAGCGGCCAGGAGCCCCGTGCTGAGGATGTTGATGAGTAGATGAAAAACGATTGTCCATCGGTAGGTCAACGTGCAGCTTCCCTCATAAAAGATTGCTGAGCTTGAAAATCCGCCGTTTTCTGGGTATTTCCTGGCCAATCCGGCAGCGATGGCGAGAAGAGCACGTTGACCAACAGCACCAGGGCTGAGGCCTTCGCGCAGAGGCTGACGCCAACGATCCAGCGAGGCTTTTGTGGTTTGACTGCATTTATTTCTGTCTCTTCGTCGCTCAAGCGCTCTTCTACCGCCAAAGTAACATTCTCGAAGATCTGTGGTGTTTCCGAACGGAGAGATTCGGGCTTAGTTATCGTAACGAGTTCGGTCTCGTCTGGTTGACCCTCGGGGGTTTCATGGTAGCGGAGTAGCAGGCGTGAGAAGAAGGACTGAACATTTCTCATCCCTGAGGTGGTTGAAAGGGACCATTGAGCTGATTCAGGGGTTGGAGAGTCTAAATAACCCGTTTGCGCCCCGCCAGGAGGCTTAGCGGACGATGATCTACTGTCGGTTTTTTGAGGTGGCGGCATTGATCTTTGCCTAGTTGGGGAAAATTCTGGCCCCAATTTTCTACCGTAAGTAGCGTGGCGAAGAGAGGCCCTTTTTGTTTCATTAACTGTTAGCACGAGACTTGCGACATTAATTAGGGCAGAATTGACTATCATAGAAATTACAGACGAAACCTCATAACGGAAGAAGATCCGACATCTAGCTGTGATTTTACGGAATATGACACCTTGTACTAATATCATTTTATAAACCTAAAAGCTTAGCCCATGGCCTGTTCTTTCGGACTCGTACCACGACCACGAGAACCGGCAGCCACGAGAAAAATTGATCCAGCATAAAACATTGGTGGCTGTTACGCGTGCAGGCCCCCTTCTGTGCCGCCATAGAAACCTGCAATATGGGAACGTATGATAATATGTTAGCTTTGCGCGTTTAAATGTTCTTCCTCCAATCTAGGAGCAAGGAGTTCACTCACAAACAGATATCCTCCTGCTCATCCAGTAATCATCATAATTAAGGCAATTTGCACCTGCGCCGATCCAAATATGTTGCCAAAAAATCGTAGGCATTGATATGAAGAACCGCCATTCGTCAAGCCATTAATCACATCGAAGACTGCCGGACGTGCCAATGTCGTCGGCGCCGGCCACATCACTATCGTAGTGAATTTATCACCAGGAACACAATAACAGTGTTAAGAGACCCTAAGACGTTACAAAGACAGCCATTTATGATCCTTCCAATTGCCGATGCAAAATTAAACCCTGTAAGTAGCGTAGCACCCCCGCTGTGCGAGAGCTCAATGCAAATAATGCCTAGGAACGCCAGGTTCCTGGTTCTCAGGGACAGCATGGATCTACTGCTGATCGTGGCCAGCGCAGCTATTAGTGTCCGTGACAATGAGCCGCAAAAGGACATGACTAGTGGCGAGCCCACACCGCGCTTGACGAGGGTAGCTTGGTACATGACCCAGGTGTAGCTGACACCGACAGTCCACCATGTTACCAAGCAAAATAATGTCAACGATAGAAGGGCGGGCAGATTCTGCGGATTAGTATTTTTCTCTTATGGATGACCCCGCTATCCTCCACTAATAGCCAAGCGGTATTATTGTTATGTGCTCCACTCCACAATTACCTCCGATCCTCGGTTGATCCGTGATCTTATCTGATGCTCCTCGAATATTCGTCACATTCAACTACCCCTTCCCCTCTGATTTGATTGCATTTTACTTCTATCTTCTTTTGCCTCTACCTTTGCTGGTTACTTTGATAACAAGCCTTGCCTGTCAGTTGCTGGCGAATCCAAAGAGCGTCAGACACGACGCAGTCATCGACCAGTGTCCCAATGGTGTGATGGCCAGCGAGGGCGTTCCCAAGGATCAGGGTCTCCCCGACCCCGAAAGACAATACCTATTGGAAGGTAATTCCCGCTTTCGCCGACTCGGCTGGAAACGCCTCACTGTCATTTCGATCGTAGAGGCAATTGCTCTCGGAAGCCTAAGCCTGCCTTCTGCCTTCGCCACTCTTGGCATGGTCGCAGGTGTCATTCTCACCGTCAGTCTTGGTTTGATCGCAATGTATGCAGGCTACATTATTGGACAGGTGAAACTCAAGTACACCCAAGTCGCCCACTATGCCGATGTTGGTCGGCTTCTTCTAGGAAGATTTGGATCAAAAATCTTCATAGGCAGCTTCGTTGCCCTGCTCATATTCGTCGTTGGATCGCATTGCTTGACCGGCGCAATTGCATTCCAAACCATCACCCAAAGCAATTCGTGTTCGCTTATCTTCAGCATTGTATCTGCGGCAATCCTGATGATACTCGCCATTCCTCCGGCATTTGCAGAAATTGCAGTCCTGGGCTACATCGATTTTGCTTCTATTATCTTGGCCATAGGTATCACCATGATTGCAACCGGTATTCAAGACTCGAGCGATCCTAGTGCCTTCACTGCAAGTCATCCTCCATGGTCCGCTTGGCCTAAGCCTGGCACTACTTTCACAGCGGCCATCGTGGCCGCCAATAACATTGTCTTTGCGTATTCCTTTGCCGGCTGTCTGCCATCGTTTATGGAAGACATGCATACGCCTGAGGATTACGTCAAGACTCTTTGGTGGCTAGGAGGCATCCAGATTGTTATCTACACTCTGACAGGGTCGATAATCTATGCCTTTGTGGGTCAGGAGGTCCAATCGCCTGCTTTGCTATCGGCCGGCCCTCTCGTCTCAAGAGTCGTTTTTGGAATCGCGCTCCCCGTTATCTTCATATCGGGATCGATCAATACGACGGTGGTCTGCCGATATATTCACGGAAAGGTATATCAGGACTCATTCGTCCGCTTCGTCAACACCACGAAAGGTTGGATCACATGGCTTGGGCTTGTGTTCTTTGTTACAATTCTAGCCTGGATTATTGCGGAGGCTATCCCCATTTTCTCAGAGTTGCTGTCCCTCATTTCGTCCCTGTTCGTCTCTGGTCTGTCTTTCTATCTCCCACCAGCCATGTGGTACGTGCTTTTAAGGGATGGCGCATGGTATGAACGACACAATTTGAAGACTGCTATATGTAACGCTGTGGTGTTCCTGGTCGGGATAATTGTACTCGGATGTGGTACCTACTCTAGTATCGCTGAACTGGTGAGCTTCTTCTCTCGTACTCTACTTGGCTATTGCTGATTTCACGTTGTCTAGGTTGATGAATTTCGGTCTGGGTCAATAGGCAGGCCTTTTACGTGCTCTGGTTAGTAGCTGAATTGCTCCCAATAAGAATACCAAGCCTGTTTTGTGGAACACAGTCGGGGAACGAAGTCGTCGCGATGGCTTTTACTAGGATTTTGCAATATCAATATGGCCTCTTACAGTACTCTTTTATTAGTATCGACCCAAATTTCATGGAGATCCGCTGGCAAGAACAAGGCTCCTTGTGGCTTCATGAGACTGAGATGCCGATTATAGGGGGAGCTAGCGAGCTTAAAATCAGCGTGGGGTCGAGCCCTCTTTCTCTGAGGCTGAGTCTGAGACTGCATAAGGCGACCGGGCTCCGTACAGAGAGAGACAAAAGGGAGAAAATATAGAATGCTCAAGACGCGGAACCCATGTCGATGAGAATCAATATATGAGATTATTCATTTTTGTCCGAATGTCGCTATCGCGGCCGTACGAGTGGTGGTGTATACTGATCAACAACTCTCTAGTAAAGAAACCGTAACCCACCTTGTATATCATAGTCAGGACTGCCCTGCTGCAAGGAACAGCCCTGTGCCCGAGAGGAATGGGTATTGGCTCTAGCTCAGGTGTCTGCAGGGTTGCTTGCAGGGGTATCTTTTTGTTCGCGACAGGTGTTCAAATCCAGGTGATGTCATTTGTAGATATTTTTTTGCTTCTCTCTCGAAGAAGTGTGCAATTTGTGCAGTAGTTGGCGTTCCTTAAGGGATCCTTCAGTTTATATACTTGGCACGAGAATCCATACGTACACTTGTAGCTCGGGCCGGGGTGATCCAAGCTTTTGTACTAGTCGGTCGCATTCAACAGCTATATTGATTATCCATATTCGGGCTCTATATTCCGGCCCCCAAATATGCCTGTGCTGAAAGCGCACATGTTGCCGGCCTCGGCCGCGCATCAGCTGATGTCAGCCGGGGCTGAAAACGGGCGATCGCGACAACATCACACGTCTCATCAACACAATGGCATCATTTCGGGTCGTTGAACATGTCCTGCCCGGCCAGCACATCCGCGAATATCATCATAGTATTAAGGGTCGCCAGGAAGCCAAGATCCAGCTAGCCGTCAAGCAATACATCCCGCTGGACCAGCCCCACCCCATCCCCGACAATGCAGTCACCATTATCGGAATGCATGGAAATGGCTCTCTCAAGGTGTGTCTGTGTCTGCGGATTGACATAGAAATAGATGGCAGAATCTAGTCAGACTTACCTACCCTTCCATCACTAGGAGATGCTGGAGCCCCTGTGGGATGATCTGTACGCGCATCTGAAAAGACAGTCTGTGCCATTGCGCGGGATATGGATTGCCGATGTGTCGAACCAAGGTGCCAGCGGCGTTTTGAATGAGGATATCCAGGGCGATACCAGTAATTTTCCTTTTGCTACTTGGCTCAATGTCTACCGTGATAACTAACGAGCGACAACAGCGAGCTGGTACGACCACTCACGCGACGTCCTACACATGGTCAATCACTTTCGCGACGAGATGCCCCGGCCCCTCATCGGGGTAGCGCACAGCGTAGGATGCGCCGTAATGTCGGTCCTAATAGTATCTCCTGTGCAAGGAATCGTCTACTGACACGCGAGCAGGGTGAACCTTTCCATCATCCATCCCCGTCTATTGTCAACGCTGGTTCTGTATGAACCCGTGATCATGGAGCTCATCTTCAAGGGACCCAACCCGGCAAAGTGGCCCGCTCGCCGCAAAGACATCTGGGACTCTCGCGAAAAAGCCGAGTCCGCGCTTCGCCGCGGCCTGAGCAAGTGGGACCCCCGGGTCGCCGAGCGGTATCTCCGCTACGGCCTGCGAGCCGTTCCTACACGGCTATACAACAAACAGACACATCCGGATCTGTCCGAAAATGCCGTGACACTGACTACAACCAAACACCATGAAGCATGGGGCTACACGACCCCCAGCATAGAGCCCGAGTCCGCGGGTCTAGACCGGCTCTTACTACCAGACTGGGATGTTGAGAACGAACGCCCATATGCATTCTCGCGACCGGAGTGCTGGTCTTCATGGCGGAATTTGCCTTTCGTGCGTCCGAGTGTCTTTTGGGTGTTCGGGGAGTACAGCTATGTCTCTTCGCGAGAGTCGGAAGAGACCAAGATGCGAGTGACGGGCACTGGAACGGGAGGCAGCGGCGGTGCAGCGAAGGGTATGGTGGAGAAAGTTCTGCTAGAGAAGGGAAGTCATAATTTGGTTTATGAGCAGGTGGACTGGAGCGCTAGAGTGGGAGCTGATTGGATTGGGCGCTGGTTCCGGGGGTGGTTGGCTGATGAGGAATTTTGGAACACGTATCAGAGTAAGAGGTCCGATGCTGAGATGCTTAGGCTGTCGGATGCATCGTTGAAGGTGACTGAGATGCCGAATGGTGCCAGGAGGTTCAAGGGGAAGTTGTAAATCGGGGATGTGAAAATGTAGATATTTGTAGCGCATTGGCCTCGGAATTTCACGTAGCTGCACTTTATACCATTGAAAGCAACCAGCAGAGCGTGGTGTCGTCTCTACAAAACGCCATGCAACATGACCACTCTCCTGCAGATGCTGACTCGATTGAACAGTGCAGGTCCACATCCGACCCAAGAGAGCAATGATGAGAACAAAGATAGAAGATGCTGCGATCATGAATCACATTGCCATATCAACAGTAGAATCCACACGTACAAAAAAACACCTGCAACGAAAACACCATGCTAAGGGAGCGAGGAGACCAAAACAGTCTGCCACGACAACCCCAATCCATGCCAACCAGCTTCCCAATCATCCCACCATGACTTAAACAGCAGTGCAACCAAACGCCAAACTGAACATGTCCAAAACCCATCATTTTCGCTCCAGTCGACCAACAACAAATCACAAGCACGGAAGAACTAAACCCAACGTAGCGGGAAAAGGGGGGTATGCAAAAACATCATCCAGGCCGGACGGAAGAATAGAAAGTAATCCCCACACAGCCAAACGAGTGGATGGTGGAAAATATTAGAGCCTTAGCTACTGGACTGGTCGGACCGGCCGTGCGGGACTGGATGTGCTACCGATGCGGCCACTTGCTTTGCGAACTCCGCGGGATTCGCTCTTAGTGTCGGTTGCCCGGCGAGGGCTGGAGCGAACTTTGCTGACCGAGATCGGTCCGCCACCACTCTTCCGGCTAGCCGGCGTCTTGGGTGAGGCATTGTCAACCCAGTTCTCTCGGTCTTCATGGATGTCATCAGTTAATGTGTAACTGGCTGTGACGGTTGCGGAGTAGCTGATCGATCGTGAGGTCTGGGATGCGACGGGGGACCGTGATGATCGTTTGGCAAGCATGCGAAGCTGGGCCTCCTCCTCACTCTCGCTGCTTTCATTGCTAGTACGCTGGCTCCGGTGGCTGCGTGGCTCCGCAGACTTGCTCGTCTCACTCTCCACGGCAAGGCAGCCGGACGTGGTCCGAGAATACGGGTGATGCCGCGAGTCTTTGCGATGAGCCTTGCGAGGCTGGCCGGGAGTTGGTGCTGGAAGATTGTCCTCGCTGTGAGTAGCACTCGCTTCATTGTGATCAATCTCTCCCAGCGCGGCTCGCTTAGCATGACTGTTGTTCGGAGGGGTAGACACCGGACCGTTGCTGTGACGTTTCTTGGGAGAAATCCGCGCAGGCGTGACTGGAGTTGATAGGGCAAGCTTCTCCCGCATGGTGTCTTCGAACCACCATTCGCGGAAAGCACCCTGGTTGAGGTGCAGCCAGTGCTGCTGAGGACCAACGACCATACCCGGACGCATGAATCTCATAAAAGCAATGACTTCATTCGCAGTGAAGCCGTGGCGGTAGATGAGATACGCGCCAATCAAGCATCCCGTGCGGCCCAAGCCTGCCTTGCAATGCACGGCAATACCTTTGTTCTTGATGGTGATCATCTCATGGGCCATCTTAATGAATCGGCGAACCAGCGTGAGCGGGGGGCAGGTGCCGTCCTCGAAAATCATGTCGATATGCGCGATACCCATAGCCGTGAAATAGGACGGGGAGTAGAGCTCGGAGTTTAATCGCACCACGAGACCGACGTTTCGCTGGGAAAAGTGCGCCAGCACATTCTTGAATGGCAGCGGAAGCTTGGAAGAAGCAACTTCGGACACCGTCGAGGGCAAGGCATCGTACTCGGGGGTATTTATGGGGACCGGGGCAACGGGCTGGTGTTGGGGGGACGCGAAAGCAAGAAATTGGGGAGAGACCCAATTGAAGTCGCCCATGTCGACTCTCTCAAATTTTTCGTACCTGGATTTCTTGTCAGCAGCGAAATTTTGAATTAAGGTCCGGTCTCCTACTCTTCCAAGTTGAAGTCGCGAAGTCCGCAGAGGGACTGTTCCTTGGCTCGCCACACGCCGTAGACGACATCTTGAATGTTCAGGATAAAGTCCGCTTGGCTGTATCCAGCATCACGGAAGGGCATGTAAGGGGGATCTGCCTGAGCGATGGGCGCCAGAGCTAGGTGGGGCGGCCAAGATTGGATAAGAACCATGTAGCATGCCACGAGGCAGGCCGCATTTGAACGGCTGCGTGCATCGGTCTTGCTGTAGAAGACCACGGGCCGGTCGCTGTTCGCCGGATCTCCAAGAATTTCATGGAAGAGGACAGCAAATCGATACAGGTGACCGATGTGGAGAGGACCAAAGTCTGCGTGAAAGGCATTGTAGAGGAGAGTGTCATCAACCGTAAAATACACGGGGGCGCGGCGCTTGTTGTTAGGCGTGGTGGGCTGCGGACGGACAGAGCGTTTACTGGGGGATTTCGGCTGCTCTGCCTGAAACGGGAATGGTGTCCTTGAGTTTGGGGGTGTGTCGTAGGATGCGAGGTACAGGCGGTCTGTTGTTGTTATTGTTGTGGTTAGATTGCATAACAACATGGTGGCAACAAAACAAACATCAGACACGAACCTTGAATGTACTCGATAACCTGGCCACCATGGCCCGAATCGGTCGACATGGTGCTTGTTTGGTTGACAGCTGCGACGACTGTACACAACGAAGAATAGTGGCAGATAATCAATGCGGGTTCCAACTGCGTCCCGGGGTGGCTGTCGCTGTTGAGGAAGAATAGTATGCCAATAGCACGAGAATAATGAGATCAATCAACAAAGAACTCGAGAATCTATGCTCGCATGATCGGATTGACCCGTTCTTGACTTGGTGGTTGTTGACTGTCGGCAGCTAAAACAGACACGCGACCAGGGATAAGGATAAGATGAAAGCAGAGCCTGGAGAGGGGGACTGCTATGCAGGTCGAGGCCAATGGAGCTGGGAAGAATGGGAAGTTGGCGGTGGTGGGAATAACAGTGAGGAAGAGAGAGATGGATCACAACAAGAGAAATTGAAGATGGTGGCATCACTTGTTATGTTGTGTTAGTGTCAATCGGGTTTAGCGTAGTGAGTTGGCCTGACAACCGTGATTGCCTGCTGCTGCCTCAGGCGGCCATTATCACATGACCATTCTCCGACTCTGCATTCAGTTCTGTCAACTGCCAAATTTAATTCCGTTCAGAGTGGACATTCTGCTAGGCCACGGTTTCGCTGCAGTGAATTTGGCACACTTCTTTTGGCCGACAAAACCCATGGTGGCGGATCATGATGAGCCATTCTGCAAAATATTCCATGAACAAACTCGTACCATAACAATGCTCTAGGATATCATATTCCAGACACCCGAGACATCATTCCCTCGACTCGCCTGTGATAGATCGTCAAGTCGCCGGTCCAGTTTGCAACCAGGACTTTTTCTCATCACGCATGGACAGAAATATATATATATATATCACATGGCCGCCTCCCGACTAACTAGCCGTACTCTTGACGACAATCGCACGTCAGGGACCCTAATGAAGGATCATATATAATCGGCACGACCTGAACCACGAGTCCAGGACATCCATCACGATCAATTCTCGGAGATGATACCCACTTGTTGCACAGTGAATCGGCTGCAGATAAGGCAACGGTTCGCCGGACGGCAGAAAGGCAACCAAATTAACCGGCGGCAGGGCGTCGGAAGGCTCATACTAAGGGTTCATAACGAGCTGTCCGATCTTCAAGGGATAAGTATATCAGACGTCATCGCCTCTCCTCCCTTCTTAACCATCTGTTTCATCCAGCAGCACTCGCACCTTAATCTATTTTTGCTGTCCATGGCGTGGCCACGGAAAGGAAAATGCTTGTTCTGAATTTCATCCCTGCCATGACGGGTCCACTGCACCAGCGACGCAAGGCGGGGGCAGGGTTTAGGGGTGCTGTTAACTCCACGGCTCGAACCCACTTGGTTGAAGCCTGCGGGAGTGGCGGCGGACCCTGACAGGCTGCACGCCGGGATCGTCAGGGCGCTAACATGATAATTCGTTGGAACCCCGCATAAACCAGGGACTGACCCTGCGTCTAACATCCGCATCGTATCTCTCACATGTACCGTACACTTCGGCGAGGGTGTTAAGGAAACCGAGAAAAAAAAAAATGAGCAACTAACACCAAAGTGATCAAGGAATCACGAACATGCGAGGAACTATGAGGAGAAATGGCGAAATTATGCCATAACGAGGCCCAAGCATACGACAAGCTTCGGATGGTAGCCATTAGCGCCGCCTTGAACCCAAGGATTGGGCAGTTCTTCCGGGCAGGTCCCCTCCTGCCTCGGGACGTTTCGACTGGGGCCATGTGGGCACATCCCTTTTTGCACAGACTGACCAGCCGGATGATAGCCGGGATGTCGATCGTGATTATCAGAGACGGTCTGAACGTGTGTCCGAGGAGAGAGAGAGCCCCGTATCCTTACCCCCTGATGATCTCCACCGCATTCGATGCGAGGAGTTCTCTGGCTGGTCGAGCAGACGATGTATATAACCCGGGCGGAGCGATCCATGGACCCTTTCCCTCTCTTTCCTTCGTTCTCTACTACACAAGCCGCACTCTCTAAGTCGTGTTGATTCCGACGTCCTTTCTTTAAATCTTTCCGCTCAAGCGCCAACCAAGCCACTCTTTCCAACTATCAAATCAAATCCAACCCTCACAACAATGAGATTCTTCGCGACTCTTGCTCTGGCCGGCGCCGCCTCCGCTGCCGTCATTCCTAACGTGGGCAACCTCCAGGGCACTGCCACCGGTGCCGTCAGCGGCGCTGAGGGTGCTGCGAGCGGTGCTGTCGAGGGCGTCGAGGGCGCCGTCAGCGGTGTTGAGGGTGCCGCCACCGGTCTTCTTGCTCCCCTGAGCCAGACCGTTGAGGGGACCGCTGGCCCGCTCCTCAGCAAGGTCGAGGGCTCCGTCGGCAATGTCGCTCCCGTCAAGCGCACCTTCGGTAACCAGCTCGAATACCCTGTCGAGGAAGTGCCCAACGAGGTGACATCGCTCGCCGGTGCTGGCGGTCTCGCCAAGACCGTTGAGGGCACTGTCGACGAAGTCGTTGGCACCGTTGAGAACACCGCTGGTGGTGTTGGCAGTATGTCTACGTACATCTTGCTGTCTGATTGATCTATACTAACTCGAATACAGATGGTCTCCCCCTCAAGCGTGAAGACGCCGTCGCCGGTCTGACCGGTCTGACCGGCTCTGTCGGCAGCGTTGCCGGTGGTGTTGCTGCTCCCGTTGAGGAGACTGTCGATGGTGCCGCTGGCTCCGTTGAGTCCGTTGTCCCCGAGGTCGTTGACAGTATGTCGACCCAGTGAGGGAAATGATATAAAGAGTCTCTGCTAACCCTTTTTTAGCTGCCACCTCCGCTGCCAGTGGTGCCACTGGTGCCGTCTCTGGCGCTGTCCCCAGTCTCCCCAAGCGCCAGCTCGGCGGCCTCACCAGCACCCTGGAGGGTACCCTGACCGAGACCCTGGGTGGTCTGACCAGCGGCAACGTCGACGGCCTCGTCGGTGCCCTGACCAACCTCCAGCACGCCATCAACATTGGGTCGCTCACCCAGGGTGACCTCGCCAGCCTCCCTGGTCCCGTTCAGGAGGTTGTCTCTGTGCTGCAGATCTAAACTTCTGAACCTCTATAATTCTTGGATATATATACTTCTTGGATATATAGTATCGGAGGCTTTTCAGGATCTGGATGCATTCAGACATATTGATGGATGACGATTCAGTCCAGCGGGATATCTATACGCGCATTTTATTGTTTTTCTTCATTTCGTTCTGAGTTCTAGGAGTTCTTCCTCGGACATTATCTGATGCGACTTTTCACTTTCATGTACAGTTACCTGGCTGAATGCCTTTGGGCATATCATACTTTACGATCCGTATGCGAGCATTTAGCTGCAGCATGAAATTCACGATCATCGTCTTTCTCTCCCCATTATCTGCTGCCTTTGTAGATACGTCTGCCAGCCGTACTTGATCCCCGTGACACGCTGACTCAGCCCTTCATTTTCCTCCCTGCAACAACTCACTAGTTCTGCTCATATCTCAAACATACCTTTTCTGTCCATATTTATTGTGTTCCTGCAACAAACACAATGGCACCCACACAACCCTCCGACGCCGAGTTCCCTTGCGCATTGTACGCCCCTCCCACGCTCTCTCTTATCTGAACCAAACCACACCAGACAAAACACAAACTAACCCAGACTATTCAGAACGATATCCCTCCCCTTCCCAACCCACCGCCTCGCCTCGTCCGCCCAGCGCGCCCTCGAAGTCGACGCCGAACTGTCCCCCTTCGTGCGCCGCAGCTTCGCCCTCACAGCCCCACCCGCCGACCAGCCGCAGGAGAAAAAGCAGAAGCAGGATCCTGAGGAGGGGAACACGGTGCTGAAGACTACGTACCGCGCTACGACGAATCGCATGCTGCGTGTGGCGGTCAATGGGTTTATGGAGAGCTTGGGGGTTGTGCTTGGCGTGATGGCTGAGTTGGATGTCGATGTCTTAAAGGCTGAGGCGGAGATTGAGGGGTGAGCTCGACACGGACATACTTTTTTCAACAATCCCGGTTGGCAATGTCGATTTGCGAGCCTGTTGCGATCGGACAAATTGCTGCCTTCCTGCGCAGGTCGCTTCTCCGGTCGCCTCTCCCTTCTTGCCCCTCAATGGGGTGCAACCGTGCGAGCGATTGCGAACTGGACGTACAGATCTCCAACTCGCCGGGTCTTACTTGCAGTGCTGATGCAGTCTTGTGTGACTGGACCGGCATTCTACACTCTGCCTTTGAATATCGAGGACCGCTTTAAACGCGATCACTCGAACACGGCATTGCATTTGACTGCAGTGCCCAGCACCCACTGCCGGGCCCGGGTAGTTGATAGATGGCCATCATATATGAGGCGGCCGCAGCGCTGACGGATAGACGAGGCGGATTCTGCAACGACAGATGGCTTGTCGTGGTAGATGTCTGAGACTCACCGCTTGTCTTACACAGTCCTATTTAGATAATGTGTCTCTCTCCTAAACACCATCGCCAACTCTCTCTCTCTCTCTCTCTCTCTCTCTCTCTCTCTCTCTCTCTCTCTCTCTTCTCTCTTCTCTCCCAGTACGATCGTTTCTTATCCTAGGCCTCGTCGTCGCTCCCCCCTGCCTCCCTTTGTGCTAAACCCCAGTCATTTTGTTTCTTGCAAGTCTAGAGTTGCGGAAGACCTCGTTCTATTCCCCAACACGTTCAAAATGTCAACTACCAACAGACTGGCCCGCAGCTAGCGAGATTCTTCTATATTACAGAGTCTCCGTCCCAAACAGCCCTTGGTCTGTGATAAATACTATGGGATCTTCCCTTTCTCATTTCGTGGGGACGTTGTCGGAGGCCCGTAGAAGAAGACTCTGAGCGTATAAGACGTGAGCTTCGTAGACGAGCCACGGCATTCTTTTGAAATCCTTTGCAGTTTGGCCACGAGGATGCAAGTCAGTCCCCGAGCTGGCTTCCGACCACGAGGGTAACAGGCCCGACTTGTCCGCTGCCCTACAACCCTAGTGCTAGGAACGGTGAGCTTAGGGTTAGAATCTCTTGAATCTCATTATGGTATTTTTCAAGACAAGAAACACGAGGAGTAGAATGCTGGGGTGAATACATCAATGTTCCCGCTCCAGCACTTGTGGATATCGTGGGGCGTCTTACCCCGCGACAAACTCCTGGAAGTGGAGAATACCACAGTTTAGGAACACGTCGACCCATCGTAGGGAACACCCGGGGTTTTCTGTTCTACCAACGATTACAGCATGTTGCAGGGCCGATTGTTGGCAGTAGGCCGGACTCGACCGCTGTGAGAATGGAAAGGATTGATGATTGAACCAGCATGAGACCCGCGAAAGCGTGCGATGCCTGCCGGTGGAGTCCCTCGTTCCCTCCCCGTGCCCAGATATTGACTGATGCTTCCAGTCTGCGGAGGCGAAGATGCGACATTGCGGTAAACGGTGAGGGCTGTACATACTGCACGGCCAGGGGAGATGAGTGCTCTCGCAAGGACTCGCCGGTGGTGGCAGTTTGCCGGCCCCAGCCGATTCCGCGAGCTCGTTCTCCAGCATTCAGCGGCCATGCTGCGATCGCCGAACAGACAACCAGCAAGCTTCCGCCAAAAACAGTCTGCGTGGAACTTACTCGGCTCTACTTCGACTTCATCCACGACAAGTTCCATTCTTTGTTCCACCCACCGAGCATGATCCAGGATGTGCTGGACGATCGAGCACCTCTGATCCTTCTCTACGGGATATTGGCCCTATCTGCAAGGTCTGGTATTGTTTTCGCGTGGGGAGCGGCCGCACTGACAGGATCCAGGTTTTCAAAGAACCCTTTTTTCCAAGGCTCCGAAGCTCGTGAACGGGACCGGCAGTATAGCGCGGAGTGCAAGCGACTTTTAAACCTCGACGACGTCTCCTTGATCACGGTCCAAGCATGCGTTTTGCTCGGAGCAGCGGCCATCGCCGAAGGGAAGCCGGGGGCAGAGTCAGTCTACTATGCGGTCGCCTGTCGGATAACCCAGCTCCTCGATCTACCCAACCAGTCCACAATGAGTCCCATTGAGAAGGAGGTTAACATTCGAGGTCCGTCTCCGTCTCTCTCTCCCTCAACCGACGACCTCGGTGACTAAAATGTGGTCACAGTCTGGTGGACACTCTGCTTGATTGATGTCTGGTCATCGACAGGCGTAGGTCTTCCTCGCCATATGACGCATCGAGATGATGTCCCATTGCCGATGGATGAAAGAGTGTTCCTTCAATTGAAGCGAGAAGATACAAGTCCAATCAAAATTTCACCTCGGCCAGGGGCATCTTTGATTGCGCAGATGATTAAACTGAATTTAATTTTAGCAGAGATATACGAGATTAATAACATGGCAGCGACAGGGAAAGCCGACGGCGCCGCTCTAGAAACGGCAGTTCGGGATGCATCTCATCGCCTGGATGAATGGCAGGCTGCTCTGCCTGACTACATGCGTGACAGACCGGCGAATATGGCTCGCTACGCTTCTGAAGGACTCGGCCGAACGTTTGTCGCTCTGCATATGGGATATTACCATTACGGACAGCTGCTCTTCTACCAATTTCTCCACCAGGACTGCCATGCGTCGGTGCCAAGCACTCATTATTATGCGAACAAGTGCAAGGTCCACGCCGCCGGTCTTTGTGAGCTCCTCTACACTGCCAACGCCACCCCGGACTGTGAAGTCCTGTATACCATGGTCGGCCACATCCTAGTGATCTCGTCCACTGTCCAACTCTATATTCTGCTCTTCGGCGTCGACGACGAAGAGATCAAAATTGCGCGAGCACGGCTGGAACGCAATTTTGAGATCCTGCTGCATCTTCGAACCTTCTGGCCCACACTAGACGTATCCTTCACTCGGCTCCGAGCCTTTCACAAGGCCTGCCGGGTCTCCATGGAGACATCGTTCCGCTTGGATCAGTGGATGCTGCGCTTTCTGTCCGAGTTCGCTCAGCCTGTTGGTGATAGATATTCAGAGGACGACGACTCCCGCTCCTGGAGAGTGGAGAATATTGGCACAAGCCCGTCAGATTTTCAAGTGTCTCTCACTTGATTAGTCCGATTTTGGACTGCGCTCTCTTCGACTTTGTCATCTTGTAGCTTATGTCAAGCCAGTAATCAAGCATCAAAGCTGCAACAGGATCGCAGCCACGCATAGCAGCTCCGCAAGCAAAAGAATACCATTCTACCTTAAGACGTCTGCGAGCAAACCAAGCCCTATAAAGACAAATAACGTAAAATAATCATAATATACATTCTGCTGCGCGTCTCACAAAAGCCTTCAGGCTAAGATTCACTGAACATGCCTCATCTTTATGTTAAAGCCGAAAGACTCCAACTACGGTCGTTCTTCGTGTTTTACCGGAAAGCTCACGACCAAGCACTTATCAGCTGTCTATCACACTCGTCCAGTGGTTTTACATGATTATCAACAGCGTTTTATATAGGGACGTCACTTCTCCAATAGTATCTTGTATCCCCCTATCAACAATAAGCCGCTGTCTTGCGCACTGACAAGATAATGAATCTAACTTCCAAGACAGCTGGTGCTCGTACTCCCTAACTAACTATCCAATACAGCCGAACTTGAGACTTTTCATTGCGTTTCCTTGACCCGGTCGATGATATCGACATTCTCGTCGTATGCATCCACCTGGAATTTCCTGAACTTCCTCGTCGGCACCTTTGCAGCGAACATCAAATCCAACTCTTCATATGTCCGGCCCTTGGTCTCTGGCAGACGGAAGTAAGCCCAAACAAATGTTAGGAATGCGGTGCCAAACCAGAAGAACCCGGTTTTCCCCCGCCAGTTCCATTCAGTCGGATTCATCATATAGGGCTCAATGACGTTGGCCAGGATCTGAACGATGTAGTACGCGTTTCGGGCCAAGCAGATGGTTTTGGACCGGAGGCGCGTACTGGAGACTTCCGCCGGGATAGCCCATCCGATAGGTCCGGCGGAGAGCGAAAAGAAGAAGAGCCACAAGACGCAAAGAACAGACTGGGCCCATATGGTGCCGCCACTGCCGTGCGCTAGCGTCAGGAAGCCGATGATTATGAGACAAGCGCACATGCCGGCCATACCCCACAGGTAGATGGTCCGACGGCCAGCAATCCTCATGAGGCCCCAGGAGATCAGGGTGCCGACGAAGGCGATCGCAGTTCCGCCCAGGCCAAGCTTATAGGCGTTGCTGCTGTTCAGACCGGCTTGTTCGAAGAAGTAAGTAGGACTGTATGCGAAGGTACTGCCGGCCAAGACTTGACCGGCGAAAATCACGCATGCTATCTCCGTTCGACGTCGATCGGTGCCGCGGAAGCAATCCCAGTAGGAATGGCCGGCTGTGATCTCTTTCTCGATATTGTTCGTATGGATCATCATGGCCACAACATTCTTAGCGTTAGGCATCTCGGCACGCGCCATCAGGCGCCTGACGCTCCGCTCGGCTTCTTCGTATCGATCATGTCGGACAAGCCACCATGGCGATTCGGGCATGAAGAAGGCTGCAATCATCAGAGGTGCAGGCCAAAGCCACTGGATGGCGTATGGAATCCGGTAAGACCATTGATCGGGGCGCCCGATTAGACTCTGTAGCACGCCGGCACTGACAAACTGTCCCATGGCGAAGCACATGTTGGTGTAGGCCGTGAGGTAGGGCCGGAAGGCCATCGGGCTAACCTCGGAGGCGTAGGCAGGACCGATCGTTGCAAAGACTCCCCATGGCAGGCTGTTCTGGCTGTTAGCATATCCACCATCGCATATCACCAGTCGATTCCGGCAATTGCAGGCGGATAACTCACCCACACAGGACTTGACCCACGGTCTGCAGTTGCACCGTTGTTCCAAAGAAACTGATGAAAATGAAAGCATTCATGCACAAGAGGGCGCCCATGAAAACGTTTCGAAAGCCAAACCGCTGTACCAGAAATCCATTGATCGTCGCACCGACTAGCGCACCAGCAGTGGGGCCAGATCCGAGGGCCTGCTGCCATGAGCCAGCCACTTGATAAGTGTCTGTGGACTTATCATGTGAGCCAAACTGTTTCGCGAATGCCGGGTAGCCGTAGAAATTGCCAATGAGGTTGGTATCGTATCCTTCCATAATGATGGACATGGAAACCGCCACCGACCATAAGGCAGCATACGGATAGGCTCGAAGCGCCTTGCGAACGGTCGACTCATGCTCGTTTAGGTTGGCCAGATGGGCATCCGCGACTGAAGCGTGCCATCCTCCCTTCTCGCCAAGGCCGCTTTCGTCGGTTGAGAACTGTCCTTCTAGTTGGCTCTCGACATGCGAGAACGACTCATCTTTGACCGACATGATGGATATCCAAAGGCGGATCCTTAAACAACGATCAAGCTATCTTGTTGTACCACGCCGCTAATTCCCCGGACGTCACAGTCAATGACAACCTGAGTGGTTCAGTCTTTGCATGCACGAAGAGAGGAAGTGAGACAAGCTTGTAGATTAGGAAACTTGATGTCTTTCAAGACACGTTTATGGGCAAAGTGGATCCTTTTATAGATTTCCGGAGCATGCACGGATGTCCTGCGTCCTGTGTTGTAGAACTAGAACGCTCTGTCGTCGTGGCCTCAAGGTCAGATGCCACATTCCAGTCATTTAACCAAACGTTCCGAACAGAAAGGTCGCCAAGCTCTAGGAGTACCCCCGAGAAGGTCATACGGAGGAAGAAATGGCGAAAGCTACAAGCAGCGGCCACTCGCGGCTGAGTGCACCATATCACAGTGTCTTGCTCTTGTCCTCCGCATTTGAGTCGCTTATTTTGTGTGGGTCTGCTATGTGGAATTTGACGCGGGGATTTCTTCTTCTGATTGGCCGGAGACCAAGCCTGCCCTCAGAATCCGGAGACCAGCGTGTGGGGGAAGGGAATCTGGGGTGCATGAATAGACTCCGACCATAGACCGGAATTGGGGGCGGGGATGGGACAAGCTGGGGAACTTAGAAAAGCCCGCCCTGGATGGAAAATCCAGACTTCCTACAGCCATCCTCGTCCTGCGAATCCCGAATATGGCGGGATATGAACTCTGATGGCAGGCGGAATAAGGGTAATTCCGGTTAATTGGTTTTCGGATAATTGTCGTTTCCCCCTGAACGGAGTCCAAAATACAATAGTTAAAACAGATCACCGGCTGCTTGAACCAAGAAAACATTCTAGATCTGGTCACACCCAATGAGCAATTTCCAAACCCGCCGTTTCTCCACCTCCCCGCAACGTCGGTACATCGGGTTACGATCCAATCAGAGGTGTCCAACTCCGCCTGCGATTTACGCAAACCACCTAAAAGGTGCTCCTTCAATAACCCCTGCTTTGTAAAGACCTCAGATCATCGGAACGAATGCCGCGAATTCATAGCGTCACATGACATAATGGGATTATATAGCAAGGCAAATGGCCGCACGTTTTGACAGGCAATCGCTCAGTTGTACGTCTCTTTGCTAAACATCCGCGACGATGGCTCAACCGAAAAGCATTGTCTGGAAGACAGGCACTCTCACTGTTCAGCTGGTCGTTGGAAGCGACGAAATCGTTCGTGTTGTGAGCATTCTGCCACACGATGCGCCTGTCGAGGAACAAGCCCCCTCGTCTCCCAAGCAGGGTGCTGTCCCTCTGTTCGGGGTCCGACTGAATGGGGAGGGGAATCCGTCGCACAAGTCGGCCAAGGCGCTCATTGGCAGCTATGTCTCGAGCAGACTGAAGTATCAAAGCCACCAGGAGCAAAGTAACGCTCAGCTGAACTCTCTCGATATCACTGCGTACGACGAAACATCGCAGATTTCGGTCACCGCTCACCTGTCGGTGTATCCGGGAATCCCCGTGATCAGATCGACGACGACCATTCGCAATGAGTCCCAGAAAGACATTGTGGTCGACCAACTGTCGTCGCTCATTGTCGGTGCTCTGGGCGAAAAGCCGATCGACTGTTGGCTAGACTACACCTTGTCTACACCGACCAACACCTGGTTCAGAGAAGCCCAGTGGCGAGATCAGTCTCTTCCCAGTGTCGGGTTGGACGATATCGGCCTTTCGGAGCTGCCTGATCGTCACGACGCGTCAATGGCACATCACGCTGTTTCAAATCGTGGGACATTCTCAACAGGAACCTATTTGCCAATGGGATTGCTGAAGAAGAACGATTCCAGCGAAACCTGGCTCTGGCAGATTGAGAGCAACGGGTCATGGCGGTGGGAACTCGGAGATTTTCAAGAGAATGTCTATCTGGCTCTAGGCGGCCCGACGAACAAGGACCATAGCTGGAAACACCGCCTGTCTCCTGGCCAGTCGTTCACCAGCGTACCTGTAGCACTCTGCCACATCTTGGACCATCCGGACAATGCCTTCGCCGCCTTGACTGAGTACCGCCGACGCATCCGGAGGCCGCACAAGGACAACGAGGAGCTCGGTGTGATTTTCAACGACTACATGAATTGTCTCATGGGCGATCCCACCGAAGAGAAGGTCATGGCCCTCGTTGACCCTGCTGTGGAGGCTGGCGTAAAATTCTTTGTCATTGACTGCGGCTGGTATGCGGACGACAGCGGTTGGTGGGACGACGTCGGCCTATGGGAACCGTCGACTAAACGATTTCCGAAGGGTCTGAAATCTCTGCTCGACGATATACGGGCTAGAGGGCTCACGCCCGGACTGTGGGTTGAGCCAGAGGTGATTGGCGTTCGCAGCGTGGTCGCCGACATGCTGCCTGAGGATGCTTTCTTCCAAGAGAACGGCCGACGAATAGTGGAGAAGGGACGGTACCAGCTGGATTATCGGCACCCTGAGGTGATCAAACGCATGGACAAAGTGATTGACAACCTCGTCCTCAACTACGGGGTCGGATATTTCAAGTTCGACTACAACATCGAAGTCGTTCAGGGTACGGACGCAAACTCTTTCAGTCCCGCCGATGGACAGCTCGGGCATAATCGGGCCTATCTAGAGTGGGTTGGCAAGTTGTACGACCGCTTCCCGGACCTAGTCATCGAGAGCTGTTCCAGTGGAGCTCAACGCATGGACTACGCCCTTCTGGGTGTTCACTCGCTTCAATCGACCAGCGACCAGCAAGATCCGGTGCGATATTCTGCGATTGCAGCTGCCGTGCCGACAGCGGTCACGCCAGAACAGAGCGCCAGCTGGGCGTATCCGCAGCCTGAATGGGACGATGAGAAGAACGCGATGACGGTCGTCAACAGCCTCCTGGGCCGTGTTCACCTGAGTGGCAGAATTGATCTCTTGAGCCCTCAGCAATTGGAGCTCATCGTGAGCGGTATGGTAGTCTACAAGCAGCTCCGTTCTGACCTCAATACCGGTCTGCCATTCTGGCCATTAGGTCTGCCTAAGTGGCACGACGACTGGGTGGCACTGGGAATTGCCGCAACCAGCGGAGTCCGCTATCTTGCTGTGTGGCGCCGATCTGGCTCAAATACACTCTCCCTGCCCATTCCTGCTCTGAAAGGTCGGGATGTTGAAGCCAAGCTTTTGTATCCGGAGAAGTTTGAGGCACACGCGCAATGGGATTCAGGCAACGCTGCATTATCAGTTCGTGTTCCCTCTGCTGCATGCGCTCGTCTTTTCCGGCTCTCTGCCAAATAGGACCCTAGCGATATATAAATCAGTGGCATTGGATTATTAGCCAATGTCTGGCATTCCGGCGCATCTTTATGGGACAATAGTATCATAGAGTCGTATAATGCCTTCTTCAATTGCCTGACTAGAGAATTTGTCTATGCCAATAGAAAGTGAATCCAGTTTGCTCAGGCTCAATGCATAGACAGAAGCGTTTGGTTACTATAGGTTAGGCCAGTTCCCTCATTAGAAAATCCAAACACGGTTGGAATGTCATCCTGCCCAACATCGTCTGGTTGTACATGTTTGTCTAGTCTATTGAATGAAACACCCAGGTTCACGGAAAGTCCTTTACCCAGGCTCATTGGATCTGGTTCGACATGCTTTATAAAACCGCGATGTGAAGAATTGCCGAGAAATATTTATCTGATGGCATAGTGGAAATGTATTCAAGTTTGTTGTTTGACACTCTAGGAGGATTGGAATGTTAAAAGTGGATGTCAGATCCACTACAGTGGCACCGCAAAAGTTGTACGGACACTCACGCATTGTTTCTCGGCCCGTATCCGAAACAACCCTAACCCGTTCTAGTTTAGAAGAACGATCTCTTCTTACCTATACAGTAAAATATTGAAGGATTGACTAGTTAGTTATTGTCAATGTCGTCACACAACCAAGTAGATTGTTCTAGACAGGATTATCAGGTGGCACCAACGTCTCCCCCACTCCGTGGGTCGGCCTTAATCGGGTGGGTCATAAGGCCCCCGGTGTTTCGATCTCCGGTTCTTATCCCCGCTGTCGGTCTCCGACTTTCTTGGTTCGTCAGACCTCAGTATATATAAAAAACCCATAGAACCAGTACTGTGTAGATCTAGCTAGCCCCAGAGCCCACCTCCTCAAAAACCCACAAATCTAATTCCCAATACAATGAGCGAAATCCTCGTCATAACCTGCCCCAGCGGCAAGCAATGCGCCCATCTAATCCCCCTCCTCTACAACAAAGGCAACTTCGTACTCCGCCTTGCCGCGCACTCCGAAACCTCCAAATCCAACCTCAAATCCCTCTACCCAGATGCCGAAATTGTCCACACAGACATAACCTCCCAATCTGCATGCCGTGAGCTCCTATCAGGCGCAACCACCGTCTACCACGTCGGGCCATCCCTCCACTCCCGCGAAACGGAAATGGGCATCAACATGATCGACGCCGCTGTCTCCGAGAGTCAGAAACCAGGGAACGTTTTTAAGCACTTCGTTTTCTCTAGCGTGCTCAGTACGCAACACCGGAATCTCATGCAACATGATCTAAAATGTCGCGTGGAGGAGCGCCTGTTGCTTAGCCCGCTGAATTTCACCATTCTTCAACCAACTAACTTCATGGATGCATATCCTGTCACTCAGCTAGCGGGCCAAGATAGTCCATCGATCCAGAAACTTTGGAACCCGCACATCCCGAATAGCGTCATCGCACTCCGGGACCTAGCTGAGGCGGCTGCAATTGTGTTGAATGAGAGAGAGAAACATTATTTCGCGCAGTACCCCCTTGTCTCGACGTTACCGGTTGCAGATAAGGAGATTGTTAGCGTTATAGGGAGACACATTGGGAAGCCTATTGAAATTACAGCTCCTAATTTTGAGGATGGTGTTGAAAAAGCTATTCAATATCTTTTTGGTGGAAAGCAGGATGCTATCTATACGGGTGATAATGTGGATGAAGATTTGAAGAGACTGGCTGCGGATGGGGATCTTCGACCTGATATTACAAGGGATGAGGCAGAGCGACTTGTGTTGTTTTATAATCGCCGTGGACTCAGAGGAAACCCGAATGTACTGCGGTGGTTGCTAGGGAGGGAGCCGACAAGTGTTGAGGAGTGGGTTAGGTTGCAATTGGGTTAGTTCTTGTAGCTATAGCCCGTAGTAAAGCGAAAGTGCTAATGCTATAGCTGCCTACTTATATGTTCATATGATATTCAATTCGGTAGATAGATAGCTAGGGAATAAAAGGTGCTTGAGTGATATATTCTCCTGGGATTATAAGTGTCACTCTAAGCTGACCCCGAACCACTCCCACTGGTCCAAATACTCAATACAGTCTCAGGGCATCTCAGATGCCTGCATTGCTCCTGTGATAGGAGTAACATAGTCCCGACGTCTTGTCACAAAGATCTCTGCCGTAATGGGAACATTGGTTTCCACAAGGCTGCCAGACTTGATTTGAGTGACGCCTGGCATTCCTTCCGGCTGCGAGTAGAGGCTGGCTCCACAATCTACTGATGTTAATTCATGAAACGTTTGAGGAGAAGGAATTTCTATCCTACTCTCACAAAAGAAAAGATGATGTGCTTTGCCAGACATAATTCCGACTCTTGCCCACCTCTTGGGCGATCCCTTGGTCAACGAGAAGTTCGCGGTTGGGACAGCCACGTTGGAAGAGAAAGCGCTACCGCCCCATTTTTGGCATTCCGTGCAGTGACACAGTGCCGTTAGAGCGGGCTCACCTAGAAGACTAAACAGTCAGCCATCTTTTCCTTCGGCTCCTGCTCGACCAAAAAGGACAGGCAACTTGCCAGAGTATTGAAAAGACACGCTGCCGCAAAGGCAGTTTCCCGATCCAGGCATCTCGAGATTGATTGAGGATAGAATAAAGTTTGAACTTATTGTGGTGGTTGGTTTTGTTGGACTTTTGAAAGAATATACTGGGGAAGCTTCTGAATGAGAATTCAGCGAAGTATTTGTACTTCGCGAAAATATATGATTCCACATCGCCGACGTGTATTTCTTTCCATTTTTGGACTAGCTTCTTTGATTCCAAACGCTTCAGATAATGAGCCAGAGACAATTCTGGTTTTCAAGTTCGACCTGTTGCGCCACTTCTTTGGAATCATCTTGGACCCACACCGGGCCAGGCGTTGTCGCCAAAGCTAGGAAGTAGTGGACCATCGGTTTGAGAGAGAGCGCGATTGGATAGGAACGGACTAAATATCCAGCCTACGGTGACCGTGAAACCGAAACAGCTAGTATTCGACTATTTTGCGCAACGCAGTGTTCATGCCTGCGTGAGGGCTTATTTCACTGGCTTGAGAGAAGTACTCGAAAATTCACGCATCGGGATGGATACCGGGGCCTTGGCCTAAGCTTAACGAGAACATAGTTTACGGTCGACTAGGAAGAATATCGTCCAGGAGCCCTTCGAAAATATCCTCTTCGATTAGTGCACCGAACCTGCTCGTGTTAGAGATAATGTACCAATGTATTGGACACTTGAACTGTGGAGAAGAAAAATAGAGCACAGCCGAGGAAAGCACTCACCCATAGCATTTGATGTGCGGGATCATGGCAGATCTCAACATGTCCAGTTTTCCATTTGGTATTTTACTAATGATAAACCGGTCCATAATCCTATTCCATGTTTGAACAGGTGTGATATACCCGTTGAGACCAAGAGAGCCAGAGAGTTCGAAAAGCTTGTCTAGCTGCTGAGCAGGAATCTCCCAAGAAGATTTATCATGCAGGCCCGATGGAGCTTCTGAGAGTAAGAGTCCTTGCATGGACAAAGCATGCCCTGATGGCTCTTCTGTGCCTAAAGGCCGTGTGTGGAAAAGACAAGGACGTTCCAAGCTGCAAGGTCAGATAATAGAATGATTCCGCACATGGTGGACTTACGAGAGCACAAAGTCAACACCCATTTGAGCAAATTTTCGGTTGTCAGGGTGGTATGAGGGTCTGGCAGATTAGGTCAGATTTTCCACATTGAAATCCCTCATTAGATGCACGGTTGTCCGACAGACCTTTGCAGATATTCAGGCAACTCGTCAAGTGGAAATTGTGAGTTCTGTACTTTGTCTTCTTCTGCACTTGAAGGACAATACTGAGAGGCGACATGGTAAGGTTGATATTCCGGCATTTTCACTTGTAGATGTTGATGTGAGCTACTCTCCCCAAATATGGTTACTTCTGCTAATGCTGATTTGCGTGGTAAAAGATCGGGTGGAAGGGGGATTGAGTGGCGGGCCATGATGTCCTTGAGGACCTCGTTTTCAAATTGAAGACTTCGCACCTCTTCCGCCTTCGTGAGTCGCGCATAGAGTTGGTAAAGCTCATCTTCGAGCATGCGACAGCGCTTTTCCTTCTGGTCGCGATGCTTCCTGCAAAGAGGTTAGTGAGAATCGTTAACATGTATATGTCGGCCAGCCTGACTTCTGTGCTCGTCGTACTTGCTCACGCCGTCGATCATAATTGGCCCTCGAGTGATCCACGGTCGTTTGAGCTACTGAAGACCCTAGAAGGAGGTGATTGATTAGACAGATGATTCCAAAGCTTCGCTAGTAATTAGGTCTCCACGGAGTTGTTTGTACCTATGAGAGCAGGGTCTTCTTTGCCCATCCCTATGGAATGAACTCCGTCGGACACGGGCTATATCGTACCAGAAAAAGACTGTCTGGATCGCGATTGACGTATGAACTAGATAGGATAGGAAGATTCTCCCGACTTTTGAGCGGGCTTGAGAAGTCATGAAGGGGTAGGAGAGAGCCGAAATGCTGCACGGAATCCGCTGCCGTCGAACATCCGTAGACCCGCACTTTTATCCACGTCTCAAACTACAGACCGACTTAAGTCTGTGCGGCACTGGGTTACGTAACAAGGTCCAGACCCACCAAGCACGAAACCAGAGTTTCTATTGGTTACTTTGAGAATCTTGCGTGAACCCCAGAGGGGGGTATAAACCAATGAAACCCCTCTACTGGTTAGAGGTGGAGCACAGCACAAATGATTCCAAAGCGATGGGATTCTAAACATACAGGGCCCCACCCAACCCGAATGACTCCAGGCAACTTGCAAATGGGATTCCAGACTTAACGACATGAGCTCGTATGGGCTTTTTATAAATAATTCTTACTTGCCAACTATATCTGAAAGAACGAAGGTACTTGGTATCTCTCCTCCTCACGCAGGTTGCCCTCAGTATCAACCCATTTTTTATGGTCTTTCCACCATAGCCCGTTTTACTTCAGCCATCATTTGCAGGAACGTCTTCGAAGACACCACCAAGATCCAGTAAAAATGACTACAAGCACGATCCTGGATACGATTGGAAATACCGCTTTGTTAGAATTGCAGCATGTCAGGCCATCCAACGGTTCTCGAATTTTCGTGAAACTAGAGAGCCAAAATCCGACAGGGAGCATGAAAGATCGAATGGCATTGGCAATGATCTCAGCTGCGGAAGCTGACGGGCGATTGAAACCTGGCGGGGCCGTGGTAGAGTACACCGGTGGTAGTACCGGCGTGTCGTTGGCATTGATCTGCACTGCAAAGAAACATCCCCTTCACCTCGTTACGTCCGATGCCTTCTCCAAAGAAAAGCTAGACCATATGAGGCTTCTTGGGGCCAATTTGACGATCTTGCCCAGCGAGCATGGCAAACAAACGGAGAAGCTCACGAAAGATATGATTCGTGAAGCACATGCTATTGCTGAGAAGACTGGCGCCTATATCACTGCGCAAATGAACAACACCGACCAGTTGCATGCATATCTGAAGCTCGCCGACGAGATTTGGGAGCAGACTGGCGGCAAAATCGATGGATTTGTACAGAGTGTGGGATCATCTGCCTCATTTCGCGGGACTTCTGAGATTCTTCGTCAGAGGAACGATCGTATCACTTGTGTCGCTGTGGAACCGTCCGAGTCGGCCGTTCTCTCTGGGGGTCCATCTGGATCACACAATATTGATGGCACCGGAGCCGGCTACGTCGTGCCCCTGTGGTACGATGGTGTGGCTGATGAAATCGATCGCGTATCAACATATGATGCGAGGGCCATGGCATTTCGCCTGGCAAGGGAAGAAGGTATTTTCTGCGGTACTTCTTCCGGGGCCAATGTGACAGCAGCTCTGCGCTTAGCAGAGCGTCTTAAGCCCAATTCAACTATTGTTACTATCATGTGTGACACGGGCATGAAGTACTTGAAGTCTTTCTCCCAGGAGCTTGTCTCAGGTGTCTAGAGTTGGACTGGAGGGAGCTATGCATCATGAGGCACCCAGGCTGGATAAATTGAACTTTTTAGAGGTCCCAGCCCTTATACATTGTCGCAGGAGCATCTTGTCTGACCCCGATAGTCGTGGGATACCACGCGAACATATTTAGGTTTGGTGAAGAGCCACCATTCATACCTTTCACTTCATTATTTGCCGTTGTAGCGCTGGCAGATAGAGCTCCGAATGTGATTACCTTGGCCATTCTTCCAGTGTCATCACCGCACTGGTCAACAAGATCCCAGTTGAGATGTATGTAGATGGCCTACCGGGCAGTTTTCACGCGCTTCTCGTGGACGCCACTTGTTTTGGCAATGGCCCCATCTAGTGCTCGTGCTCCTACCACTTTGCAACGGGAAATTGATAAGCGGATCTCGTCATGGATAGTGATATAGTTGGGACATCTACGAGTAGAGCAGGGACAGTTCAATGAGAGCTGTAGAAGACTTTTCGTTTACTATGAGCTGTTTAGAGAGACAGGTGTGAGCCTATAGAGCACAGGTATTGATACACAGAAGTATCATTGTAAAGGCGCAAAAGCCAGTATAGCGAGTGCAACAAAATGAACCGCTCCTTGGGCTTGTGTAACTGGCCTTACTTTGTTGAAGGGTTGGGCATTCCCGAAGTGTGAGGCCATTTGCGGAAGAGGTCGGCAAGGTGATCAATTGGTGCAGTCAGAAGGCCAACAACTGTCTCGTACGGCGGCTTGTCCGGTGCACTGGGGTGGGAGCGGGAGGGAACGAACATCTTCGTTCTTCCAAAGGACGTCGAATAACCCTCGCTGTCCTCTTGCGACAGAGCTTCTTCCAATTTAGGCAAATCATTCGTCTCTTCTTCCTTGATGTGCTTAGATAGATCCTCCATTAGAGCCTTGATTGTAGGGATAAACCGAGGGTCCGAGGGCTTCAGATTCTGGAAGATCTTCAGTTGCTCTTTGACCTGGGAGAATCATGTTAAATGATGACTCTAGAATCAATAGAGATGGCCTACTTACTGACTGGTGGTCTTGACGATCCTTATTGGCAAGTTCGACGCCGCCGGAGACATACTTCTCAAAAGCCGGGTAAACGACAAGCTCTTCTCCAATTGAGTGCCGAGCCAGTTCCCAGGTAAATTGATTCTGGTACTTTGTCTGCTCGGTCTCGTCTGATGTTCCGACGATTTGTTCGTAGTACGACTCTATCTCCCGGTGGTCTTGCTTGATTGCGTCACTGATGCGGGGTGCCATGATGGCAGATGAGATCGCAAACGTGCGTCTTGTTGTAGGTAGGAGCAAACTTTTCTTACTTGTTGCTCTCAGGTTACGAAGGAGAAAAGCCATATTAATAAATCATAAATTTCATCGGAACATGGCGCTAAGGGAGGTCCATCTTATAGTTAACAAAGTGCGCTACTTGTCTGACATCAGTCCACGTTGAGATACAAGAACAAGATAATGGTTGTGCGGCGACCCTGGGAAAATATACTGGATTCCAGCTTCCTGCAGCGCAGCTTTCCAAGGAGGTGACTTTCGCCCCAAGCAAATAAACCAGTCTGAGGCAGCTTATTGGTGAGCCTGATGTTGAGAGAGCCTAGACTCCCGGGGAGCTTGCTCTGGCGAACTTAAAATGCCTGATTCAACGGACTAAACTTGAAATAAATGACGTGATTAGGTACGCACTGGGATTTAGTTCCGCCAAAGAGAAACATCATGATTCTAATCGGACGAGCTTCAACTGGACCAGGCTTTCTGTCACGTAAATAGCCTGAATAAGATCACCTGGGCATTAACTAGAGGGGTCAACCGGGTCAGTTTGCGCAGGTTGGGCATAACAACTGCGGGCGAGAGCCTCTTCAAAACGAGGTCGAATCAGGTTTCAGCGATATATAGTACCAAATGCCTAAAGCTCTTATTGGCTGGGCACTTCTCCATGATCATTCAATCATGATACCATTCAACCTGCGGATATAGGCTGTTGTAAAGTGTATGTGTACTGGTTAATGTCTGGCAATTCCCGGCTTGCTCTTTCCGTTTAGTGTTCACCCTTCGCTCCTTGAGAACTGAGCACGGTGCTACACGCCCTGGTCTGCTCACGGAGCATGACGTAGTTAACTGTTAATCACACTACTCTGCTTACTAAGCACTCACCACTGCTCACCTAAGTTAGTTAGTTAATGTCAGTGCAATTATCCACCTGGTAATTTACAATATGATCCAGCTGCTGCATTCCTAGCGCTTACTCAGCTAACCGCCACTGTCTATTATGGAAACTGGCGCCCGATGTGGAATTTACACGTCCATTTTCCACTCCGACAATTCCCGCCTGTCTGCTCTATAAATACAGTCTGAATAGCTAGTCTGAATAGCATCGATTTCATCATTCTCCAATGAGACTACTAGGTAGAATTACTAGTGCATACGCCCATCAGACATTCTGACAGTTAACTAAGCGGCCTGATCCACACAGAGAGTTCGCCCCTAGCATAGGGATGAGCGCCCTAAGTAAGCGTACCCTAAATAAATTGCACCCCACTAGTTCCGAAATTTGCGACCTATTGCACAAATAGGACTCTTCTGGACCAAATACAAAGGTGAATTCTGATATCGCAACGTTCCCGGTCATTCTGTCCATGGAGATATATCTACGGTGTTGGATAATTTTCTGAAGGCCAGCCAAAAATGATATAGGAGATCAGGGATGGGAATCGCTTCTGAGTGGAAGAGCTCTATCAGATCGACTGATTGCAGTAGAAAAACAAAGAAATGGGGTTGCAAATACCGAAGTCTCTTCACCAAAACCCCTCCTAGTCTTGTCACTCACTATAGAGAACAGTCGAATGAATCATTCATCGTGGCATATCCATGTCGGGGGTTTAAACGAGCCTTCTCCGGGTAGGGGCAAAGGATCCTGGACTGGGGCCTTCCATCTGTGTCATTAAACTGGATCGGCAGGCTCTCGGGAGCTATACCCCTCTCAACCCAGTCGACAAGAGCTTGGAAAGTTGCTGTGGGTTGGCCACCGTTGCCTCCTTAGCAGTGCGCAAGTCCAGGAACTTGAAAGTATGGGAAGAACTCGTGCGCATTGTGCGTCACCCGAGCACACGATCATAGTAGTTGGTGGTTCCCCTTACGGGGATGAGGCCATCAGCCTAGGTAAGTCAGTCTCTAAGTTCCTAGTTCACACAGTTTGTGTTGGAGACTCACGAGCCCGTGATACGTGATCAGCTTTCCTCCAGCAGCCTGGAATGAGGAGATATCAGGGGTCCGATGTTCCAATAAATGAATCAAACTCCCGGACTGAGGCGTGGAAGAGTCTGGCATACTCCCCGACGGAGGAAATTTTGGTATAATTCCAGGCAGGGTCCTTCTTTACGAAGAACTTTAGCCAGTCAGCATTTCACATTAGTCAATCCGACAGCGTACATTACCTTCATATGTATGAATCTTTATTATAGACTTGATATGTTCTACGATATCCGCTGTGACTATCTCTCTGAGTGGCTTCAGACTTCTGGTCCCGTGTTGACGGAATCATGCTCTGTATCAAAGCATTCGGATTTTCTTAATCCTAAACTCCGGGACAGCGCCGTATTAAAACCCAGAACGCATTTAGTTTTTGTATTTCAAAGCAACCGGACTTCTCAGGAACATTTCTGACACAAACCTAGTGCCCTTCACCGTTCATGATTTAGTACCGCTTCTTAGTGTGATGACTTTATTGCCAATTCTGGACTAGCCTCCCTGGGAGTGGACCACGCCACCCACAGTTTTGTCTAAGCGCTGTGGTCTAGATGACGCTTTCTCCTCCTTCGGCCTAGCTCGCAGGGTTTTAGGTTATAGGCTTATTACGTTAGCGTACCTGAAGTGGCGGCCGATATAATATCCTAGCCCCGAAAGTAGGATCAGGTCTAGTCCGTCCGCTTTCTTCACCCCTACATATGACATTTCGAACACTACAATACGCAGGATTAGGCATTGGGTAAACCAGGACGATGGGACATACCGTGACTCAGCTCCCTTGGCCCCAGGCCGAAGCGAAACAGGCCGGCGATCGTCCCGCGGACGTCGAGGCCGAGGCCAACAAGCAACGCAGGAAGGTCCAGAACCGGAAGAACCAAAGAGCACACCGTGAGTCCGTCCCTTGCTACCTTAGCCCCTACTGTGCTTAGAAACCCTACAGGACTACGGCTCAAGAGTAGAGCCTCGGGGACTGTTCAGCGGTCGCGCCCATTCCAGGTCAGTCGCTGGCGCCTCGACGAGCCCGACCATCGTCCTACCAAAGAAATCTCGCTGGTATCAGAGCGCGCAACAACCACGCACTTCTCCCCTCGGCCGCGTCGCACGTACACAGGCATATCGCCCTCCACAGCCGAGCGTTCCATCGTCCGAGGATCACCACCCACCGCCCACCTCCACCCAGCTCTAACCCTTGAGCCCCAGCCCTTTACCTTTCCCCTCTCCTTGGACCACCTCCTCCATCTCATCCACTATAACGTCTTCCGCGCCTTAATGTCTAATAAGCGTACCCTCAACACCCTTTCCACCGACCCGACCATCTGCACCCTTACATCGCCCTGCCGCGATGACACGACCCTCTATCCCCTCAAGCCCGACATCCCTTCCTCCCTGGTCCCAACCTCCCTCCAGCAAACTCGCTACCACTCTAGCTGGATTAACGTCATCCCCTTTCCCCGAGTCCGCGACAACCTTATCAGGTGCGAAGGCTGTTTCGACCCCTGGGAGCTGATGCAGGACCTCGTCGGTGAACTAATGAGCTCCACTCCGGCCCCGCGGCAACGAGGCACGCCCGGACACGCCACCGTCCCCGAGACCGGACGGCTCCTGACCCTTTCATCAGGAAGTGATACGGATGAAGTCACCGCTGGGCGCAAGGGGCTCATCGTCTGGGGCGAGCCGCACGAGATGCAGAGCTGGGAGGCCACCCCTGGTTTTCTCGCGAAATGGACATGGGCTGTGGAGGGCTGCGAGGAGTTGGTGGAAATAAGCAACCACTGGAGGATGAAAAGGGGGAGGAACCTATGCGGCTCTCGATGTCGAGGAGCTATCCCCCACCACCGCTCTCGCACGCATCGTCAAGTGGAGGATAAGTGCTCATAGGTTCGTCAACTCCTTGTACTAGGACTCCACACTCTGCCCCCAAAATACTAGCCTGGTTAGTACTAGATAGCAAATGAGAGATACCGGAAAGAAACAGAGATTGAACTTCATCGAATGTATGGTTCGTTCCACTATACTTGACTACCTAGCCTGGCATCCTTTGAAAGCATAACAGCAACTGACAAGGCGCAATCGGGTAGAAATGGTGAAAAGGACCCCATCATTCCTGTTCTTGTGTCTAGCGGTGCCTTACTGATCGTCTGTTAGCCCCACCATATTTAACGAATCTTTCCAGAGCCGAGCCTCTTTCTCGGGATCATAAGCATGCCCTGCAAAGCCTACACCCAAGATCTCGTGATTGTCGTTTCCACGGGTTGTTTTTCCGCACTCCGCAAGATACTCCCCACCCTTCTTCTCCCATTCCTGGCCAATTGCCGCCCACACCGTCGTTGCAGCACCCTGCTCTGGCGACTTCATCGTTTTGAACAGATTTTCGTCCTTTTGCATCTCTTTAAGCACTGCAGGGTCCATATGCTGCATAAGCCCCGTGAAAATCCCGCCAGGATGAACACTGGTAGCGTGGAGTCCTCGCGATCCGTAGCGCCGCTCGATCTCGTTGGCCATGTAGATATTGGCGGTCTTTGACTGGCCATATGAAACGAATTCATTGTATTCAGTCTTCTCAAAATTGTAGTTGCCTGAGTCATTGATCGAGGCCACGTGATGGGCAGAAGAAGAGAGGTTGACGACTCGAGATGAGAATTCAGGGCTAGCACTGGCGAGGAGAGCTGGCTTCAGGAGTTCAAAGAGTAGAAAATGGGCGAGGTGATTGACTCCAAACTGCATTTCAAAGCCATCTTTCGTGTACTCCAACTTGGGCAGAGCCATAATGCCAGCGTTATTGATGAGGACGTTGACTTGGCCGTTCGACTTCTGGAGAATGGCTTTCGCGGCGGAACGCACACTGCTCAAGGAAGAATTGTCCATCTCAACGAGCTCAACGCGCCCTGGCTCGAGTATTCCGTCCAGAGCAGTCTTAGCTTTGTTCAGGTCTCGTGCCGTCAACAACAGCTTTGCTCCAGTCAAAGATAGAGCGCGAGCTGTCTCGATCCCTAATCCAGACGAAGTGCCGGTGATGACGACAACTTTCCCGGCTAGCTTTCCCTCTGCTGCTTCGTCCTTTATAATTTGAAGGGCTGTTGGACGAGCATCGCCCGGGCCAGCAGGATTCAAATGAGCTTCTGCGTATCGGGACATCGTGGTTGAACAAAGAACTTTGAAGTTTGGAACCGGGTAATGTTGTGAATAGAAACAGATCTGATGAGCTTTGGATTTAGCTTTTGGGAGTATCGGTGAGCTATTTATCTTTTTGTGGCTTCGGACTTCTGGTCCTGTGTTGACGGAATCATGCTATGTATTTCAAAGCAATCGGATTTTCTCAACCATAAAGTCCGGGACGGCGCCGTAGTAAAACCCAGAACGCCTTTATTTTTTGTATTTCAAAGCAACCGGTCTTCTCAATAACATTTCTGAAGCAAACCTAGTGCCCTTCACCGTTCCGTGATATAGACCCGCTTCTCACTGTAATGACATTATTGCCGTTTCTGGCCTATGCCTCCTTGAGCTAAATAAGAGGGTCCCGCCACTTTAAAAAAAAAATTTAAATTTCAGAGAATTTCAGAGAATTTCAGAGCTCCAGATGCCGTGGACTCGATGACACTTTTCTCCTCCTTCGGCCTAGCTCATGGGGCTGGGCTTCCCCGTTCCATGATTTAGACGCGCTTCTAGTATGATGACTTTATTGCCATTTCCGGCCTAGCGTCCCCAGAGCTAAGTAAGTGGGTCTCGCCACTTTAAAGTATTTTTTAAGCTCCCTACGCCGTGGACTCGATGACACTTTCTCCTCTTTCGGGCTAGCTCGGCCTTGACAAACGTTGCTATTTTGGAACCGACTTGGCGCCAAGACATCTATTATCGCCTAATTACCAAGATACCTGACAATCGTGGGTCTGTGGACTATGCGCTTAATCTCAAAGTCCCTCTATCCTCCAATCTTCGATTACAAACCCAACCTGAATGACAACCTTTCGCTGACAAATTAAATGTTATTTGCAAGTACCTTAGTTAACTAGTTAGTTAACTGAAGTCCGCCATGGCTTAACTAATACTACGGTCAGAAGAGATATAAGGGGGCCACAGGTCAACTAGTCTTGTAAAAGCAGACTCTTCAGTTTGTTTTCATGATCGCTTAAGTCTTCCACAATGTCCTCCTCAAAGCTCATCGTCATCGTCGGAGCCACTGGCAATCAAGGCGGCTCTGTGGCGAGCATCTTCCTTGAAGAACCAGGTTGGAAAGTTCGCGCCCTGACTCGAAACACCTCTAGTATCAAGTCTCAGGCTCTGGCAGCCCGAGGCGCTGAGGTTGTTCAAGCCGACATCGACACACCTGCCACACTATCGGCAGCGTTTGAGAGTGCGAACGCCATCTTCGCTGTGAGTGACTTCTGGGGCTTATACGGTGATCCTGCCAATAAAGACAAGGCGAAGCCGGGCCAGCCTCTGAATGTGTGGGCGGGTGAGCATGAAACACAACAGTTAAAGAACGTTATCGACGCAGCCGCCAAAGTCCCAAGTTTGGAGCGATTTGTACTCTCCTCTCTCTCGAACGCCACGAAATGGTCGAAGGGGAAATACACTCACGTGTACCACTTTGACTCAAAAGCCAAGGCGGCAGAGTACGGCAGAGAAACATACCCGGATCTCTGGGCAAAGACCAGCATCTATCAACCTGGACTTTTCTTAAGTAATTATACCTTAAACGGGTTGAGTCAACTTATCAAGGCAAGCATTTCTGAGTATAATTTCTATACTCGGCGACTAAGCTAACATCCTTAAGAACTCTGATGGAGTAGTCCAATTTATTGGGCATCTGGACCAAGATGTCAAACTTCCAATTGTTGCCGCCGAAGAAGATTCTGGGCCCTTGGTCAAAGCTCTCATACAAGACTCCGCTGGAAAGAACCTCATTGGTTATCGAGAATGGCTCACTACTCGAGAGCTAGCGTCAACATTTACAAAGGCTACAGGGTTGAAGGCAGAGGTAGTCACTCTGCCAAAGGGGCATTTTCCTCCATCTGTTCCGACCGAATTGAAGACAGAGCTTGAAGACAACATGGCGTATTGGAACGAGTTCGGGTACGAGGGCAGAGACGACCCTACAGTTATTCATCCTAGAGATGTAAGTTGGCCTTGGTTTGGAAATGCTGCGAATGGCTGCTTATATATAGATTTAGTTGAAGTCGCCCCCTTCTCTCGATACTGTGGAAGACTACCTCAAGAGGTACGACTGGACGAAGGTGTTTGGTTCTTAAAAACACTTATAAGTGCCAATAGCTAGACTTCAATGCCATCGTATCTCTTTTTCTCTTTTGCCTTACTTTTATTGCCAGTACATATGGCACCACCTGGTCGAATGAATTGTGCCTCAGACATCATTCACGGGGTTGCAATTCTGAAGCACTGGGTAACTTTTACCTCTCCCGATAGGAGAAAAGAAAAAGGAACAAATAAATAAATAGAAAAAATAATGTAAGTTGAGTTTAGAATTTAAATGCTTATTCTGTGGCTCCTTAGAAACCCGAACGTGTCTCAACCTTCATGTTAGTCGTCAAAGGAAGATCCCGACTCGAAGAACCAACATAGATCTTATAGTTTCCACTCTGTAGCTCCCAATTCTGTTCAAAAACATTCCAGCTGCTGAGATCACGGCGGGTGAGTGAGAAAGAAACCTTTGTGGACCCGCCTGCCGCAATCTGGACCTTGTCGAACCCACGCAGTTGCTTCACAGGACCACCTGGGATGCCAACGTAAAGCTGGGCTACTTCAGCACCCGCTCTGCGTCCAGTGTTCCTAACCGTCGCAGTAACAGTTGCCACAGTGTCCCACAAGCCCACCGCCCCTCCTTGCTGAATAGCACCGCAAGGATAAGCAGCGATGCCGTGCTTTACTAAAGAAACTTTCAAGTTCGAGAACAAAAATGTTGTGTATGAGAGACCGAAGCCGAATTCATACCGCGGTGTGAGATCATGAGCATCGAAGTAACGGTAGTCGGTGAGCGCTCCCTCAGTAAAGTCTGATTGCGGGAATAGCCCGTAAGGAGTGACCGGGGTATCGTGCCAGAATGACGGATAGTCGGATTCATGCTTTGCAACAGTGTAGGGGAGTTTGCCACTAAAGTTGTCCTCGCCGTAAAGCAGAGACACTAGTGCGCGGCCTGAGTCCTGGCCAGGGAGGTGCGCGAAGACAATTGCGGTGACGTTAGGATTTTCGACAAATCTGTCCACTAGACGAATACCGGCATTGTGGATGATGACGATTGTATTAGCGCAGGTCGCTGCGACTCTATTAACAAGATCATCGGAGTATTTGTCGTCCGCCCCAGACCGGTCAACGCCCTCCTCAGCAAATGCGTTGATAAAGACGAGGGAGGCATCTGAAGCTTCCATCAAGCCCATCATGCTTGGGTCATTAGTAGTATCCCACATAACGATAGTGTTATCTTCATACGCGCGCTGCTGAAGGGCATCGAGAGGAGCACTGATATATGGACCAGAATTGGCACCAGAACCACCCCCGACAGTGAGAGTACCGTTATAAGCAACTTGGTAATCGTATGGCTCGTTGATAGCGCCACTGGCAAATACCCAACTCCCCTGGTACACAACTGGCTCATAGCCTACTTCCCAGGGATTGCCTAGGATACTCTGCCCGTTAGGCATGTACTGAGGAGGAGCTTTGGCATCATATCCAAACACAGAGATCAGCTTTGGCGACCTAAATGGTAAAGCATTATTCTTGTTCTTGACCAAGACATGACCTTCTACAGCACCTTCGAAGAGCACAGGCTTAGCACCTGTAGTGAGGGCATTGACGATCTTATGAGGGAGACTGATATTGTAGGGCATGCCCACTCCAGGTGATGGATAACTCCGCTCCTCTTGACCCATTTGGTACCAGGTTGCGATGATCCTCGGGGAAAGTTAGCAAAACTATAGCCATAATATCTACAAGGAGACGAGAAATGGGTCTTACCGGGTTGCCATATCGTCGAGACGGGAAACCGGCACGCTGCCGTTTGCGATGGCTTCAGTAAAATTATTCCCCCAAAAGGACTCGCCATCTGGCATAGCCATGTCAAGACCGGCTAAAGCGGCCGCCACACCCGAATGCTGTGCAAACCAATCAGTGACAACAAACCCGTTGAACCCAAGCTCGGTCTTAAGCAGCCCGTTAAGAATCTTGCTGTTTTGGCAGGCATAGGAATTATTAACTCGGTTGTAGGAGCACCTAGAAAGAACCTAATCAGTTCACTCTTCTTGCAAAGCTATATTCCAAGTAGAATCTGACATAATGTTTCCAGCACCTGCTTTCAGTGCATCTTGGAAAGGCCACAAATACAACTCGTGCATTGTCTTATCGTCGATGTTGCTAGATACGGAAGCGATGCTTTCGTTCTGGGAGTTTATGGAAGGGTTGCGGTATGCTTCCTGTTCATTGCCGATGAAATGCTATGATTCTTGATCGTCAGAACTTATTTTACTCGAACAGGACGTTGCTTTGTGGATTTATCGAGAGAACCATCCACCATCTGTACTATTAACTGACCTTGACACTGGAAATCACACCTTGGCCCTGTATGCCCTCTACAGTCGACGCCGCAATCACGCCACTGAGATACGGATCGGTGGAAGCACCTGAGAAAGAATTAGCCTTACGCAACCCAGGTTATGTTTGATGCCCCAACCTTCCCAGTTTCTTCCGCCGGTTGTGACTCTTCCCAATGGTGCGACAACAGGTCCCAGGGCCACTTGGACGCCTTTCGTCCTGAATTCGCCCCCCATGTACCACCCACGTTCGTGGGCAAGAGACTTATTCCAACTGTTTATCACAAGAAACTTAGCTTTCAATCCCTCGAAGCACAAAGGTTCTTCAGTTGCTTACCTAGCACCCACATGGAGACCACTTGGATAACTGTTCACGAAATCTGCGTAGCGGACCCCGTTGCCTGCATCCTGGAGACACATGCCAGTAAATCCGAGACGAGGAATCGCAGGGATATTTCCTGAGCAGCCATTGGTAGTAACATCGATTCCGTATGTAAGGTTGTTCTGGGACAGTTCCAGTCAGTCTTGTGGAAAGGTACAAGCAGACTTCACTGTGAGCATACCTTCTCCTCCAAGGTCATCCTAGATACCATAGCTTCGGCCTTCTTGTACGCCGTGGCCCAATCACCAGATCCTGTTCCGGCCGCTATACCTTGTTAGCTACTCCGTACGCCAGACATACATGAGGGGACATTTGATCGTACGCGAAGGGTACACTGGCTCAGACTGGCCATAGAAGTGAGTATCGGAAGTGATATTTCCCTCAGCATGACTAAACCCACACAGGGTCACAATGGCAACAGCCACCCCGATTTGCTTCGTAGAAAACATGGTGCCCTGCAATCAGCGGTGAAATGACAGAAAGCTACTCGTTCGAGCTATGAAAACCGAGTCAGAGCCTGTGACCCTACGCCTTTATATACCCCTTCAGCTCTGCACAGCGCATCGCAATACCGCTCGGTAATTTGTGATCTCATCTCCGCTAGACCGTAAGATCCGGCTGGGCTAACTGATCTTCTGCTGGTATTTCCTTTTTAGATGACTCCGTAAATTGTCCAAGCACCATGTTGCTTTGTCCAACGAGAAATGATGCCCGTTTTCACAGACTAGCCCCGTATCTCGGTATATCTGGCTCTTGATTTTGTTTTCTGTGGGGTTTAGTTTGATTTTTTAAGTTTTGGGATAGGATAAACTTCGGCCACAAATTGACGGTCATTAAAAGAAGCACTATCAAGCGATTAGTAGGTGCTGACAAATGAGGCTTTTCGATGTGACTGGATTTCTGCGTGACATAGCACAGTATACTTCGTTAACGCACGGGGATCCTAGACCGACAAATTAGCTTTTGCTTCTAACTACACCTACCAACAGTACGGGGATGTAACGGGCCGGTTCCCATGCCTTACTACAGCTACGCCGTAACGTAATTTATCGAGTTACGTGGAAGGGCGTTCAGGCTAGTCATATGCCAGAGGGTCAAATGAATGTGAGTTGGTGCGACCGCTATTGAAGGATCTTTCTGGTAGAGCTAGGGTTATTACACTGGAGCTCCTCTGTTCCGTTGAGACCCGACTTACTATACAAAATGGGTGGAGCTGCGGGGTATCCAACTATAAGACTCCTAGTGGTAATTTACCACCCTCAGGTAGACATAATTCATACACTGAGCTACGCACTGCACCAAGCTGCGCACCCGAGAACACCATAGTAAATGAGATATTTGGTGCCGGCCTAGATTCCGGGACGCCACGAGAGTGAAATTCAGAACGCCTTTGTATTTCAAAGCAACCGGACTTCTCAAGATCATCTCTGACATAGACCGAGTTCGATTCACCGTTCCATAATTAGGATCCGCGACTTAGTGTGATGACTTTATTGCCGTTTCCGACCTAGCCTCCTGAGCTAAATACCCCACCTCTTAGAGTTGTACACGCCGTAGACTCGATGACACTTTCTCCTCCTTCGGTCTAGCTCGCAGCGCTAGGTAGGCATTGACAAACGGTGCTACTTTGGTACCAAGACATCTAGTATCGCATATTTAGACATTTATATTAACCAGGTAGGACTTGTCAAGGTCTAATCTCTGTAGGCCATGGCAATAGTGGGTCTGTGGACTATGCGCTTAGAGTCTCAACGTCCACCTAACTATCCCCTGCACCTTCGATTACAAACTCTGCCTGAAAAATAACCTTTCGCTAAATCAAAATGTGTTCATAAGCACCTTGGTTAGTTAACAACTGTAGACATTCGGTTAACGTAATTCCTGGCCGAGTGCGTCAACCGAGCGAGTGTGTCACCCCGAAACACCATAGTAAATAGGATATTTTACAACTCAATATCCCAACAACGACAGCTTAATACGGAGTTTTATGACATAGCAGTACATTTTGGGTCTTATGACTATCTTGCTACACTCCAAGCTCATTCGCTCTCCTTCTTTCCTTCCTCCGCGATCCTCTCTACCTGTGTCTTTCTCTTTTCCAACACACCTTGTATTTCTTCAAGGGTCTCCTTGAGGACATTCTCTGCCTCGCTGCCCTTCTCCTGAACAATTGTCTGTAGCGACTGTAATTGGGGGATCATGGTGGAACCACCCGGTACCATGTTGAGCCACTTGTCCAGATTGCTCAAGTCGCTGGTCTTCGCTTCCTCGACCTTCTCCTTGACGTACTTCTCCACGTTTTCTGTCTTTCCTGAAGACGCGCTGTCCTTTACAAGGCCCCATAACTCCATGAAATTTCCTTTTTTCAGGGTATCGGCGTTCTCTTCAATCAATTGCTTGAGCTTGGGGTTTTTGTCGAGGTATTCCCGGGACTCCTCCTGGCCCTTCTGCCACGCCTGGTCGCCAAGTGTTTGAAGCTTGTTCTTCTTGTCTTGGATCAAATCCTTGATCTCTTTTGCTGAATCGACGGTAGCGCCGCGCTGTAGAATCTTGGAGATTTGTTCCCAAGTCTTGTTTACCTCCTCCTTTGCTTGGGGTCCATAGGTATCGCCCATCTGCTTCAGCTGATCGAAGCTACCACCGACCTTTTCCTTCAGCTGCGGATGGTTGTCCAGAACATTCTCCGCGGCGTCGCCAGCCAGGTCGAATAGACGCTTGAAACACTTTTGCAGAACTTGCAAAGACTTGGACGCAGAAGCGGTACTGAATCCCTCCTTCTTCGACAGATCCTTAAGCTCATTATAGGTGTCCGTGACCACTTGATCGAACTCTTCTTCGTGATCATTCCGAATCTTTTCGAGGTCGTCAAATGCGGTGTCAACATAGCCGCGAGCACCGGGGACGAAGACAGCATAGCTTTTGACCGTATCTCTCAACCAGTGGAACGCCTCGTTTGGTTCAGGTGTCTTCTGTGCAATTGTTTGCTTGGCGTTTTCGAGGTAAGCTTGCATCTGCTTGTTGGTGTCTACGAGCGTCTTGGCTCCGGAGAAGTGGTACCAGGTGTATCCGGTAAGAAAGGCAACAACTCCACCAGCGACTCCACCAACCAACGCAGGATTGCTACCCGTAGACGCTGCATGGGATGCGGTAGATTGAAAACGAGAGTTGACTAAACGGGCTCTAGATTGAATTTGCTGTCTGACAGACCGCGCAGCAGGTCCAGAAGTTCTTCCGAGCATCTTGAAGAACTTGGCGAGGTAAACCGGAGTGAAGAGTGTTGTTTGATGCAGAGAGAAAAATAGATGAGTCGAAAAGTCAAGGTAAAGCGCAAAACGATTTTGGTGATTAGAACATTTTTTAAGCAGCAGGGGTATGACTTTAATAGATAAAGGATACAGAGGGCGAGTTTAAGCAAGCGCAGCCTAGTGCAAGCTTGTGAAAACAGGCTTTCAGGCTGACCGGTAATATGACGCAGGTTTCCAGACCGTTTCTAGCTACACCACTCCTTGGAAGACTGGTACTAAGTGGGCTCATGCCAACCTCGCAATTGAAGATTACAGGGACTCCTTGGTAGCTGGTTATCGCATGGCAGTTATTAGACGTCATATGCAAGTAACTACAGTAGATCTCCCGCTAATCGTCAGCGAACTAGCGATCTTTCCTTTCGGCGACGAACATGTTCGGGCCCTATATCCTTCCTGTTGCGCAGCGAACATCGAAGTTCAAATTGATTTGGATTGAAAACAAGCCTAGACCCCGAAAATTATTGGAGCGGAATTGTTAACAGTAGTAAAGTCGGCCTCTAATAAGCTGTTTGACCAATCTCGGGAATGACGTCATCCATCAATCCAAGCTCGTTTTAAGAGTTGTCAGGAGTATATCCACAAGGTTAAATAATCCCAAAAGGTCAATACTGATCTTCTACCCAGCTTATCCACAGGGAGTAGAGTTTGCTCTCTTCTCTACCATGAATAGGAGAATTGCCAGATAGACGAAAGACCATCGCTTCTATTATTTTGAATGGCGATTCCCTGGTAATACTAGTGCATTGCCTCTTTTCAAGCATCTTGACACATAGTTCAATGTGGTTCACTAGTTAACTATGGTGACCTCATTTCTGAAATGAGCTTCTATGATTTTACATAGTAGATATATCTCGGAAGCTACTCATCGTGTTCGCTACCTTCATACTATTCAGCCAATAGAAGAAATTGAGCTGATCCGACTATAGCTACTCTGTGCCAAATTCTATGGCGGGGCGAGGAGAATACCAAGGTGGTGGTGTGCGGCGATCAAAGACACCAGGGGTGGAGGCGTGTCGTGAATTCTCGCCGTATGGGTCAACCATGCGGGGCCGATAGACATCGTCACCAAACACGCTATTGACCATCGTGAATATCCTACCTAGATGAAGCGAAGCCTAAGCGAAGCACTACTGTAAGGAGCTAACCAGTAAAATCTGCTGCCCTTAAGATTTAGGCTTAGGGCTTATCCATCCTGTAAGTCAGATTCACCATGTAACTGCAACCTTGGAGCAACACAACGTCGATTAGGTTTGCAGATCGCTATATGCACTGAAACGCCGCGGTGTTTTGTCTTAATTGGGTGTCAAAGTATTCCAACAACTATAAAGTAAGCCTTTAGGGAAATTTTTGTTTCACCCACCTTGCCTCTAATTGAGCGTCTACTTGGAATTATCACAATGAGGACAACAATCACCTCTCTGTTCCGTGCTGCCCTCATCACCTCTACTATCCAAGCCTCTGAAGCCCTAGTCGGCATCACATGGAATGTTGCCGACGTCCCCTCTGATGGATTGAAAGACATTAGTTTTCCCATATCCATGCCGAATGCTCCTCACGTGTCTGGATATTACTTTGCCCAGCAATTCAACTTCGTCGGTCAGTCGGACGTGGGATATACTGGACTCCAGCCCCGCGAGGACTCTGGTTCTTCCTCTGTTGTTCACGCCGCTTTCTCCAGTTTCATTAACGGGACCACTTCAAGCGACAGCAACTGCAGCAATGGAGCTGACGGCGGCGCCGGCGTGAGCTGCTCCGTCGATGTGGACAGCACTTATGCCGACGGGTATGAGCTACGGGTCGAGAACACTGAAGGCACTACATGGACTGGGACGCTCGTTGACACTGTTACTGGCAAAGAGACCCATATAGGGTCTTATACCTTACCATCTGGCAGCAGTGGAATTGGCAGCAGCCAATTAGGCTTTGTCGAATATTATCCCTGGAATTCAGGAACCCACTCATGCGGCGATCTGCCCAAGACCGAGGTCACTTTTGGTGCTCCTACCACCTCTGGTGGTGAGGCTGGCTCTCTTCAGGCTCCTTATGAGTATGGTGATTGCGTTGGAAAGGTTGACTTCGAGGACTCGAAGACCGGCAATGGCTATGACATTACCGTTGGGTTCTAAGGGACGAGCCATAGCAATTTGGGCCAAGGCTATAGCACCAATACAAAGATCTGAAGTGCTATGGGAACGAGATACGATCTTTGGTACCGAGCAGAATTTGATTTTGTTGCACCAGTTTAAGTCAAATTCTTTGCTTATACCCTGCCGCCATCATCCCTGTTTCCTGAACTCCATGGTTCCTCGCACAGTATAGCTGCAAAGCTTTGAAATCTCAGTATAATACGCAATGACTAGCAATCGTATAGCCAGCATATAGAATGATACTCTACTTCAACAATAACGACCTTGTGTCTCCGCGACAGGTCAACATATCAGAACCCTTGACGCCCAGATGCTCGCAATTTCTTTGCAGGAACGGGGGAGCCATCTATCTACAGATCTTGCGATGTAAGAAGCTCTAGCCGAGCTAGGAGGTATTTTGATTTAGATTAGATTATCTTGCCAATCATTTTTATCTAGTCTACCGCACGGGCCCGCTTGGCGCAGGAATCGAGGAGCTAAGCGAGCCGTGGGACGCCTAGCCAGGTTATGAGGGTGGCCATCTCGAACCTATGTCGGGGACATTCGGCTAGAGCTTCTATGAAGCGCAAGATCGTCATGTGGGGATCGAGGCATGGATCATAGACCACTGTCAAGTGACATCGCGCGCTTCTGAGTGTGAAGGGGTCCGACGTGTCTGCCGCCATTGAAACCATATGTTGTTACTGTCATCACCAGGTGTCATTCTAGTTGTAGTTTGCAGGAGTGCTTGAACTTATCCTACCCCAATACCTCGCACCCTAAATTCATAGGATTTTTCTGCCGACGGATATTTATGTCCTTTCTCCGATTGCGACCTTGTTGGTTGATGGATTCGAGGAGCTGTCTGGTTGGTTGCCATGGTTCGAGCAAGATCTCGTCTGGTAGATGATCCTAGATGAACTCTGGTAGTCTTTTCTTTCGTTGTTCATCTATGTCTACCTACAACACAAGAACCATGGACTTGCTCTCATCTTTGTTCTCTCCGTCGGGGTGAAGAGCGCGACCAGCAAAGATGAATCGTGAACGCTGGCGAAGAGTTAGATCTTCCATGGTGGCTGGTGCTTAAGATGTGGGCCCGGCCTCGTTTCTTATGCGATATTTCCTTCGGCTTCTTTTCACTTTACTCCTTACTCCTCAAAGTCTCGACAAAAAAGATGTGGATAATCGAGCCTGTGAGTAGAGGGCCAGCCGATGATAGGTTTTAGCCCTTGCCAAGAGTCAAGTAGGACCATGAGGCACCAGCTCTGCACCAACAAAATTAGGTATGGAAAGAGAGCTTCAATCATGATATGCATTAAAGAGATATTTATACAAATCGACAATTCTGACAGTATCTGGAGGTGGGAATTCCACTTGGAAGAAATAACTTGCAGCACACTTGGTAGAAGAACGAAAAGTCTAGATTGGCCCAATGCTGATGACGATCTCCCTAGAGTAGTGGTAAGATAATCAATGACAATAGCCCTGTTAAGTTGAAATCTAGGTTGTAGTTTTGGCGACCAAAAATAGATGTAAGGGCTTCCAGCCGGGTGCAGACGCTCCGCTGGGGTCTAAAGGAGAAGAGGCGAGGTCTAAAAATGGGAATTGAAAGGTTTCCAGGGCCAGACATTGTTATTAACCATTCATCTTCAGTTGGAACTGAACTCTGTTCTAGAAAAAGACATCAATCCACCTGGGCCAATCACGGTCTCGCCCGGCTGGGGACCCGTGCATAACCGTTCGGGTCGCCTGGATCCGGGTGTGTTACCTCTTGTTCTGGGCCTGTGACTGTTGGTCGGATTTGTCAGAATAAGCTGGGGACCTCGGTCCGTTAGCTAGTTGAGCTTGCATTTAATTAAAGCAGTTCATGCCCCTAGTGACATCACCACCATCACCACGGTTTGTTTTCCCCGTCGCAACTCTCCCCCTCCACACCAACCATGGCCTCCGCAACGAGTTTTCACGACTTTGAGCCCGCCGACAGTAAGTGCTTCCACTCCCGTTCCGCTCTACCATGAAATCACCAGCCTCTTTAACACCCCACCAGAAAAAGGCACCCCCTACCCCCTCACCTCGCTCAAGGGCAAAGTCGTGCTCGTCGTGAACACAGCCTCGAAATGCGGCTTCACCCCCCAATTTGAAGGCCTTGAGAAGCTATATAAGAACCTGAAAACCAAGTACCCAGACGACTTCACCGTGCTCGGCTTCCCGTGCAACCAGTTCAACGGCCAAGACCCAGGCTCCAACGACGAGATCCAGTCCTTCTGCCAGGTGAACTACGGAGTCACCTTCCCCGTGCTGGGCAAGCTAGATGTCAACGGCGACTCGGCGGCGCCGGTGTGGAAGTGGATGAAGGAGCAGAAGCCCGGCGTTATGGGGTATAAGCCTGTGAAGTGGAATTTTGAGAAGTTTTTGATTTCGGCGGATGGGAAGGTTGTTGCGCGCTGGGCGACGTTTACGAAGCCTGAGTCTTTGGAGGACTCTATCGTCAAGGAGATTGAGAAGGCGAAGAAGGAGGGGACGCTGGCTTCGGCGCAGAAGGGGGCTGAGACGGCCAAGTTGTCGTGATCTCTTTTTGTTGATCTGTCTCTTTCTTGTAACTATCCCTAATACACATTATATCTTTCACAAGGTTATTACGAGGTCTACGATCATAAACGCTTCGTTGATGACTTCGAGTTCTTGAGCGAGCAAGACCCGGCCCTGATAGATTCATTGATCGTTCACATATTACACTCTCCCCGGAATTTGATTTCACGCAGCACCACTGCCTTTGGGAATTAGATTTCGCAGGGACAGGTCATACACCACGTCCTCAACTTTCTTGAGCTGCAGAGATAGATAAAATATCAGCATTGAAACGGCACGAGGACGGGTTGGACTCACGCTGTACTTGATTCCATCACTCCTCTTGCGCAGAATATCATTCTTCAGGTTCAGCAGCTGGAAGCCCGCAAAGAGATCCTTGATGAAGTTTGCAATCTCGAGGGGCCGTGTGTAGTCACCCAGGGTGACCGAGTTGACTGCCAGACGCGACTAGAAGGGAATTAGGCAAATCCAAGAGCGTGGACATCGAAAGACTCACCAATTCCTCGACCATGGCAATGAGCGCAAGAAGATATTCCTCGATCGTCAAATGGAAGGCATCCTGTTCCTTGAGGTTCACCGGGACTGCCCCGAGTTAATACCATCTCCAATTCAAAGAGAAAGAAAGCGTACTCTCCAAAAACTCCCCAACCTCCTCGATAGTCATGAACGAGCCCGCCTTGTACTCCTGCAGGCCTCCCAACCAGGAGCATAGCTCGATGGAGGTCACCTGTACGTAGCAGGTCAGTCAGAGATGAAACATGACAAAAGAAAATCCTAGACCGACTAGGTTCTGCAATTCCCGCGACCACACCCCATTGTACTTGTAGAACGGGTGTTTATTGGCCACGGCGTTCAGACGCGCCACTTCTTGCTTCTGAGCGAGGATTTCCGTGGTGACATTGTCCAGCACGGGTTTCACTGGTTGGGTTGGATTGGGTTAGTGATATCACCGTCACTCGCGACAAGGGAGCAAAAGTGAATGAATGTAGAAAATGAAATCCTTGTACTGGGAATGGACATACGCTGATCAGCTGGCGTCGAGTGAGCTCGAGCCAAGACCGCCTGGGTCGAGCGCCCTGTAGGATGTCAGTTTTGCTGTCTTTCTCTCTCGCAGCGCCGTTGGAGAAACTCTCCGCAGGTTGGAGAAGACAGACCTTTCCTGGCCAGAGTCTGCACAATCTCGTGCAGTTCCTATGTTGCATTGTTAGCTTCCATAATTAAGCTGGGGGGTAGGACTCGGATTTTCACCGGGCTTGGCACGCGCCGGATTCCACTGCCACTGGAAAGAATGACTTACGTCCCGAACGGAGGTCTCCTCGTCGATTTTGGTCTGGAGATCCTCGAAAATGCGTTGGTCGATCATTGTGTGGGTGGAGTGGTGGGGTGGAGGATAAAAAAGAGTGATGAAGATAGGTTGGTTGTTTGCAAGGGGCGGGAGACTGGGTTACGTCAATCAATCACTGTCAACAGGCAGTATATAGATGGACAATCTGCACGTAGAGAGCTTGTCTTGCTTTTATTCTCGAGCTTGCTGGGTTGACTCTAGCAATTTACACTTGATCGCCAGCACGTACACCACGCGAAGATATATATTTAGAGATGGGCACTCCACTCAGTCTACAGGAATATCACTCATGACCAAACACCATACATCTCTCTCCAATTTAAATGTTTCCTCTCCATAATTCTAAATCATTATCATAACATCATGACCAAAACCCACCACGCCAACGCTATCACTCAGTACCGGTACCTCGTCGAGTAATCTGCACGACCGATCAGCCACGCGATTCATTCACAATGCCACAGAGCTCTTACCTTTAGGACTGATAACCAAACCACGCCCCTTCTTCGCACCCTTGTAGATCGTCTCAATAATATCGATCAGCTCCTGCTTATCCTCCAGCACCCAGTTGAGCTTGTTATTGTTTCCCGTGCCGAAATCGCACATCATGTGTTTATTGCGGTAGAAGAACATGATGGTCATGGGATCGTACAGCTCGTACATGGTGTTGAAGTCGGGCACCTCGTCGACGTCGCAGAGGTAGATGACGGCGAAATCTGCATCACAAAGTGGGTTGGTCGCTGGATTTCTTCTTGGGGGGGGAGGGGGTGGGAGACGTACTTTTCACGCGCTCGGCGATCTTGTAGAGGACTTCATCCTGTTGGATGCCTGTGTGACGAATGGGTTAGTGAGTCTTCTTTTCTTTCGTCGGGTGGGCAGCACTGCGGGGACTTACAGTCGCGATCGTGGTCACGGCCGAATCGGATCACCACGAGCCGTTCTTCCTCGGAGAGAATGGCCTGGTCGACGTGCCAGGCGGTCCGCAGGTGAGGCAGGACGATCGAGCCCATGGTGGCGAGGTGGTGGTCGCTGGGAGTGGCGTGGGATGGCGAGAGAGGAAGCTCGAGCTGATCGGGAAAAAAGAGCAGGTGGTCATGTGATGGGCCGGAAAGGGCACCGCGAAGGCACTGCTGTACACAGCGATGGATGGATGGAACTAACTACTACGGAGCACACGAGCGCAGTGCCATAAGTACTAACTACCAACATCTTACACGAGAACAGGTTGGAATCCATGCAGCCTTGCTGTGACTTGCCGACGCCACGCCAGGGCAGTGACTCCATCAGGCAGGCTACTACGAACCCACTACACGCGACCACACGGATCAGACAAGAGAAACCTCTTCTCCAAACGCCTGGACCAGCCAGGACGAGAGATGAAAAGGGAGTTCGCGTCGATCGGGGGTAGTGGAAGCCCGATGACACAGTGCGACGAGGCATGCGCAAGCACAGAGGCCAAGTCGCGAGATCCAAAAATGAGATTAATCAAAGTTGTTTTCCGTAGAAAACTTTCAGAGATTAAACTGAAAAGAACAGATACTACACTTGATCTAAGCCAATTGGCAAAGAGAGCTGGAAAAGAAAAGAAAAGAAGAGGAAGAGAACCGGGGGCGACGGGCCTTTTATGTTCTCCGGACGATGGCCCGTGCGCACGCTAGGCGCTAGGCTGGAATCCTGGGCTAAGCGGGCCAATCAGAACGACGGGGAAACCCTATGCCCTAATGACCCAAAGAGGCTAGTGTCGCCCACCTTGCCGAATGAATTTCTCGACCATTGAACCCTCGAACATCTGTCTCTCACACGCAGGATACTCACCTCTTTGCGTTCTACCTCCCATTCCCTTTACAATGGCTCCCGCTGCTGTACGTTGACACCCTCTATCGCTTTGCTGTTCCCCCCTCCCCAGGGGCATGCCGGAGCAGTAGGCTAATCCGCCATGCACCTATAGGCTCGTGGCCGCAAGGCCCAGAAGGTCACCAAGAAGTTCATCATCAACGCCTCGCAGCCCGCGAGCGACAAGATCTTCGATGTCGCCGCCTTCGAGAAGTTCCTGCACGACCGCATCAAGGTCGAGGGCCGCGTCGGCAACCTCGGCGACGACGTCGTCATCTCCCAGGCCGGTGATGGCAAGATCGAGGTCGTTGCGCACATCCCCTTCTCTGGTCGCTACCTCAAGTACCTGTACGTTCTTATCTCCTCTGACGCTCTGGCTATTCGTGGACAGTATGCTGACGGACTCGCCTCCAGGACCAAGAAGTACCTCAAGAAGCAGCAGCTCCGTGACTGGCTCCGCGTCGTCTCCACCTCCAAGGGTGTCTACGAGCTCCGCTTCTACAACGTCGTCAACGACGAGGGCGAGGAGGATGAGGAGTAAATTTCTCTTCGGATTCGCTGGTCGCTGCGCTGATCATTGGCCGGGTTCTGCGTGTTGCATCTACCGCTGCTGCGAGAACAGGAGCGAGCACCATGTTGGGATTGGGTCGCTGATGATGTGTGGGAGATAGACAACAAAAAAATACAAAAAGTTTATTCTACCCGGATGGGATGACCGACAGGGTTGGAATATGCCCTGAATGAATCTGATAATCGAAAATGATTGTCATGTCAGTCTGTCCATTCATTGATATTCTATATACTCTAGGGTATCTCCCAACGTAGATCGTAGACACAAATATTCAGGTGGAAACCTAGCTGTTCCTCGTCTGTCCAGCACCAGCCTCCGGCGCAACCATCCTACCTTCCTCAAAGTGCCAGCCCTCCTTCTTCAAGCGCTTCCACCTCTCAGCCACCTTGACCCTCACCAAATCTCCGGTGGCCAGCGAGTCCTCCTTCGAATCATGCCCTCGCGCCCCACCAGTCTGGATATCGCGGCCGAGAAACTTCCGTGCCAACGCCTTGAGACTCATGCGATTGGGGAGACGGCCTCGCGGGTGCGGGTAGAGGAGGATGGTGTCGATGACGGTGGGGTGGATGATGCGACACACGTTGAGATCATTGTCAATGGCGTGGCCGAGGAGTGGTGTTTCGGGCTGAAGGAACTGGAATAGTAGAGCTCGTGCTGCGGCGGGCGATTCGACTACCTGCAAGGGTGTGGTGGGGGTCTTGCTTGTCTTCTCGACGGAGGAGCTGCGGGCTGGGGTGTAGGGTATAGCAGAGGCGTAGTGTTCCGGAAAGACGCCAGAGTAGCGCGAGTTGAGATCGAGCACTTCGCCCATCGGCTTGACGAGGACATCGAGCAGCTCGTGGCCGTCAGGCCAGCTGATGGCCGTCAGCCGGATGAGCTCGAGGCCCAGTGTGGTGTAGCCCATTTCGCAGTCGAAGCAGACTGGGTCCAGAGTGCCTTTCTCAGGCTGTGGCGGCGTGGTCTCGAACTGAAGGATCGAGGCAAGTCGTTTTGCTTCGGACACCTTGAACACGTGCGTGTTGGCCTTGGTGCACCCGGGTGAGGTCCCCATGGTTTCACTGCAGCAGGGGAAATATGCTTCCGAGGAGCCGGTGATGTGGTCGGTCTGTTTGCGAGGAGGGTAGATCGGCTTGCCGGGGTGGTAGGTACACTGCCCACCGCTGGCCAAGGCGCCATCCTCTCGGCGGCCGGGGAAGACCTGAAACCGTCCGCCGCATCGATCACACTTCTCCCATCCCTTGGACTCGACGACGCCCTTCTTGGAAGTTTCAATCTCGGTCTTGGTGGGTGCTTTCGTGACATATCCAAACTCTTCAAGCCCGTTGAGCGGCGTCACCAGTTTGAGTGCAATTGCAATCTCTTCTTTGCGGCTTAGCCCGGTGTCGAGCGGCTCTGCTTTCTGAGGCGATGGCTCAATCGGCTGTATTTTGTAGTACCGCGTATTCAGATGGGCTATAACCTCCTTGATCCAGTCCTCCTGGCCCATCTTGGTCAATTTCACAATGCGCAGTTTGATGACGTTGGAATAAACCTCGGGGTTATCGCGCGCGGTCTTTTCCTCTTCGTCGAGTGCCATCGTGACGAGCTCGTCCGGCGTCAAAACAAAGCACTGCTTCGAACGGTCTTTGTCATTTGCCGCCTTCTCATTTTGGCCCGACATGGCCGAATGCAGCTTCTTCAATATAGCGGATCGAACGGTATGTGTTGCTGGTGCCTTTTTGGTGAGCATTCGAGGGTTCAGGCTTTCCTTCGGAGCCTTCCTGGGAGGAAGGGCTGCTGGTAAAGGAGCAGGAGAGGGACCAGTGTTAGTCTCCAATGGCTTCGACGCTGTACGTGCTGATGGTGGTGGCGAGACCTGGCGAGTGACTGATTGTAGTATGGGGTTGTCATGACTGGATCGTTCAGGCTGCTCTCTTGGCACTGGTAGATTTGGTGTATCCCCGAGGAGAGATGGATTTGATGACTCGGCTGCTTGTGAGACAGCCTGGCGAGTTGTTCCCAGCCGGGCCCTTTTGGAGACCTGTTGACCATCGGCCACGGGTGCGAGAGATTTCTCAGGCGCTCTCTTTTCTAATATTCGCGGCTGGTGGTCCTTGTGAGAGAATAGGCATGTCAAAAGAGCGCATTGCTGGCCCTTGGGACAGGGTACATCCCCAAACAAGCCGAGCGTTGTGAACATGGTACCCCAGTGGATGATCGAAGCTTGAATCTTATAAAGAACCCCGTTGGCTTGCTACGTCAGGCGACGGGGACAAGCTGGTTGCAGGAGTATTTGCGCTCATTGAGAAGGTTATACGATCTCGGTCTTCCAGCGACAGAGTATCTCAGTGGGGGTGTTGCTGAACTTCTTGTTGGTGATGATGATGAACTCGAGTAGTGACAGGGCCAGTGCAAACACGGCAAACCTTTGTTGAAGCCTGAATCACCTGGCACCAACAAAGGAGTCCTTATCGCCTATCGCCGAAGGCTACAGGCAAAGAGGACGTAACCGTCAGCCAGAAAGAAAAGGTGTTCCGCTGTCTCCCGTTGTTTTTTCAAGAGCAATGGCGACTACAACTTCTAGGAATTCATCCGACGCGGACCATCTGTGTGTCTTGGTTCACGGGTAAGCCTTCTCTCCTGGTTATCGAGCGAGGATGGTCCACTCACATGCTCCCTGTCTAGACTCTGGGGCAACCCGTCGCATTTGGACTATGTGGCCTCCGAACTGAAGAAACGACACGGCGAGGATCACCTCCACGTGCTCTGCGCCAAAGGAAATAGCGGCAACTTGACATATGATGGAATCGAGACTGGTGGAGAGCGCCTGGCGCACGAGATCGAACAGACGCTGGACGACCTTTCCTCCAAGGGCCAAGAGATCAAAAAGCTCAGCGTGGTCGGCTACTCTCTCGGAGGCTTGGTGGCGCGCTATGCGATCGGCTTGCTGCATGCCCGCGGCTGGTTGGACAAATTGGAGCCCGTGAACTTTACGACTTTTGCATCACCGCATGTTGGTGTGCGGATGCCGCTCAAGGGAATCACTAACACGGTTTTTAATGTCATGGGTCCGAGGACGATCTCTGTATCCGGACACCAGTTGTTCCTGGTCGATTCCTTCCGCGACACGGGCCGGCCGCTGCTCAGCGTTCTGGCCGACCCGGAAAGTATCTTCATCAAGGGTCTGGCGAAGTTTCAACATCGCGCTGTCTACGCAAATATTCGCAACGACCGCTCTGTTATTTTCTACACGGCTGCACTATCCACGGTAGATCCATTCCGGGATTTGGAGAGCATGAATATCAACTATGTCGAGGGTTATGAGCAAGTGATCATCGACCCGGATGTCCATGTCCTGCCGCCCGCAAAGAAGGAGCCGGAAAGCCTAATGTCTCGGATATGGAATCGGACCAAATCGTTGCTCATTTGGATACCTTTGTCCACGCTCATTCTACTTCTTCTGCCACTTGCCTTGACTATCTTCTTGATCAATGCCCTTATCCAGACATTCCGCAGTCAGCAACGGATCCGACGCCACGGAGAAGGGAAGAATGGCGTGCTTTTTGGACCATACAAAGTTCCCGTGCTGGTCCAGAATGTCCAACACGCCGTGGAGGAAGTATTTGAGAATGTCAACGCTCGTCAAGAACCTGCCTATCAAGCAGCCGAGAAAACAACATTGCATGGTCCGAGGCCAGGCAGCTCTGCGCAATCAAACACGGATACTGCCTCTGCCAGCGCTAGTGTTGACGGTTCTACGATCTGCCCGCCTCCCACACTTGCATTAACCGCCGAACAGTTTGAGATCATTGAGTCACTCAACACTGTGGGATTCCGCAAATACCCAGTGCATATCCACAAACACCGACACACTCACGCAGCCATCATTTTCCGGATACCCAAGGATGGACATGCAGAGGGCAAACTTGTCATAAAGCACTGGTTGGATAATGAGTTCGTTGTATAATTAGAAAAGACCTAATTCTCTACTCCTCTTCCTATATGCACCTATATACAGTAGAAAGAATAACGTCTGCCGGTGGTGCCTTCCTAGCTAGGCTGCGACCGCGTTCCGCTGGCGCTTAGGCTTAGGCTCACTGATTCCTTAGCAACACTTAAATAAGTGCCTAAATACTGCTCTGTAATGAGCTCTCTAATCCACATGGTCCAACGTAGACTATAATCATCGATGGTTGTCGCAGGCCCTTCTTTTGGCCCTGCCTAAATCCAACCTTAGACCGAGGAATAAAGCACGAGTGTCAACCTTGACGGAAGTAATTGGTAGATTTCCCAGAAGACTTTAGCTACCTCCTATCATCTCATTATCTAGTTTGTCCGCTAAGGTTTGTTCAATCACCCAGAGCGGCTGTGCCTATACCACTTACAAGGGAATCCAAGTTGCTCAGGCTCTCCTGATTAAAGCACACGAAGAAGTCCTCGCTTCTCCAGGTCCTGACAGTATGCTTTTTTCGAGGAAAAATTGTCTGCCAGGTGGCTTTCCATGTCATTGCTCCAGCCATTCGGTTTTCCGGTATTGACTCTCTCAGGACTGGTTGCCTCGCTGTTGGGGTTGGGGATTGTTCCGGCGTTGCTCTCTTTCCTGTTGGCTTCTCCAGGGAGGAGCGTCTCCATATATGCGGCCAATTCCGCAATCGTGGCATACTTATTGTGCCAACATTTGTCGATGACATCGTCAATTAGCGGGTCTCCATCTAACTTCGGAAATTCCATGTTCTGCAGTAACTCCACAACCTTAGGACCATGCTCCTTAGGATCCTCAGTAAGGCATCGATCTCCATAAACCTCAAAGCCGTAATTTATCAAGTAATACAAGGAACCGAGGGCGAATTGCTCCGTTCGAGGACCTAGGAAGCCGGAAGCCCCACGTCGTCCTTCATTCGGCTCTTCGTTGTTGAGTATTCTTCCATATGGGGCCATGCAAGCTTTGAAGTAAGTCCCGATCTCCGCCGTACAATCAAAATCAGACAGTTTCAGTTGATTACGATCAATCAATATATTTTCGGGTCGTAGGTCACCATGAGCGAGATTGAGCGATTCAAGGAAAGCGACGGCTTGAGTAATGTCATTCATCCATGCCTTTCGTAGGGGTAGAGGTTCCAGCTTTGTCACTTTAGTAACGATCATAGTTTGCTGCTCTCGGATATGATTGCCTTGTATTCTAGAGCAAAGGGACACATCTTGTGACACGGTCAGAAGACAACCTATCAAATGCCAACAGGGGTCGCACCTCGCATGTACTCTAGGAAAATGCCGTTGTCTGCGTAGAAGAAACACTGCACTACGGAAGGGCAGGACGGATGTCGCGAAAAGATCTCATATATCTCGAGTTCTTTCCGAAATTGCTCTCTTTCAAATTCTCCGGATTATGGGACCTTGACCACGATGCGGGGATGGACCTCGTAGACGAAGGAGATGCCTCCTTTCCAAATCCAGTGCACATCGGGAAATTGTTCTTGGATACTCATGACAAGAATAAAAAGTATAAAGGAGTACTTTGAAAAGCAGGCGCAGGAAAAATTGTATTGTGCATAAGAAAGAGGTGAGCAAAGAGAAGAAAGGGGGGTGCCAGGGGTAGTTGCCTATTTACAAGGGTTGTTGTCAACCGAGACGCTGACTGACTGCAGATGGCGTGGGTTATCGGGAAAAGCAAGTTACATATCAGGGCAAACTACCAACTACAAATGCTTGGAGCGGACTATAACTCCTTCAGAAGAGCGTCTGATGTTCAATCAATCATTTACTGTGATCCAATCCCTGAGTATCCCATATCCAAACCCAGCAAAACAATAGCCGTTTTAGAAAGAGGCAACCCTTTCCCAGCCATAAACATGAGATCTGTGAGGACTGTTTGTCGTTTAAGGATGGACAACCGCTTCTTCGCTATTTCGATCGAACTTCATGGGTGTACTACTAAGTGAGAGTTCCGCGTGGACCCGTTACTTTGGATGATAGGCTTACTTAGCCTCAGCTTATGATGTCTCTATAATTTGCTTGATTTAATTGCCATAGTTGGCTGCCCTGGTGCTATACCACGGATGCTCTTCGTCCAGTCATCTGTTTGCAATGCATACTCCGTTCGACAATGGTCTAAGACATGTGGTTCTGGATCCGTTGGCTGTGGCTAGCGAGGGTTATATACTCAGGTATACGCGATATATGTAACTAGCATTAGGCCCCATCATAAACGCTATTCCCGCTCCTCTAAAGGTACCTCATAAGCAACCCGACTCACCCCCTTCTGACGGCTAATCTTTCGAATCGTAATCGCTCCCACCAGACTCGTGCTGGCCACATGCGTCCCACCACAGGGGTTATGATCAAGTCCCCCAATACTTGCGACACGAATCGGCCCATCTCTTGCGTCTTGCGTATCATCCGTCTGCAGGTCCGTGGATTCGGACCAGGAAATCAGAATCGGAAGGTCCTGGCGCACTAGCTCGTCGACTTTCTGTTGGATAAGGGGTTTGTGCTCGTTATACAGGAGACCCTCGTACTCCATCGCCGCCTCGCGGGGCGCATGGTTCGCCTTGACTTTCTTCATATCCGGAAAGAGAAGCTGCATCGCTACTCCGACGATATGTCCCGCCGAATGCAAACGGGTATGATAGTTCCGCGTCGGAGAATCAATCTTCTGAACGACAGCTGCACCTGCGGAAAATGGGGATGAAGAGTGGGCGTCATCAATCAATTCGCCAAAATGCAATATCTTGCCCTCGCGCGTTTTGCGGACGAGCGACACTTTGAAGCGGCTGGACTCGCTGTCCACCGGCCTGATGATGCCAATGTCACTGGGCTGCCCGCCTCCTTGGGGGTAGAAAATCGTCTTGTGCGTGGTGAGCGCGCTGTGCTCGGGAGCAACGTTCTTGGCTAGGGCTTGCTCATTTTCTGAGAGTGAGGAGATGGCCTGGCAGGACTCGATCTCTGTATTCAGGGTGCGCAGGGTGCTGTCGTGTAGATATACAGCTTCAGTTTTCTAATTCGTTATGTGAGTATTCGTACTGGATGTGAAGCCGCTATCACTTACCATCTTGTGAATATTGAGGCTCTTCTCAAAGAGTCATTTCATTTCCGCGCATCGTGAGGTGGGTCGGGCGGACATCTGGTGCCTGAATGTCCAGGCCGAAACATCTAACTAGAATACTCTTTACAGGACATTATTATTCTTCGAATATTCAATCAAATGTGGATTTTGGCAGTATTTTGTAGAGACATTTTGCTCATCTGAGATATTTAGGGGGTATACGGGTCAGTAGGAGGAGACAACCTCAATCATCCTAACCGAACGAATGTCTGTTCATTCCAACACATCCGGATTCCACAAGATAATACTCCAACAACCTTAAAACAATAATAGACAATCTCCTCGATAAAGATCCCACATGGATCCCACGCTATGACATAACTCGCAGCTAAACTTCCCCTCAAATCAACGTTAATTAGACTTCGTATCCAACCCCGGATTCGCCTCCACCTGCCCCCTGTCATGGACCGGCTCTCAAACCCGCCGCCGCACTACGGAATAACTCCACGGCTTGCCTAATTTGTCACTTCCGGTGTGCCGTGTCTCCTAATTTTTGATTCGTTGGTATTGCCGGGGGGTGATCCGGGGTATGGTGTACTATAACCACCATCTTGTCATCCGAGCGCCTGTCAATAATAAGTGTGGTTTTGTTGAAGTTACATCACAATCCTGTCATTTTCTTTCCCCCGGAATACGGTTGAATCCCCCATACAAACAATGATTGAGTGGTTAGGAGCTTTTGGGTGAGTTTTCTGGAGTCCTTTTTTCCGGGGGGGCGGGGAGAGGGAGAAGAGATGGGTGTCCTATTCTGATTGGGTCCCGGATTGAAACCCCTCATCTTTTGGTATATGAACTGCTAGTACTCCATTTCGAAGATCCCATGTGGAAGGTGGAATAGACGGAAGGAAATCCTGTATCAGTATAGTGACGTTGATCGATTGGTATGGCATTGATCGCCGTACAAGTGCTACACAGGATCAGGTATGGTTTTTGAAAATATTCTTCTATGCATGTCATTTGTTCATCATGAGTGTCATGGTAAAGTATTCCGGTAAATGCAGTGTGATAATAAAGAACAAGAGAGAAAAAAAAACCATGCTGCCAATAGCAAAAACAAGCCAAAATTCACAACGTTATCTGGGAATCATATCAAATGTAAACCAATGAAAGAGTAGTTGGAGGAACCGGCTGGACGTAGGAGGCAGATGATCGAGTAAAAGGTAGAACAGCCGGGTGGATATAAAGGCATATGCCAGATCAGTTCTTAACCTCGACATCAACCTCGCCATTGGGCAAGCTTTTGAGAGTCTTCTGGTGCTCACGCTCAACGGCGAACTTGACAGCGTCGAAGACCGTGTCGCAAGTCTTCTTTGGCGGGAAGCGCGGGATAGTACCGTCTTGGTAGACGCCAGTCTTGACTAGAATAGAGAACCAGTCTATATCTGATTTCTCATTGAACTCGTTTGTGCCACGAATATCAGACTCCGGGGTGTCACCAACAAAGTAGACGGTAGAAGGCGGCTTGTCGATGCCGTGAGACTCGCTGCGCCACTCTTGAAGTAGCCGCGTGGCAAACTGGAAAGTGCCCATTTGAGGCTTGCCAAAGGCGATGGTGGTGAGGTCCCTGCCTGTTACGGCCTTGTAAAGGGCCTCAAGCGAAGCTCGCAGGGCGCCCATGCCGATGCGCGAGTGTTCATGCGATGTGGACCACACCACGTCGTTGTGTGAGAAGTAGATAGGCGGGCCTTCGTCGAAGGTCTCCGACCGTGTGCCCAGCTGCCCCTTCTTGGACATTAGGCAATCCAGGATGATCTGCTGATCGCCAGCCCAGTCGCGGCTGTCGGCGAAGACGAAGATCGCCTCGATCTGCACCGAGTCCAGATCGAGAACCCGCGAGTTCTTGTACTCCTCATCGGTGAGTTTGCGGAACGGCGTCGTGTCGTGTCGCGTCTTGATGATATCGCCGGGAGTGACGACGTTCTTGAATCCGTATCCTTCGGCCACGATTCGGCACTTCTCGCCCTCGCCACCTACAACCAAGACTGTTCCATAGCGCTGAGCCATTTCCCGCATGGGCGTGTGGCCGCAGATGAACTGTCCGGGAGAAACCTCCAGCTCAAGTTGCCGGCTGAGATCGAGGCAACGTTCTTGTTCAGTTTTGCCGCCTCCATTGGTGAGGAAAATGTACGGACTGCAAAAGTACGGTCAGAAAACGTTGTGTATTGAGAACACAGACAGGAAACTTACACTGTGATCCCATATGGGTTCTCGCCATTAATGTACTTCATGGCATCAACGGCCGCCGGGATCGGCTGGCCGCCCCGAATGAGGACACCATCGATATCGAAGGCGAGCGCGAAATCGTCGCTGGTGATCATTGGTGGCGTAGACAGGGGGGTGGCCACCTGAGGAGACTCCTCCTCGGACGAAACTTCGTCGTCGGTAGGGCTCTTAGTCATTTCTGGCGCAGGGATGTCGTGGTCATGGCTGAAGGAGGCCATCAGATGCTTGGGAGGGAGCCCGACATTGGGCCCACCGTAGAGATCGGCCCGCGCAGCGTCCAGGCTGTTCAGTCGGCGGACCTTTCGGGTGCCGAATCCATCGGGAGTGGCCATTGCGAGTGATATGATGTGGGTCGACGTGCGGGTATAGTAGTGGTGTGAAGATAATAGTAGTCCAGCTAGCGTTGACTACCGTTGGCAGATCTTCCGACACTCAGATGAGAGCAGGGACTAGGAACTTGACTCAATTGAGCAATAAAAGCGATAGATCATTGACTATCGTGAAGAGATGAGAGGCAGACTGCAGGAGAAACTGGAGCCCACTGCAGAAGGGAGGTTAGGTAGATGGAGCATGTGGGGGGGAGGGAAAGGGCCATTAATATAGCATTCTGAGGCCTCGATGGAGTTTCCGATTACCCAAAGTATCGCAAATACCGCTGCTCACCACGGGTGGGCCTGGATCCAACCCTCAGCCCCTGTCATCATCTGTCTTCGGACAGGGAGAACCACACAATCCGCATTCCTTGGGATCCACAACGGCGTGCCTTGGCGCACCACGAGTGTATCCAGAGGCAATGATTGATCCTCATGGTTCCGAGTTTAGGCAGTGGAGTCCGCCGAGGCACTCGGCCGTGCGTGAATGGAGCATTGACGTAGGAGGGGGAGGGGCGGACATATTTTTGTCCCGCTGTTCACTGACGCTGATGACGGCGATCATTTCAATCCTGCGCGCTGTCTGGTTTTGCATCTGAAAATATGGGTCTCTTAACTGTCGGAACCGCTCAAATGCAGGGCATGTCGGCGTGGCGCTCGGGCAACATAAGCAAATGCGGCCATGAGGGAAAGCCCGCGCCTCTTCCGTCGACCCCGGTCTCGCCGAGCGCCCTTGCTTTGACCATTGCTGTACGGAGCAGAGTATCCCGAAGACTCATTATTCTCTAGATGCAGCGGTGCGATCGAATCAACATTTACGCATCGCGGGGCAAATCGGAGCTTGACGTCATCGGCATCCCGGTGGCTGACAAACAACTTCAGGAACCGAGCGAATCGCGCGCTGAGACAAGAAAGTATGTGGCGTCGCCGGAAAAGCGCTCGGATGCGACGATGGCGCGCGCTAGTGCGAGTGTTGCAACTCATCGGGCCGTAGGAACTAAGAAAGCAAGCCACGGTCGTAGTAGTCCTAGATGACGGCTTATCCTGGGTTGTAGTCGTAGGGCTCATGCGTGCAAAGAGCGATCCCCCACACTCGCACAATCAGGTAGGCCTGATGGTGTCACCGTGCAGACTTAGGGCTTTTTGCACAGCACGGATCTTTCAGCCCGGCCTAGGTTTGAGCCTCGACGGTCTATTGTCTATTGTGATGACGTTGGTTTGAACGGCCCCCAACGTCGACACAGCTCGTCATTTTCCTGGGAAATTCGACGGGATGGTCGTCATTCATGCAGAACGGGGTTAGCAGCAAACGCGGTGATAGAACTACCGTTCGGCTTTCCTGAAGTGGCTATAGTAGCGGTCAGTAGCCCGATCGAGTAGATCACTTCCCGAGGGAAGCCCTGAAAGCGGCCGTCTATTTGATCAATCGACTCTCTACACGAATCCCTCTCTGTAATGATCCTATACCACGTGGTAATTCTGCGAATCCTGGCCTCCAACCATAGTCATACATCACACCATACACTGCATGGATCGATGGTCCGTAGGTTATATCATATGCCCGGAGAATTTGGTTTGATTGCATGGATTTGAGAAGTCTATGGCTAGGGTCGATACACGTAGGAAGGTATAACTAGTGGGCTACATCTCACCTACTATCATCTAAATCGGGGATCCAAAAAAGAACACCATGATGCAATACTGTATACAGTCGGTTCCCTCGTATCATGCAGGCACAAGACCCCCAAAAAGAGTGAACCCAGCCTCCCCATGTCAAAAATGCCGGTCATAGTATACAAGAAAGAAAGGAAGAAGATACAAAAGACAGAAATAATAACAGGTACAGTTAAAGGCAAAGGTGGCTTCACTCCACCCTGAGCACAAAATCGTTGCCCTGCTGTGAAACAACCACATTCCGACTCTCAGGCGACAGCCTATGCGGATTTCGACGATCCACACGCGTCGGACTGTCTGGATACGTCGCAGAAGCACGTCTCGCGGCAGATGGGTATGGCAGTACTGCATTTTGCGACATGTACGAACGCCCTCGTTCAAGCCAGAGTTCTTCGGGGTCGTAGGGGACGACCACCTCGCTAGGAGGACGAGGTTGCCCCGGCCGGAGCTGGACGCGCTTGATATCATTCTGGCGAACGATGCGTGGCCGCGATATTATCTCTAATGCTGGATCGAGAGTTCTTGCAGGTGGTTGCTTCGGGGGCAGAGGTGGTGGTTTCCTGCTGGGGAACATGCCGCTGAGGATGCGGCCCTGTGCTGTGCTGGAAGGGGTGGTAGCGAGTGTAGTTGGGGAGGACAGGTGTGGCGATGGCGAGCTTCTGAAATCGTCGAGGGCACTGCTTGCGTCTGTGGTTGTTGTTGAGGACCCGCGCATTGCGGTGGTCGTTGGTGTTGTTAGATGGCTCTGTGAATGTACAGCATCACGCAGGAATCTCCCTGCTGGAAAGCCCTCCTTCACGGCACGAGGATTTGCGGGGAGCCCTATTGGAGCTTGTGACCGTGACGGCGAACTGCGAATTTCCTCTGGCGGAGTTACTTGCTGGCCCTCTTCTTCTTCTTCGAAAAGCGTCACCCCACTGACTGGCCGATGGCTCCATTTCAACGGCTTTGGATAGAGCCCCGGTGTCTGGTAAGGTAGGACCTCCGACAGAGTGCGTTGAGAGGACTGTGTCATGGGTGAGACTGCCCACTCGGAATCAGAGCTTACAGCGACTCCTATGTGATCCTGATTCCGAGATCTCCCTGCATAGCTGACTTCCGAGACGGAGGTAAAAGTTGGCTGAGAGGCTGACTGAACCGGGCTTGCAGATTGGGGTGCGCCATATTTTTCGTCCCATGGAGAATCTGGAGTCGGGTCTGGGGAGGCATGCCGGGATGAAGGGTGTGAAAATCCAGGAGGCTCGGTCATGGCACCGCCAATCTCGAAAAAGTCTTGATCGGAGTCGTTGGGGTTCCCACGCCTGTACCGCTTGCAACAAAAGAATACCGCAATGCCAATTATAAATGATCCTGCCACGCCTGAAACCACAGAGACGCCAATAACCGCTCCGGGAGAAATGGTATGATGATCTTCCTCCTTCGCGGAAGACGGATTGGAAGCTGTTGCTGTATTCTGAGGTGTGGTAACAGGAAAACCGTTTGAAGTCGTAGATGTCGTAAAAGGTGAAATATCTGAAGTCTGTTCGGAAGTAGAAGTAGAAGTTGTTTTTGTTGGCTCCTCCGTCGCCGTGGCATCAGTCGCCGTCGTGGTCTGCACAGCCGGGAAAACCGTTGCGGTAATAGTAGCATGCATCGCCGGAACAGCCCCATGCACTGAGTCACATATATGATATGCATTCGTGCTCTCGATGGTCTTTTTAGAGCACAAAGACAAAGCACAACTCAGGGCAGCTTCCCCCAGCGTGAAGCCATCTGTTGACGGCGTCCGACATAGGCACTCGACATCCGTCGACATTTTGCACTCGGTGGACGTATACTGGGATTCAATGAAGTTGTCCACACAGTTTCGCGCGCATTCTGGGATCATGTCGAATAGAGATGGGTCGAAGGTACCACTCAAAGAGGTCTCTGCTCTGGTATCTATACATGACGAGACTACCGGTGGGACCGCAGCGAAGAGGCTGTAAACAAGAAGGAAGCGCATACTGCGACAGTCCTAAACTGTTATCAGAGATTATTCCCTTTCTATACTTGATGTTCTCGCAAAGCTCACCGGGCGGGATCTCGTGTGGGATTGACTACCCTGTATTGTTCCATGAAGCGGTCATCTTCGAGGGAAGCCCAAGACACAGCAGCGAGAATGTGAATAATCGAAAAGGCTTAGAAAGAAAGAAATAAAGAAGAAGAGCAAGAATCAAATTAAAGCGGATCAGCACTTAATTAAACAGCGCCGCCCAAATGCATCGCGACTCGTCGCGAACTGTACGCGCGATGCGCCTCCGTACATTATGACGAAAAGGAAATTCTGAAACACGATGCTAGTGCAAGCGCTACGATGAAACCAGATGACTCTTTCAGCCGTCAGAGTAGGGAGAGCAACGAATCGTTGTCGTTGGGTGGCGCCCACGTTGAGCGGCTGCGATACTTGGTGAGTGTACGCGCCGAGGGCAAACCGGGCGCTAAGCCCGGCGATTTGGCCGGCGCCAGTCGTACTACTGGAGTCTACTGGAGGGCGTTTCAGATTTCATGATAAATTGTGTGGCTGAGCAATCGATTTCACATTTGTTGGACATTTGTTTTGGGTTGCTAGTGGTGCTGGCGCTGGCCTCAGCTGATCGGTTTAGGGCTGGGAATCCCTCGTCTCGTACTATACAAATAATCTGGAAGCGCACCGGTAATATCATCGGGATCGAGATTATGTGTCTTTCCAATACTGGCTGGCTTATGCTTTATTCTTGTTGAGTCAAGCAGGGGCGCGCTGGATCTAAACGCTTCCCATCTCACCCTCATTTATCATGCACATGTACATCCGGACTGACTCGGATCCCATCCCACTTCCACCTGTGTGGCTTTGATCCCGCAGATTCCGCATCCGCAGCCATCTACGCCAATCACGGCAACCCAAGACCTTGTGGCTTGACAGTCCACCAAACACATGACTTCTGTAGGGCCGAGCAGGGTCCTGGAGGCGATCTGTCGATCATACGTAATGTACTACGCACGTGCTAGAATAAGGCGCCAGCGATTGCAACGACTGAGCGAAAAGCGCCAGCCGTTTCCGTCAATTATCAAAAGTCAAGTAACAAGGAGGGGTGGGGGCAGCCGCGCGAAACGAAGCTCCAGAGTCATCCAGAATACGCTGGTATCATTCGAAACGAAGAAGCAAGACAAGACCAGGAGGTCAAATATCACATCACATAAGAGAAAAGGGAAAGAAAAGTCACAAAAAAAAAACCCCATGCCGAGTCGGATAAAAGAAAAGAAAAGCTCAGAGTGGGTGTGGCACTGCCACCACAATTAAGACATTATGAACATCGTCGTTGGATCCGATGTCGAGTGTAACGGTCTCACACCTCTCCCAACCGCGCAGACACGAGCAATCCGAGACATCCCACCTGCACTGCAGCCTCTATTCCTCACGATGGAGCACTCGCGCAAGAAGATCTTCAGAGAGGGTCCATGACATCACTTTCCCGGAGAGAAAAATCGATGGGAAAGCGAATGTGTTGCCCTGGGCGCTGCGTCGCACAAGTTGAAAGGCGGCAGAGCGTGTCTAGTATTTAAGGATGATGTACCTACGAGGCATGGTTAGAAGGGGTGGTTCTTGAGAATCAAAAGACGGTCGGAGTTGCGTGGCATACAGCGCGTGGATAATACCGGGGATCCAACCCAGGATGGTCAGGCAGATGTTGATCAGGAAGTCGGAGCCGCATCCTTTTTCCAGGAAGACACCCAGAGGAGGCAGGATGAAGGCGAAGAAGATCTTGCAGATGTCGCTGTAGTCAGGGGGTCAGCCCAACCCACTTTTGGAGGGGCAGGTGGAATGCTTTTGGGAGGGTAGACTTACGAAGCTGTGAAAGGCATGTTGGCTGAAGTTGATATGGGCACAGAGACCAGGAGATGGAATTGGGAGAGCGAAAAGGGGTCGAAGAATGGGTTGTGGGGAGGGAAGAAGAGGAAGGGAAGTAACCTTGCGAGAGCAGTTGGGAAAAGTCAGGAGGGAGAGAGAGAGCTTGCTCCTTCATTGCGTCATGATGTGGCTAGTGCCGTCTTGGCGATTCACTAACTGGCGCCATTTGGCGGCTGCCTGCCACACTTAATCCGGATTACTCCCCGCCACATCGGGCACCTTAAAACAGGGCGGGATTCAAGTCTACATCATCCAGCAAGGAGTTCCACTGCTGCGCGTCCAAGTCGGGTGCCACAGCCAGAAACTCGGTCCACAGCTGATCCCAATTCAACTCCGTCGTGCCACTCCTGAGAGGCTCGTCGCGGAATGCGTCATGCAACACCCCTGAAGAAATGGCCTCCCCAGATGAACGGACAGTAGACTCTCGGGGCTGCTGGACCCGCTCCTTCTGCAGCGTAGACATTAGAATCTGCAGATTGCGCTGAATGCTCTCAACCAGAGTACTAGATTCCTGTTTGGACGATTCGAGAATCTGGTAAGCCATGAGCACTTTGGCCTTGCGAGTCTCGGCGTCTGGCGCATCGGGGCTGAACGACACATCCGTAGCCAGCACAAGCGCTGCCACAAAGACATGCTGCATGACCGTCCAAAACCGCGAGGGCTGGATATCGATCCTCGCGCCGGCCTCGTCCATCTGGCGTCGGAGCTCGAGCACCGTCTGCGCAGACCGGATACACACTTCATGGGAATAGGCGTATTTGGGGTTCGTCATGCCCTCCAGGTGGTAGGGCCGGTGGAGTCGACAGAGACGCGAGTGCAGACTGAAATTACCGGCGATGCGGCCGAAGGCGATCCAAGGCCGCTGCTTGACAACCTCCTTGCTTTTTTCAACGTTTTCCGGGTCGAGTTTGAGGAACCATGGCAATTCTTTGAATAGGGTCTGGAACTTCTCGTCCATCGCCAGCACAATGTTGTAGTCTGCTTCATTGTCATCCAATAGAACCGACGGCATGTCATCCACGATCTCACGGCAGAGGTTCGCCGTCTTCACTCGGAAAAGAAATCCGCTCATTGCCGTTGGAACAGAAGAGGGTAGGTCAATATCGGTCGAGGTGGGTGTGATGAACTCATCGTCGGTATTAGCTGGGTAGTTGACCTGCATGTGCTTTGTTTGGTATATGTACGCGCCCTCGTGGTGGCCGCCGGAAAACCCAATTAGCCTAGTTTCACGGCTGTCAGTACACTACATCTCCCTTTGACCGGAGAGACGTTACCAATCAGATGCGACCATGCTCCACCAGATCCGTCTCTGGACTTCAATCTCAATCATGTTGCACCCTTTGAGTCTCCTTTCTTCGACGCTCGCGGGAGTGTCCAAGCGGTTAATCCTCAGCTCGCGCATCATCAACAGGCAACGCATTCGAAGCATATGTATTTTGAGCCCAAAGCCGTCGGAATTGGTGATCAAATGGGACAGTATACTCATAGACGCCAGAGCGATGGTGGACGGGGCCACAGGATGCGCATCGTCCTCCACGACGGACAGGGCCAGTCGGGAGTAGGCTGTAAAAGCGGCCCTTGCCTCTGCTTGTGTGGCATTGAGGCGCTCCAAAAGCTGGGAAGACCAGGCAAGCGAGCCACCAGCGAAGATGACCAGAAATAAAATCAGATTGGCCATGTCGGGCACGCTGCCCGTGGCCATCTTTTCATAAGTTTCTTCCATCAATTCTCTGGTAGATGGAATGTGAAGAATTGCGATTGTGGGCTGTAAGGTTTTAACAAAATGATTGAGTAACTCTCTTGCCTGCCCTCGGGGAGGAAGGTGGCTGGCTATGAACTTTGGGTCCTGGGCTGGTTCACTTGGGCGACTGGACAAGACGTGGAGACCAAATGGAGTAAACTGAATTGTGTCTTGTGTCGGGCGTTGTGTCCACGCTGTAAATTCGGGGGTGTTGGTATGAGAGGTCTGGTTTGATTTGTTGAATACTGCTTCTTCAAGATGACGAAGTCGATATAGAACATCTTCCGGCTTCCTATGATACTTTTCAGCGAACAATTCCACCTGAAACGGAGGGATACTTACAAAGAACCTGGCTCCTGGCCATTTGTCCTTGGGGCAGGGGACTGCGTCGCAGTCTGACCGTCATGACCACTCCCATCGTATGCGCAGTCGATGTTCCGCAACTTGCAATTCATACAAGGCAGCTCCCGATCACAGCGGCGTTTCTTCGCGCGACACGCCAGGCAGGATGGGGGCGGGCGACCCCATCGATGTACCATGGTGGCGGGGATTCCCCGACTGTCTCGTTTCATGGTGAACTGGGGAGATATAGTTGGTTGCTGAGAGAAGGAGGAAGGCAGCTCCGCGTTGCTCCTTCCCGGTGTGGCTAGTGTCCCGTCGGTATTGCTATACCAAGATTACGCATGAGTTGTCTGCTCAGTATGTAACTAATACCGTCATCTTACCAACATTGAAATTCCCCAGCTTCAAGAACGAACTTGCTCTTGTTGTCAATAATGCCACAACTACCCACACAGGCCCCGAAATCCCTAGCCAGGCGGGTCCTGCGCTTAGCTCTGACTCGCAGCTCCCGTCGCTCGCATCCAGTCACCAGAGGCTATGCGACTGCGACAAAAGGGCTACCCGTCGCATGCACATGGCTCACCAAGAGACCAGCCGACATTGTGAGTTCCTGCAGACCGGTGGACGCGATCCGTATGCTAATTGATCTCCGCAGGCTCCTGAAGATGTCCTATCGAGTCTTCCGTCTCTCCCGTCCTCCTTGCCCGCATCCGAGTCTATTCCTCTCCTCCTCACCAGTCCAAGCTTTGCTCCATGGCTCGACCCCAGCAGCGATTTCCTCCAGCAATGGGTAGGCCGGTTATATGGTCCTTCTTCTCCATCGCCTCTATACGCCGTTGCTGCTGTCGTGGACAAACTTCCGGGTCCTCAAACGGCATCAGATGAGATGGGGGTGGAAGGTGTTTCTCTTCTAGTGGTGGGAAAAGACGGCGTACATGGGAAAGCGGCGTCGCCTCGTCAGATCAGGGGCTCTGTGGGTGAAGAGCCTGATATTTTGATCTCGGTGCAAAGCAAGGCCCAACAAAGTAGCAGCCCACTGCCCTACGAGATTGGATTGAGACTTGCAAATACCGTCTTCGTCAATGGCAGGGAAACCACGCTGTTCGGCATGCGTTGGACTTGGGACAGTGCTGTCAACAACTATACTCTGGACGGATCAATTGATCTCAGAAGCTGCCTGGTTGCAGCTATTTCTCCAGTCACAGAGCCTCAACTACAGCTGCCATTGCACCCCGTCACCGAACGGAGAAAAGTCATCGCCAGTATGGGGAATATCCTTCGCCAAATAGCCCAGTCCACCGATCCAGCGTCCACCAAGGCGATGCCCGCGTCGACTGAATTGGAGAAGACGCTCCCGCGCTACCTGGAAGAGCACAATATTGTCGACCGGCGCGTGACGGTCTGGGCGCTGGTTGAAGGGCCAGATAATCTTTCCCATCGCGGATCACCGCACGACCGTATTATCCGCTCTCTGCGTCAGGGTGGTAAGCTACACCGTGTGATGAGCGGTGGAGGCGGATGGGGCAAGAAACAGGGCCTTCTGTCCCTGGACCCAGAAGTGAGCTTTGCCAGCACGGCCTCCCGCGACAAACTTGCGGCCCTTGAAGAGTTGTTCAACTCTAGTGCTGCAGCGCCGGATCTGCCGGCTTTCATGGCGGGAGATGATCTGTCTCTGCTGTCGCAAGTCGCCACGGCTGGTGATTTCATCCAGTTCTTTGTGTCGGTCGAGCTCACCAATCTCCCGGATGATATCTCTGGGTGCTCGGTCACCTACAGCTTTGGAATCACCTCTGACATGGAGGAGCCCGAATTACCGGACGTCGAAAGAGAAACGGGCCTTGTGGCAATTCCAGGTTTCTTTGGTGCATTGTCCGAGAAGGCGATTGCGTACTCACAGCCGGTGCCGCAGGGCGAGACGATGGCGGCGTCCAGCACCAAGCTTGATGTGCCGGGGTGTCGAGTAGTCCTCAACTCTGTATTATAAGAAATAAGCCATGTAGATTAAGACAAAACTTGGAATAACCCCCCGTATACTTTCTTCCTCATCTTGGTAGGTGTGCCAAGACCACGTGACTGGCACATCCCAAGTCCAGCGTGTTTGTCGTCCACCTCTCATCTCGCTCCCATCTTCTTCGATCACCACTCAACACCCCCTGCATCTCCGGCTTGAGGCTGCCAATCTCGAGTCCAGCACTTTCATTTCCCTGCCCTCGACTACCCGATCGATCCCCCTTCCTCCGGACCATCCTACCCCCCAAAATGGCCACGGATCTTTGGTAAGTTGTCCTCACGACGGTCCTTCCAACCCCTGGGTGCTCCAGCAACTACGGGCGCCTTCTCTACCGCATTTCTTCAGGTCATGAAACGCTAACATCTGCACCTTCTCAGCCCCGTCTATGCGGTGAGTTTTTCGCCTTTCCCGTCCCCGGCGCCGCGACCTCGTCCAGTCCAACCCATCCCGATGTTTCAGCCCGCCCCTCGCCCTCACCCTCATCCTCATATCCATGATCTCATTCCCTCCACAAATAACTGACTGTATTGCTCTAGCCCTTCTTCGGCGCGCTGGGCTGCACGTCCGCCATCGTCTTCACCTGCTTCGGAGCTGCCTATGGCACTGCCAAGGCTGGTGTCGGTGTCTGCAGCATGGGTGTGCTCCGGCCCGACCTGATCGTCAAGAGTGCGTGGTTCCCTCCTTTCCACAAAAATACAATGCATGATTGCGGTAATGCTGACTTCCCTCGCTCGATAGACATTGTCCCCATCGTCATGGCGGGTATCATTGGTATCTACGGTCTGGTGGTGTCGGTCCTGGTCGCCAACGACCTGACCCAGCAGCTCCCTCTGTACACAGGATTTATCCAGCTGGGCGCTGGTCTCGCTGTCGGTCTGGCCGGTATGGCTGCTGGGTACGTTTACAGTCCCCTTACTATCAACTGCGCCCCGAACTCTTGCTAATGGTGACTTGTTTCGCAATACAGCTTCGCTATCGGTATTGTCGGTGACGCCGGTGTGCGCGGAACAGCGCAGCAACCCCGACTGTACGTCGGAATGATTCTGATTCTCATTTTCGCTGAAGTTCTGGGTCTGTACGGATTGATCGTTGCTCTTCTCATGAACTCGCGCTCGAAAGCCACCTGCAGCTAAACGAGAGGTGCCTTCCCCTCGCGCCGCCCCCAGAGATGGGTGTTTGGGATTTTCTGCAGGCTGCACCCAGTGCTGGATTGGAGCTTGCATTGATTTCCAGCATCATTCGAGGATCCTATTTTCGACGGGTGGTGCCAGGACTGGCGGATATACAAAAGCAAGATTTCGGCAACTATAAATCTTCTTTTGGTGCTTGAGAGAGGGAGAAAGAGAATGAGGGGGAGGGACAGATGGTGTGTTTCTTTTTATTCGATCACCGGGTATGCTTGTGTGGACTGGAGAAGTGGTCGAGCATCAAGACAAACTGGGCGTGGTTTACCGGTGTGGTAGATATTGTTTGGCTTACATTGCGTGATTGCGCGCTTGGCAATTGTACTTTATATGGGTCTTTCCGTACTCCATTTCAGACTCGGCTTCCTAAACATTTCCGTTCGTAATCTACCAATACTGCCGCTCTATATAAACGGCCCAGTATCATGATCTACAACAGATGGGTTGCAACGTGTAGGGAGAATCGAGTCGAATGCTGATGGCAAACCATTGGTATTTATATCTATTGGGTAGTTCGCAATGCATAAGAGAACAATCAAAAGAACAAAGGGGAGAGAAGGAACTCCCCAAAATCCCACACGAGAGCAGAGCAGTAGACCAGAGCCGAGAACAAAGGAGACAGATAGTAAAAATCCAAACCGCGAGCTTCTAACCAGGACCAGAAGAGTAGGTTCTAAGCAAGGAAAAACGGCGGACGGAAAGGGCCAGGATATTTGATACGAGACCGTAGGTAGGTATGACGGACGGCGCGAACAACAAAACAGGTAGCAGCCTGTTGAGAGTGATATAAACTCCATCCACACCCGGATAATATATGCAAGGATATGCATGCCAAAACAAAACCGCATACCCTACTCTAAGCCTTGTCGAGTTTCCGGCGCAGCGTGCGCGTCCTCCGCATCAGCTTCTTAAACTTATGCTTCTTCATCTTCACACGGCGCCGTCGCTTCGTGCTGAGCGTGTGCATGGACCGGTTGTAACGCAGGCGCTCGATGTAGGTCGTACCCGAGCCGAAGCCGCTGGGGGCATCGATGGAGGCGGCAACTTCGTCCCGCGTTCCGGCGGGGCCTTCCACGTCGTCATTGAAAACGAAAGGTCCCGTGTGCGCCTCGTAGGTCTTGCGGCCGTCTGCGTGGCGGGATTCGCGGATCGTCAGGACGGTCGAGTAGGTTGATGTCTCCTGGTCGACTTCGGCGGAGGGGTCCGCTTCAGAGGGGGGAGGGGTTTGCGGTGATGGGAACGGGCGGTGGAGGTGGGTTGAAGGGGCGCAGCCGGCGGGTGAACTCTTCCACGGACATCTTGGCTTCCGGGCCGTCCATCATGCGCAGCTCACCGTCCTGCTCGCTGGCGAAGCTGCGGTTGAGCTGGCCCAGTTGGTCTTCCGGTTCGCTCAGGGAGTGCGCTGTGTTCTCCATAGACTGAACTGTCGAGGAAAGAGTGAAGATGACGTCCTCCGGCTCGTTCTTGAGGGTTCGCTTTGATGAGAAGATCGCATCAAAGGCCTCGGCGCTTGAAGCAGGCGGTACCGTCGACGTCACGGACATGGGTCGGTGGATCGAGAAGAAGGATGCTACATGGACATCTTGATGCAAGTCAGTACGATCTCGGAGCTGAAGCAGCGACAAAGGAAAATGCTTACCATGCGGCTGCAGGTGCTGAGTCGAGGGAACGCTGGGGAGATTGGCAAAAACAGAATTCTGCTGGCTGGCCTTTGAAGACCCATTGCGGGCACTGTTATCCTTCCCCCGCCGACGGGCTGCCTTGCCCTTCTCGTTCGACGAGCTCACGCCCTTCGCAGGCGTAGAGGATGTGTCCATCCGCCGAGAGCCATCACTCGGTGGAACTGGCGGCTTCGACGAGGACGAGGAGTACCGGCGGTGATGGATGCCTCGAACGGCGAGTGCCTGACCGGAAGATCGAGTCAAACCGGGTACGGGCATTGCCCATGCCGCCCGGCGTAACGACGTTGTCAACATGGTTGTTGGTACAAAGGAAGTTGAAGCGGAGTCGAAGGCGAAATCAGTCAGAGGGCGGGTCATGTGGTTGCTTATGTGATTTGATGCCTCAGGCAGAAATTATACTGTGAGAAGAGGGAGGGAGGAAAAATAATAAAGATGACTAGGCAGTATGTATAACTCTCGTGGCAAACATCATCACGGATGGAAAGTAGATCTCTTACTGACACGATAGGAAATTCAAAAGGATTGTGTGATAATACAAAGAACAGTCATCGACGAGACAAATCAAGTGGTATCATCCTGCGTAACAACAAAACGGGGAAACGGCACTGTCGCTGAGGAATAAGGGGGGCAAAAGGCGAAATCGGATGGGGCTTTTGGATGCAATGAAACAGACCCAAGGAACGCGGCAGTGAACCGACAGCTCCTCTATAAGACGCCTCGTATGAAGTAAAGAAAGTAGGAAAGGACCACCCCAGAAGAGCCAAAGACGGGAGATCGTGCGGGAGAGGTGAGCAAACTATAGAATGAGGGTGTGGAGATTCTTCTGGATGATCATGTCTTGGACCGAATCCATAGTCGCCTTCAACAGCGTGGTGTCGGTAGCATTGGTGTAGTGGATGTAGATCTCGCGATCGGGTATTCGGTTGATGCCGCGGAACCGCTCTGCAAAGTACCGCGCTGCAGCGTCAAAGTCGGTGTTTGATCCGGTGTAGTCAGGGAAGTGTTTCGAAATGGAGGAAATGGCGAGTTTGCCCTTGAACAAATCGATCTTGTTGAGGAAAAGAATGATGGGCTTGCGCTTGAACCATTCACCGTTGACCAGAGACTCGAACAGCATCATGGCCTCGTGCATTTGATTCTGTTGGGGGTTAGAAATCCATCATTTCGTGGAGTGTGAGCAGACTTACAGCATTCTGATCCTCAACCAGACACTGGTCATAACCAGACAGGGCAACCATGAACAGCAGACACTGAACACCCTCGAAACAATGAATCCACTTCTTCCGTTCAGACCGTTGCCCACCAACATCCATCATGCGGAAGTTCATCTGTCCGAGTTCGAACAGCGTCTCCGTAATACCCGTCGTCCGAAGTCGAGCCTGCAGCATGTCCTGATTGTCGGGCAGCCAGCCCGGTGTAAATATGCGATCCAGCGCATCGTAAAAGCTGAGACAAATTGTCAGAATGAATATTCAGAAGTTTAAGGCACACCTACTAAACCAAGTTGTCGTGAAGAGCGAATTCGTGCCCACGAGCCACGGCCTTTTGAACACCGGCATCAGCCCATGTGTCTCGCATGGCGTCGCGAACCTTGGGGTCGGAGAAGGCCTCATCTGACCCAACATCCGGATCCGTGTTCTCCAACAATTCCGCGAGTGGCTAGAAAGTAATATGTCAGAAAGACCGGCACGGGATTTGGGGAAACATACTTTAGTCTTCTCCTCATTCTCGAACTTGATATTCTCGGCGTTCATGATATCCAACAAAACTTTGAACGCAATGACAATATTTGAGTAGATCACGGCGCGTGTCTGACGCCGTTCTTCCTCGGGGAAGCCTCCATCGTGGATGATGCGCATCTGCTTGATGATAGTGGACTTGCCGGACTCTCCAGCTCCTGTTTGGAACGTTAGTTTTGTGCCGCGCGCATCTCCCAAGTCGACCGATGCAGCTCACCCAGTAGCAGGATCTTGATGGTCCGGTCCATCGTCTTTTTGTCATTCTTTAGTGTCCGATCTATCCGAGCATTACGTTGGAGGGCATCCCTGTCCACGTCTGCGCTCTTGGAGTTCATGCAACCCATGATGTCGGTACGCGAGGATGGTCAACAGTACTGGTACGAGGGGGAGTTAGCAACGGTCGAGAGATGAGGGACGAACAGCGCGTCTTTGTTCTGAGTCAGGGATGCGAATAGCATTGCGCCTCGCGGGTCGGTGCGCAAGCTTCAGAGACATCCGTCGACTCGACCCAGGCTTGACCGGCCTCAGGATACGAAGGGCGCGCAGGCCCATCACGCATGAAGGGGGGAGGATGAGGAGGAGGGTTTGCCCACCTTCTCGAAGACCCTGAATGATCGCGCTGAGACCACTACAAAGCTGCCGTCCAAAGAGCTGTCAAGCTTCGAGACCTCGCTGCTTCCCCACACCCGGGATCTGCCACGTTCCGTTGCAAATCGGGCGGTCAAGTTTCCAATCAGACCGGGGTTTATCCTCTGAGACAGGCGTCCGTAGCGTGGTCGGCACGACGTCAGCACACGATTGACGGGTGGTCGAGTCGGGCGGGAGGGAGGAGGGTGCTCGGCAGGGTCGGATGGAGTCGAGGGGTAGGGGGTGACGAAGAGGGGGAAGTCAATAATGAAGGAAGGAAGACTGATGTTGGTAATCCCTAGAAAGAAAAGGCGATCATCCAAGGGAGAGAAGAGAATTGAAGGTGAGGGAAGGGAGAGAGTGACAACAAAGAGAGAGAGGGACGAAGAGAGAGAGAGACAGGCTGGTCGTACTAACCAAGTCCCTATCGTGCGGTGCGCCCAGAAGTCCCACCAGCAAAGAAGAAAACGAACAGAAAAGGGCCAGGCTGCGCTAACGTCGGCCGATCGATCGTCAGGAATGGGTGAATAATAATAATAATAATAATAATAATGCATTGTTTACCACGTTAATATTCATATTCTCCCCAAATCATCATAGTGAGTTCCATACTACTACATGGCTCAATAGACGTACTCACTACGACATAACGACTTTCTCTCTCTCCTCCCTACATACTGGCATTTTTCTCGAACATGCCGGCGCGTGGATAGTGCCGCATGGCCTGAAACGTCGGCGGATTCCTTTAGTTGAGCTCTGTACTCCGCAGCGGCCCATGCTCGGCGCTATGCTCGTTTCTCCGTCCCGTTGTTTTACCCCTGACATCTGGCACGAACTACACACTACTGTACCTACTAAATAGAAGATCCAATGAAAGCTTTGAGACGCTAATGACACTCCTCCCGCTGGACCCGGTTTCATGGCCTACAAAGCTAGCGCTCCACCGTCGCCGGAGGCCGAGTGGCTGCTTTGGAGCTAAGGCAGGGGCAAATCCTGTTCGGGCGCCTTGGCTCGCCAGGATCGGTGGGGGGCAATTACAACACGAGTTCAGTTCCTCGAATGTATGTAGTAACCGCTAACTATGCTAGGAAGTGACCTTCCAGATCTAGAACATGTCTGGACGGTGAATCATGCCACGAGAAGGAAATGTGTAGAAGACTCACATTCTCACTTGGAAGGCAACCTCCATCCCGTGATTCTCGACAGTGACCAAGCCGGTTTTTCTCCGAGCCAACTCTCCCCCTGACTGGCAGCTTGGCAATCCTATTCGAGTGGAGATTTCTGATTAGGACTGTTACCAGATTCATCCATACTCCACCCGGCCCTGAGTCGAGCAGTGGATGTTCGGATTCTCAAGAGAAGCCAACAGCCTGGGAAAAAGAATGCTAGTGGTAAAACGACGCCTAGGCCTTTCGCTTCCGCCAATCATCTCGTTTCCCACCCGGGCTCTAAACTTTTTCTGTTTTTTTGCTTTTTTTACTTCCCAACGGCAACCCCGAGGTACTTCCGATGATTTTGACAGGTCACCCAGGTCGTCTGACAGGTTGAGCTTAAGCTCAATTGACCCGCCACATGGATATCTGGGCGTTTTCCTCGGCATCCAGCACGTTGTTCCCCATGTGGCTGAACTCTCAAGACCTTCCCCCTCTCCCCCCCCCCCCCCCAAAAAATAAAATAAAATAATAAAAATAAATAAAAATAGGGAGAGCTTGAGCGAAACAGACTCACGGGCCAGAGCCGTTCAGGCGTTGAGCCGTGGAACCGAGCAAATGAGCCGTTGTCGATCAGTATTTTGACAGCCGCCTAGGCCCACGGGAGCTCTTCCGGGCGTTGTTGTACATAGTGTACTTTTGCTTTCCTGGGTTGGCTTATTTTCGACTGTTTCAGGTTATGGGCTTTATTGTTGGCTGTGCTGACTAGTCCTAGAACGGGATATGACAGGTATCAGACAGGGTTAGTTATTCGATATGCTAGTCATACGACAGGCTGGGGGTGGAAGGATAAGAGTGACCTCCTCGTGGTGGCGTCTGGCACCGCCGCCACGTCTGACTCTGGAAGGCAACACTATGAAATACTCAACTATAGTGATATTATTGGTTCAAGAGTATGGTTCATAGCTAGCTGGGCTTCTATTTATAGGCAGTGGAATTCTCGATGCTGGAGCTAACTAATATCTGCAGAGGTGTCAGCAGATGCCAATCAAGTCGAGCTTGTAGTTCAGTGGATAGAAGAACATTCTTGCGGGCATTGTCGAGAGACAAGGCAACCAGTTTTGCCTTCCTAGAGAGACTAAAACCCCTATGCATAAACGCAATGAGAGTGGTGATCAACATCGAAACTTTTCTAATCAAGTAGGCGTGTTTCGAGAGGTTAATCACTTTGAACTCTGCATAGTTGAACTAAATATATATCATCCACAATGGTTAGCCCACGTATTCTTTCATAAGCATATTGCAATGGCTTTAACCAAGCACACAAGCAGTTGCTTACCCTGATACTTGCCACGGAGAGATACTATGTAGTTACTCCTGTGCGATTGTATCTGTATCAAACAAGAGTCGAGTGCTCCTTGTTATACCTGACTAAGCACCATCCCGTGACGCCATTCCCCAACATTCCAAACAACAAATGCCCTTGCTGCCCTTCTATGTACACCTCTTGATACGGCCGATTCTTCTGTGGCCATTGCGCTGCTGAGAGTGTTCGATACCTGTGACATTTCACTGGCAGATAGCCTGTATCTGTCTATCTATCCAGCATGGCTCCACCATCCAGGTACGCCTTATTAGCGCGACGGTGTTGATATGGACTCCCTCCGGTCGTCGCTAACCATCATCGAAATAGCCACAGACAAGCGCTCGAATCGGATGAGAAAGAACGGATGTTGTTGGACGTTGATGATCACATACTAGAGAACAATGCCTTTGT